CATGGCAGCGGTCCTTTGGAAGGCAGTGGCTTGTCATGAGAGTGATGCCACATGTCACGTGAATGCTCACATAAGAACGTAAGAAGCATAACGTGACCAAATAAACAAAGTGCATAGGGAGATTATCCGCTCTAGTTTTCTAAAATATTCCTCGTATGATTGAGAGTTATTGGACGCGATCTTGTTTGTCACATTGCCTGTACTTTTTCACACTCTGGAATACTCCCGAGAAATACCGATTAGAGAGAATAGAATGTTGTTAGTCGGAGGAGTACTGGTACCCTATTGTCCTTTTGACAGCACCTCCATCCCACCTGTGACTTGGTGTTCGATGTGCGCCAAGCTCGACATGAGCTTTTTCTATCCGAAGTCCAACTTGTCCACTAGATGATGATGCTGGCAACACCTTCAACAGAAAAGATGCAAGCCTTCCAGTTGGTGTGGCCGCAAGTTGTGAGAGTTGCATGATTCGCCATATGCCTTCACTCCAGGCCCCACCCGATCCCACAAGAATAAAGCGATGGCGGATCCGTGATATCCATTTGGACTTCTCTATTTTATAGTCGTATCTTTTAAGATTTCCCACATGTCTCAGCTCAAACTCAACCAGAAGTCCCATGTGGAGGTCAATCCGAATCCCGCCCTGGCTCCTACCATCGACCTCTTTGGACTCAGTTTCTAGTCTTCGGGACACAGACACGCAATCCAGCGCCACGAAAGATCTTGTTGCGTAATGTCAATTTTCGATTTCACTCTCGAGTACTTTCGTCTCTCTCTCTCTCTCTCTCTCTCTCTATTTATAAAAGCCTGTGTTGTCCCCATAGAAAGTGGTTCGTGGTGAGATTCACCTTTCTATGTCCCCACATAAGAACATTACCTTGGTTGTTTGCTTCTGAAGTGTGCCTCGGAGATAAGACTAGTTTATCGTCGTTAATGCCCACTCCAGATTTGTCAGTTCGTTGACAACATCTCACCGCACTCTCGTAGTCAAACGAGCCTCAAAAGATATTGTCCTTCACTTTCCTGTATGTAAAAATATGAGGAATCTCTTTAACCCGCCTGCAAAGAAGAATAAAACATAAAGATCTACAAGTATATGCACTGTTTTGCCTACAGCGTAGATTTTTTTTCAAAGTGCTATATTTGGCTATACATTTTATTCTCCATACTCGAACCAACTGCAGTTATCATATATTTTCAGTCGTATCATTTGTTTTCTCACACTGACGGAAGCATACGCAGAACAAAAATAATTTTGACGAGTGTGGGGTACCCATAGTTATTACAAGTTTTAGTACAAGAGGTTGTAAAAAATTATCCATCGAAGAAACCTGAGGAGGTTCTACTCCCCTTTTAGAAAACTTTGCAACTTCTCCCCTACTTCTCAATCTGATGCAGTGCCGATACTTTGAGTTACAGTTTCCTAATTGCATGATCAACGCGTTCTTCATGCCCCAGGCTCACTGCATCAAGTTATACCAATTTGGGTTATGTGACCTAATGATGTTGGAACACTAACAGTAATTCACCTTCCTTAGACGATCTCACATTGACAGGAGTGCTACAGATCAGATGTCTCATACTGGTAGAGGTTGGAGAAATTACGGAGATCACGCTCTCGTCCTCATCTCACAGTGATTTTTGTATCCTCCTAAAATCATCATATTAGCATAGCAGCAACTGCAAGGTTAGTTCTGTTTTATCGTAATTTGTATCAAGAAAACAAGAGTTAAGTATTATACATCATGATATGGTATGGGCAGTGGAGGCAGCCATAGGCAGCGGATATAAAAAAAAAGAATAGGAGCGTGACACAAATGTAACTACATGCAGGTACGATCGATCAACACCATGTGATGCACAACCAATTCAGGTCAAGCGTACGGTGACCTAGTCACCTATGAGAGGGAACCAGCGCTGAAGGAATTACTACCTGGATAGCATTGTCATGTGAGATTTACCCTCTTTTTAAAAGGAAAGATGGTCTCGATTCGGTGTGTCCAAGTTGAACGGTGCATGTCAGTTCATGCATGGCGTGTCTTCTGAACTTTATGACACTGATCTGGTGTGCCCAGATCTGATTACGACTAAAATTACATATCATCAAAATGTAGGGGCAAAATATCTGAACTCTAGCGTAACTGGAGTTGAATATGTAAGAGCAGAGGGAGGGAGAGGGAGGGAGGGAGGGAGGCTGGCTTGGGCTCCAGTATCTAAGACAGGATCATCTGGGCGAGAAGGCGAAATATCTGCTCGAAGGACCAGGTTCAAACACGTGATCGCATCCGGCACATTTAAGGACTTTCTTAAGGATTGGGGCCATGTGCATGGGCTCGGCTCAAAGTTGACCTACATCCATCCTTTGGCCAGCGAGAGGATCACAGATCTCTCGCAAGTAGTCATTAAAGGCAGCATCACCCGGTCAGGTGTTTTCCCGAATGCCAAGTCTCTCGATCTTTCTAAATTAGTCCACTGGGATAGGACTCTTCCATATTACCGGGAGCGAGGGAGCGAGGGTGGGACCTTAAAGCTCATGCGAGATTCTCCTAGAGAGGACCCGAAATCTGCAATCTCCTTGACCTTGACCGCTTTTGCATACAGTCATTCGATTCAGATCTGCTGCTGGAGTGGACGAGTCCTGGGACCACACCATCGACAATATTCGGTGATCTATCCCGGACCATGGAAACTGGTTCTGCTGCTGCTGCTGCTGCATCCCGTGTTTTCGGACATGGACGACGCTTGCTCCAGTTCTCTCTGCAGCATTATCTCCGCCAAGATGCAAGATGCAAGTCTGGGCCAACTATCATTAGTTTATTGGAATATAAGTCTCCCCCCTTGAACAGGTCTGGTCATGGACATATCTTGTCTTATAGTTGGGGAACACCTGAAGATAGTCAATCCATTTTGGGTTGTTGAGGGGGTGCATACAGACCATCCTTACATGCTCTCTTCTAACTCTTTCGCGCAGGCTGTTCGAGTAAATAGCGCAGCAGGATGGCCAGACCCCATCACACCCCATCAAGCATTCAGAGCATGAATCTCAAACGGTAAGCGGGCCTAGGTCCCAATAGTACCACATTGACAAAATTTGTCTTCCTTGTTGCAATGTAAGTCAAACTTTCTAGAAACAATATGAGTATCCCAACAAGCATCACCTAACATGAATTTTTTTATGTGGGAAAACATTCTTCGTATATGGAGGAGTTACGCTTGTTTACTTTTCTCCTTCACAGTTGATGTAGCCATCTTTGATTGTCAATCAAAAATTTATCTCGACATGAATATTAAGTTCAATTGGCATTGGACTTAGTTGTGAGATACTAACATTTAAATTTTCATTTGAGTAAGTCTCGACAACACAAATGGGATTTTACACAAGAGTGTTGAATCACTTGCTGAAGTAAGAATAGCCCAGTTCAACTTTACATGAGGATATTTCTTTTTTGGCCATTTATAATGTTATCATATCCTGGATATGTATAACTTTTGAATGATGTAAATCTTGGTATCTAACTGAATCATAATTCTCAAGATCTATAATATTCAAAAATACAAGAAGTTACAATCATCTCTACAAAATAAAATACGCTCTTCTTATAAGATAATATATCAGTGAGAAATATCCACACAGTTTTTTTTTACAGCAAAAAATGTTATTTCAAAAAAAAATTATTTTTTGTTTAATTAGAAAAACTGGTGTATGGCTTCAACTTCTATCAGGTATCATTTAATCCCTTCCATCACGGACATGACCGATAGTTCTAAAGAATATGTAAAGATACAAGTTCGTACTTCTCTTTGGAACGGCTATCCACATCCATTGCTCGAGGTTTCTACATGCTATGGACTGTGGCCATCTTTGGGATATGTGAACTTCTGACTCGGAATAAGCATTACCCAGTGAGGGGTTTTATGAGCAGTGGCTACGAAGAATCTTATCCTCATTGGGTGTGTCTGAGAGGAAATCAAACTATGCTTCGAAACTGATGATGAGGCACAGCCCAATATATTTATTGAAGTAAGTGGACAAGCGTCGGTTTGAGAAAGATAATGATATGACTCCTGTTGTTCAACGAACAACAGCCATTATGCTCAAAATGGTGAATTTTGACTATTTTTTTTTTGGGAAGAGGGGATAAGAATAAAAATAGAAATTCCAATGTGATTAAAAAAAAATATCAGGGTATTGAAAATTATCCCCGAGGTGTAAGTGCATATTCCGCACTCCTAGCCATCCAGAATCGAGAAAATGCCGCCTGAGGATGAAGATAATTAAAAAAACACGAGAAATTCTCAAAAAAAGAATGATAATTCATGTGTGGAAGAGTTGTCTCCAAAGTTCACAAATTTTTTTCAGCCCTTGACGAAGGATAGTATTGAAGCGAAGCAACCAACAGTGGAAATGAAAATATCGATGGGCTGATATATAAAGAAACACCGGGAAAAGGTAGAATCATCCATTATAGAGATTATTTATGTTCCCAACAACTATCTCGCAAAACATCACAATGACGTCGAGCAAAGGACAAAAGGAGCAAGGATATTTGTGTGGAAAAGAGGGGGATATTTATTCGATGCACATGCTAATCAAATCGACTATCGTCGTCGAAATTCATCGGGTCAAAGCCCGCAACATGTACGAGATCTACCCATTTCAAACGCACTCCATCCTTAATGACGCATAGGACGAGATTTTCCAATCCGGGACACGTGTCGGGAAGGACATCCAGGTACGTGCATAATAATGTACACGAAGACGTTCCTCGCCCACTCACCCCTAAGACACAACATATAGACAGACAGCCAGACAAGCAGTCGAGGGGATAGCGAGGGAAAGACGAGCGGGCACTTCTTTCCCTTCGGGAGACAAAGATTCAAAGCGGCATCATTCGGCTGTGACGTTGCCCCAGTACAGCACAAGGGCCCTCGGAACGGACAACAACGGGTAACCAGTTACCGAATGGGCAGGTGGCGAATCGCGTAGATTCTCCGGGCGCATGGAGGAGGACCCCGAGGACTCGGGATCCTTGCGGGTACAGCGCCTGCGTCGCTCGGTGGAGGTCGGGATTCCGCGTCAGCCTCCCGAGGCTGCATCGCAGCCGTCGGGCCTCGGATATCCGGCGCGGCCGCGAGGGTTGACGCTCACCCACCCCCATGTTGCTGCCCCGGAAATTCTGGCGCAGCCCGGGCCGGGCCGACGACGCCAGCGCTACCGTACGCCCGGCCCGACGGAGAGCGCCAGAGTCGACCGTCCCGGCCCGCGCCTTTTACCTCCGCCTCTATCCGCTTTTTGTCCACGTCGTTGACGCAGGCGCATATTCCCACCGTCGATCCGAAATCGAAGGCTCTCGATGCCGCGCGGCCGCTGGATCCTCCGAGTTACTCCGGCCCGGCCCGGCAGTTCGCCATCGCAGGCCGTTAGGATCTAGGCGTACCGTCATCGAACAACCGTCGAATCTATGTAAGGAGATCCCAGTGCCCACCCCCACCACCTCCCTCCCCGCCTCCCCGCCCGAAAATACCGGGCTCCGCTGCGCAGGACCTTCCCTCAAAAGGACCGTCGAAGTACGAGGCCCAATCTCGCCCCCCGCGCCCGGTCCGTCGCCCCGAGTAGTAGGCCCACCGTGCCCATCCGAGATTTTACCGACACCGTAACATGGAGTTCTCACAGCGATCGATCGCTCAAGCGCTTACCCGCAGATAAAACTTTTGAACGAGGCGCGGATCTGCGGTAAAAACGCGCAGATTCCTTCGCGGCCCGGCGTCGCGTCTAATTCAAAAAATGGGGGAAATGGCAAAATGTCTGGATTTCTTTTGGTGCTGGTGTCGTCGCGCGCCCGTCATCGCCTTCTGCCTTTTCAGCTGCTCCTCGTCCTCTTCTTCTTCTTCCGCTCTCTCGTCGTCCTCGTCCCTCCTCCTCCTCCTCCTCCTCTTCCTTCTTCTTCTTCTCCTTCTTCTCCTTCTGCTGCTCCTCCTCCTCCTTCTCCTCCTCCTCCTCCTCCTCCTACTGCTGCTGCCGCCGCTGCCGCACCTCCTCCAGCTTCTTCTTCAACCTCTCCTCCTTCTGCTGCAGCATCAGCAGCAGCTGCGCTCGCAGCTTCGCTCGCAGCTTTGCTTTCCTCGCCTCGGCTCTGGCTCTGGCTCTGGCTCTGGCTGCTTCCGCTTGTTGCTGCACTTCTTCTTCTTCTTCTTCTTTTGCTGCGTCGAGCGCAGCAGCAGCAGCAGCAGCAGAAGAATCGCCATTTTGCCTTCGGCCGCCGGTCGTCGGCTCGTGCCGCTGGATCTGTGGTGCCATCTGACCACGCAGACTCAGAGGGCAGGACAGTGCAGCGCAGTGGAGTGCTATAGGCACATCAGTGTCCTCGAGAGAGAGCTCCGGGCGCAGGAGAGGGAAAAGGGGAAGGGAAAGGGGACGACGAGGGAGGAGGAGGAAGACGAAGGTGAGGGTGAACAAGAGAAGAGAACATTTGAAGGAGAAGTAGAGAAGAGAGGAGACGAAGGAGGACAGAAGAGAAGAGAAGAAGGGTGGAAGAAACCACCAGAGTGTGCTGAGATTGGGAACAGGTGTAGTGAAGATTGGGATCCGCCAGAGGAGAGGAGAGGAGAGGAGGAGGAGTGTAAGAAAGAAAGAAAAGGGGAGGGAGGTGTGCAGCTGGAGGCGCTGCTCTAGAGATGGATTCGGCCTCGCTCGAGACATGATGAAGGGAGGGGCGAGGCTCCAGAGCGGCATGGAATAGTCGGAGGAAGAGGAGATGTGAGGGAAGAGCTCATGGGGTTGTGCGAATTTAAATCTCGAAGAGCGTGCTTGCGTGTCGGGACCGAGCCACGGGTGAGCGAGAAGGAGCTCGGTGCCTGAGACCTCGAGGAAGAAAACGACGCTCGGTGGAAACGGAGAGTGGAGCGCAGGAAGTGCATTGATTCGGAAGATTGTCAAGAAAGGAGGGGAGTAGGAGAGCAGAGCCGGGAAGTGAGCGTCGGGCCGAGGTTTCGTCCTCGACTCTCGAGATCACTACTCGGCTTTTTACCATTTTTTGGGTGTCTCAGGCGGTGGAGTGGTTTCCGGAGTGCAGCGGTGCCTGCCGCTGTCCTCGGACTAGCGCGTTAAAGTTTGGACTTGCACAAGATTGCGCCTTTTTACTCTGCCGTGCCAACTCGTGTCGTGCTGTGTGGAGTCACACTTCGAAGTGAATGGCAGCGATGAAGGACGACAACAATCGTGTCCGAGAATGGGAGGCCGGACTGCCTTCCGCATCGGACCTCACCCCTCTACACCATTCACTCATTACCAGGGTTCTCGCTCGGGCGTTTTGTATTCCGACAAACGCCACACCTCCGAGCGCGGCCGATGTGTTGCAAGCTTCAAAATCCACTGTGCAGCAGCTGCAGCAGAAGAAGAATACGGCCTTCACTCTGCCTGCTTTCGAGACCTATCCTTGTTATGAATCTAGGACCGGGGCGAGAGCGGCTGCTGCTGGGGCCGCTAACGGTGGTGGGGGAGCGTACGCCACAGAGGAAAGCATGGACGACGAGCGAGGTGGGTACGATTTGACGAAAAGGAGCAAAGATGACTCCGGAAGGAGAAGCTCTAGGGTTACCAAGTCTCCCATGCATGGGAGCAAGGGAGGTTGGGACGGGGACAAGGCTTCCGAACGAGATGTTGGGGTTAGTGGAAGTGGAATTGGAGGTGTGGGCAATGGGAATTCAGGCCCGGACTTCGGGCCTGCTTACTACTGGCCTGCCCAAGGCTCGATGCCGGGAGGCCCGGGTCCTTACGGACCCATGGGTTCTGATCAAGGCGGGTATGGAGGAATGGAAGGGGGTTCAGAGAGCACCAAAGGAGCAAGTCTGGAGAAATCCCGTAAGCTGGGTGACACGGAGTCGGAAGATGTGGATTCCGCAGATTGTCCGGATGGGAACACCGCCAGAACTCTCAAACGTCCACGCCTGGTGTGGACTCCGCAACTGCACAAGCGATTCGTGGACGCCGTTGGGCATCTAGGGATCAAGAATGCGGTCCCGAAGACTATCATGCAGCTCATGAATGTTGAAGGGTTGACTCGGGAGAATGTCGCGAGTCATCTACAAAAATACAGGCTTTACCTCAAGAGAATGCAAGGCCTTTCCAACGAAGGGCCCTCGGCGTCTGATCCATTGTTTGCATCTGCTCCTCTTCCTCCCAATTTGACGCAGTCCCCACATTTTTTCACTAACCATCCTCATTTGAGAGCAGAGAATGGAGTTTCAGGTCCCTCGTTCTCTCCACCTGCGGTCCCCATGCCCCGGGCCCAGCAAGCAATTCCCCCGGGGGTCATGGGACCGGGTGTTATGGGACCTGGTGCCGTTCAGCACTTCGGCGGGTTTGAGCATCATCCTTACAGCATCGGGCTCGCAAGAAGTGCTGCTCAACAAAGGCCTCCTATGGGAGAGCATAGAGAATTCATGGTGAATGCTCACTCAAGTGCTCAGGGGGGCGCAGGCTCGCCTCCTCATCGTATTCTAACTTTGTTTCCTACGAGCAGCAGCTAATAAGAGGCAAACGTTTGTAGAGGGTAGATGTAGAGGGTTAGATGTAGATTACTGAAATGTTAAATTTCTCAAAGATTGAATATTTTACGTCTTGATACATAAATGCCAATAGCAGCCATAGTTAGCGCATATCAGAGAGAAAGGGAAAGGGAGAGAGATGCAAGTGTACATATGTGTGGGTTTGTTCGATTCAGCACCATGTGACACACAACTCCTTCAAGTTCTGTGTCCAGTGTAGATTTATCCGATGTTACCAGCGCTAGAAGAATCATTATCAGAACACTCCACCCGGAATGCATTGTCAATGTGAAATTACACTCTATATCAAGGGAAAGATGGTCTCGACTCGTTGTGTCCAAATTGAGCGGTGCATGTCAGTACATGAATGGCGTGGCTTGTTTTTGGCTCCCAGTATGGTCTATCTAAGAATTCTCTCCGTGTGGGTCTCGTAGAGATGTGTCCCCATCTCCCTCCTCCCTCTGGGCCAGCGGGCTAACACCCTGAGGTTCTTGCAGGCGGAATTTGAGGGAAGAGCGAGAGTCATGAGAAATGGCTTGCAGTTTGCAACCTAGGATACTTTGTCACCCTGTAAGTGCCCGTGACCATGGAGGTCCTAGGAGTTTGTGAATTCGCAGCAGTTCATTGATTTGTCAGTTAGTGATCCATGCGGCTATTACGAGTCTTGCACTTGGTACGAAAGTGTATGTTTCCGAGATTTATTTTTGCATTTCAGGTTTGTGATCAGCTACACGATTGTGTTTGAACATAGATTATGCGGGCAGGAAGATCTTTTGTGCTCGTGTTCCATTTGTGATTACGCCTCCGGTGGTGTTTGCTCAACAATAGAATCATAAACTCACCGTAGTGTAGTGCCTGCCAGTCTTTTGTCCCCTTGGGCGTCAAGATTTTCAACTGTATTGGCTTCTATCTTATTTTTGTTTTTTTCTCTACTCCATTATCAGTTTTCTTCTGTTAGGCTCCAGGTTTCCATGTCTGCATCTCCCTGCGAGACTTCAATTTTTCCAGCCATACATGTACTTGTTCTTGTATTACCATGGCAGGATTCCCATGATAATGATTCCACCCTCCTTAATCTGTTCTTTTTGGTCCACCATGCAAACATTCTTGTATATCAAAGGTGTCTTTCTACTCTGTAATCTGGACCTGATGCTCTTTAGAGCTATCTCACCTGCCTCCTCTCAGAGGATGCTTGGTTTCGTATTCTTCCTTTCTGGGATTGCCTGACGTTTATTTTTGTAGCGTGTCGTTTCTGAAATCAGAGATTTTAATCTCTATACTGTCGGTATAACATGATATGAAGACTGCTCCCTAAACCGCTGTCTGTGGTGATTTTCCGTACGTGGGTTAATTGTGATATATCGAGACCAGCAAGTTTTTAGCTGGATGTGTTTTTGTCGTACAGAACGAGTTGGATATCGCACTAATCTTGATATCTTGATATGTGAGACGTATTTTGGAGTAGAAGATATCTACTTGGCTTCAGGATCCCAATTCTTAACCCGTTCTTGAAAGCTGGATGATGTCTTCTTGAGTTTGCGTTTTGGTTTTTCAGAGAAGATAATTAGCGGTTATTAAGATACAAACCGCACACGTCATTCTTTGGTCGCAAAATTATCAGCGTTGATGAGTTTTGTGTCCATGATGGTTTACCAGACAACGCTTTGTGAAATGTAGTGAGGGGAGTCTGTAGGTTATGAAATTGGCAAACTCAACATCAAATGCAGTAACTAACTAGTTTTTTCTGTAAATGGCCTCACAGGTGGATGGAATTCTTAATCGGACTAGACAATCGCAGGACGTCAGAAGAATTGTGAAAGGTGCCGGTAGGAATGTGTAAAGAGGTAGGATAAACACGAGCTTTTTTTTACACAGAAACTGAGGCTTTAGTGATGTTCATCCACGTGCATTGCTATTGTCACTTCATCGTCCTGTAGCCGGTGAAGTGTGTACACTAGTAGCTTGTCCCGACATTCTGTAGGATTGATGGGCTGTAAGATTAGACGTTTTTGAGTCAATTTAGATGATAACCTGGGAAAGTAGGTTTGAATATACATTTGTCTTTTGACAAAAAATCCTTACTTTACAAGTTCAATTGGTGAGCTGCCCTTTTACTTCTTTCAGACGTCGTAGACAGGGTCGTTGGCATGGATTCTCTATCAAAGTTCACTGGTTGGTTCTATGATTTGGCAGGGTTTTTTGTAATTTTCTTTTTAGCTTTTTCTTTGTACAGGATGCCTTTTGACGTCAATTCCTTTCGGACACGGATGTTTGATGTTGTCTGCTCATCGACAGGATGTTATTCAACCGGTTATATTTTTGGATGTGTTCTCGATTGTTCGGACCAGTTGTTTACACTTCACTATCAGATCTTCAAAGAAGAAAAGGAATGGCTCGAGACAATGACGAAATAAATATTGGTTCAAAAAGTTTCCTTATAAAGGTCACTCACATGTCTGAGGAACTATTATATGACGTCTATGCAATTATGACTGCAATTATCTTTATTAAGATTGGCAGTAATGTCCCAGGATAAAGTGCAGACTTTGTGAGCGAGTGTTGTAAAGCGAGGATTTTTGTACAACACTAAGTATGTGCCCGATGAGCAATAAACTAAACTCAAGACCCATTACCGAAATGTGAGCATTCCTTCAGAATCTGTATAATCTCCTACACTGGACATCTTCCTTGGGGGTGAAAATGGTGGTGGTTGAATCAACGTTTCCTGCAAAACGTCGTCCATTTCTGCCAGATGTAGTCTCATTCGCTCCAGTACATTATGAACTTTTCCTCTCTCTTCCACCTTCACATATGCGCAAGTGTCACAATAAAATGCAGTTGAGATCCTGACTTAATCATACGTTAACACTAAATGCAAAAGTCTTCTACCATAACACAGCGTTATGTACATGCTGCACTTTAGTGAGGAATCTGGAAGTATATCCAATGCCTTATAAATGTTAGATATATTTATGCAGAGCATCGTCAAGTGGCAGTACTGTAATAGCCATTCCACAAAAGCCTCCATAGATATACGTTCAACCTCATAACTCAAAAGATGCTCTAAAGTACTGGAGGATTGGTCGTTGGGAATGTGTTGCAGAGACTTGCGAGGTTCAAAGATTGGATAGGATGATCAATTGAAGACTCACATGTAGAACAGATATGTGTGCGGTGACCGAAGAGCGATTGGCAGATACGGCATGCGTGCTATCTAGCGAAAACAGCTCAGATGCCGGCTGTAGAAACTGAAAGGTACAGGATACAGTGGCGCAAACTTTTACAGCTGGAGTCGGGAGTCGGGCGCGGTGCCCCAGCAACACGATTCAAGGATAGCGAGGTAACGTAATTGGTGCATAATCACTCTCAAGAAGAAAGCACGAGTCTCGAGCTAACATAATCATTTGCACGAATTTATGGGAAATACGCACCTTTCTGGGAATGAAAAGGCTCTTCCATTGTCACCCGACTCACCTATCTGACCATGATAGTTGCGCTTGTTGCAGATTCATACCTCTCATGTGCCGAGTCTGCCGAGGCCCAACTTCCAGCTCAACAAAATTTTCAGTGCAATTGCAACCTAAAGAAATGTAGCCCCCGTTCGCTAGACTCTCAACACTCATCGAGCTTTCCCCTTATTTAAGCTGAACAACTCGCCAAAAGGCGGAGCCCGGCATCTGACGTCAGACGGAACGTCTGCATAGGTCTATCTGCGCGAAATCTGCTCCTAAAATACCCATCTCCGTACCACCAGGATTTGCCGAATCTGTGCAGGTACCGCAGCCGTTCCAGGATCCTCGAGCTACACAGGCAGGCTGCGTAGGATATGCAGCCCAGGATTTCGTCCAGGACTCCAGGATTTTTCTTCCAGGAATTTCGTGTGTAACGGGCTTTCGACAACAATAATGTTTCCACTGCCATTTTAATAAGGAGGTAAACGAAATATCTGTCCCAAGGGACAACAGAGTCTCTAGGCTTTTGATTTTGGGGTGGAGACTTTTTGTCAGGAAGCAAGCAAGCCCCCAACAATAGATCTCGTGCACGGGAAGACAGGGCCCCGTACAGGTCGATACTGCCTCTCGGAGGGACGGTGATGAAGGTGGTGGTCTGTCTGTCTGCGCGTATCTTCAGGTCCACCCACTTCTAGATATGCTTGGTAAAAATTAAAATCTTCCATGCTGCACAGTTTCGCATCTTCTTTCTATCGCACCCTTCCATTGGACACAAAGTCCAGCTTTTCTTGTAATGTGCAGATTTCTTGTTCTCCAGCTTTTTGTTCGAAATAAGCTCGAACGGTCGGTTAGCGACACAGATCGTACTTGACAATTACTACCGATTTTCATTCCTGGACTAACCGAACCCTTGGTGCGCTTTTTCCTCTGTCACCCAAGTTTACCCATCCCGAGATCCAGCTGGTAACAATCTCCCCTCAAGGCAGGCATGTCCATTGAGACATTGACTAATGTTGGACGTTGGATTTCTACTTGTGAAAGTCCGATTGGACCTTCAAACGTAGGACCTATCATTGGAAGAAGACGAGGTTCGGGAATGTTTTGAAGGAGGACTTTCATGCAAAAAGGGCGGTTAAATCTAACATGCATCTTTCGTGCTTTAGAACCTTACGAGTGTTCTCCTTTTAGACACTTTGATTATTGAGCTGCAAGGAGGAGAGGTCTATTTTGGGTATTCACCTCGGCTTGGTATAGAAATCTTTGCGCCAGATAGACAGCGTCCTTCCGCGGGCTTGTCAATTCTTGGTTGCCTAGTCTGTACTCATTCACTCTTATTATCCCCGACTTCGTCATCGTCAAGTAGTGTTTAGGATTGAATTCAACCTGCATGTTTACCCAGCCTCGAATTTTGAGAATCATTTTCCAACATTGCCCGTTTGTCCTGTGAAGGAAGGTTTGACTGACTATGTGTCCAGACAATACTCGAATGAAAATGGTACAGCGTATCGCACCTCTCGAAACGGAACTCCCAAGGTGTTTTGTAAGCACGTTATGGCAGCACTCGCATCCGTGAGATGGTTCTGGGTCAGGTTTGTGCTGATTTGAATGTTGTCCATAGCCTGTGTAGAAATTAACCATGGGTTAGCAGATGGTATACAAACGGCATTTATGCAATCAACTTTATAAGAAGTAGGCCGGATGAACTCACTTCATCCATGGATGGAGGAATGTCACTCGTGGCCACTTCAGAAGGCACACGATCCCACTCCCTCGTTTCAGAGATGGACATAACAGGCTCTCCAAAGTCATCTATGAACTGGAGAAGAAGAGTCAACCTTTACATGAGCTCTAGAAATCACATCTGTGCTCAAAACTGTGGTGAAAGATGATCCTCTACGAAACTATTCTTCGTGGTCAAAGAGATAATCCTCTACGTGTGAAGTTTACATGTGAAGTGAACGTATTTGTGATATTACAAAATCTTTGTATGAAGCACGGTATGGTGAAATCTTTACCGGCAAGATTTGACTTGTATATCCTTGGTGCAGTCCACAATGCTTATCACCAGCTTCCTTGCGGATATCTTCGCTGGTGTACTTGAAGACATATGCCATCTCTTGTTCCGCCTTGGAGTCAAATAATTTCTGTGAACAGCAGAGGTTGTTGACTTTGGAAGTTCAATACCGGATGAATGCCATGAGAAGTCCATGAAACCCAATACATACTCTTGGAAGAACCCTTGTTGGAAGTTTTGGATCTAATGATTGCATCAAAGGAAGCCATGATTTTCAAGGAAAATTTGACTTTATCTACATCCATTTTGCCGATATCTGACATTTGTGACCCCGTGCTTTCTACAGCTTGAACTCAAGACATGGAAAGGATGTGAGACGACTTTTGGTCAATCATGCTGATCAGAGAAAACACTCGAAGTATGTATCATCCAACTCAAAAGTACTGGAGGTACTCCAAGCGTTGGCTTGTCTGCAGATTTGGTACATACACATATTGTGGATAGAAAGAGGAAGAGGAAAAGAGTTTTGAGTCTCACAATCTCCGGGGCTTTAAACTGCGGTATGATGTGCATCTTCTCTTCGAACTGAGCCTTTTCAGGCGGAGACTGCTCTGTGATCCAGTTCTGGCCCGCTTGCTGTGCACGTAATATGTGTTGTAGAATTGGTCTTGCAGAATCGAGTAATTTATTCGCTCCATCACAAACGAGCTTCCTTGCGATTGGCGTTTCCAATAGAAGTAGCTGGATACAACGGAGGCTCTATGATGTTAGAAAAGTAAAAGGAAATGCACCGAGAGCGAACAAGTTGACAGCATTAGAGTGCACCGACGTTCTCTTCAGTGCACTCAACTTGTGTTGTCTCATGGTCCCACAGCAGCTACATGCTTGATGTTTGCAAGCTCTCTAACAGCAACGAATGAAGGACCGGAATAATTCAATCATAAATGTCAGATTGCACTGCCTTCGGATTGGCGAGAAAACTGGAAGATATCATTCCAATCAATTGCTAGCCTCAGACCATGAGCCTCAGTGATGAAACACATCAAGGACCAATCCAGGTCTGATTTGGGAGGATTTTGTGAGAACACCTGCTTCAAAGAGCGACATCGTAACAATGGTGTCAATCTGTGAGAATCTGCAACCGTGTTGTTTGTGAGGTCCAGTATCTTGAGTCGAGGGAAGTCCATGCCAATCTCGTTGATCTGTGAGCAATTAAAGCGAATCAATCAATTCCTTTCGTGTAGCTAGCCGCAGCTAAAATCGTGAATCGCAATTTTAGATTCACCCAAAGCAGCTGCTAGCCTGGAAACTGAGGAGGAGGGTAAAGAATATGCTTCTACGAGACTTCAAAACGGAAGAGTAGAATTTGGTTCTACTCTTCGGTTTTGAAGTCCCGTATAAGCATATTCTGAAAATGATATGAATGGGTATGAGACTTCGTCAGTTTACTTGAAGAATCAAATGGGAATTCACCTCATCGGGAACTCCTCGAATTCTATTGTGAGGGAGCAACAGTTTCTCCAAACGCGGAATCTGTCAGATGATCATACAGCATTAGAGGAATTTGGGAATCTCACGTGAGCAGTAGATAAAGCACGATAAGGCATTGCATGTTCACGTATATCCAACTGGCCGATGAGTAAGGAAAGAGGATCCAGGACTTTTCTCAGGTGTGGATGAAGGCCGAACCTTGCTCAAGGGTAGGAGGGATCGAGATTTGATAAAATTATGAGCTGCTGAAAAGATCCTCAGACGGGGAAATGACCATGTTTGGCCACCCGCCGCCTCTGGGATCTCAGCAATACTGTTATGGTTCACATTCAGTGTCTCAAGTACTGGAAGATTCGATAGGTCAACAATTGCAGAGCCACCCAATAGATTGTAAGAGAGATCCAATGCCTGGAAGTTTCATGCCCAACAATTCCAGAGTACACATAGGAAACCTTCACCCAGGTAATAGTTTCTGCACACCGTCATATCATGCATCTCATTCTTCATTTCTCTCTCCGTGTTCCCTCGTGGATGCTTTATTAGTTTACTGTAACTGCTCCCTCCCTTCAAGTAACGCGCTTAAATTGGTTTTCTACTAACCCTTTGTGAAAACAACTGCATAGTCACATTATTCGTTGCAAGTGCTGGGCAGGCATGACGAAGACGATAGGAACGGACTAAGACAAACTTATGAAGCCAGTTCGACAACACTCCACTCTAGCTTACGAGTTCAATCTCTGCTAAGAAATCTGCTGGCAAGGAGCGAGCACAACAGACTCACTTGAAGCTGATTAAAGTGTCCAGATGGCAGTCTCAAGTGATAGATTTGATTGCTCATGAGGCTCAACTTCCTGAGCTGAGAGAGTGCACATAAATCTTGCTGCAGATCCTCAACAACCCATTAACGAAATGCAGTGAGCTCAAAATATACTCATCTGTGGACGAACTTGCAAATCACTTCTGCTTGGTTTCAAGCTCTACTCTGTTCCACAAGTACTACTGTCGAGCAGATAGTTAACAAAAAGAATAAGTAAGGTTCTCTTCCCAAGTTATGCTTGTCTTCTTGCACCGTACCATGTTCAGTTGATTGATCGAGAGATCTAGACACTGGAGGTTGCTGAACTGTGCCAGATCTGATTCAGCCACACCGACGATATTGAGGCCTGAAAGCCCTGCGTTTTTTAGTTTTGCTGCATCTTCAGTGCCTCCATAACGGCACTGCGGATCTTCCATCAAATCAATCAGACTATGCCGGAATCAAGCTATGCATACACACATTGTTTCCTAAAAGACTGTGCCTGGCCCTCACTGACATCTTCTCAGTCATACAAGAGCGTGAATACCTAGATAGATGTGTAGACGACGATAACCCAAACCTTGCCGCTGCTTCATACGCAACGTGGAACAGCTGGCTCTGTCAACCTTAAATAATCTTAGATAACCGTCGGTTATTCGGAATCTGCCATAGACTGTTCGTATGCCGTAAAAGGATTTGAAGACTAGACACTAGACCGTGAGACACAAATTATGGCCACTTACTAGCAAATCTTTGTTTAGAATTTTGTCTTGGACAGGGGGCCCTTGGCCAGATTCTGAATGCAGGTAATCAGAGGCAGCTACGGATTCGGCAGGTTTCTTCCTCTTCCTGAGGCTGTCGGGCAAGAGCAAGCGAGGTGATTTCTTGGCAATGTTAGTTGCCCATGCCCTCTGCTCCACTTCCCTCTGAAGCCTCCTCAGACCCTCTTCGGCCGTTTCCGGAGTCCAGTGAGAATCCCGTTGTTCTCCTCCACTTGATACGACGACCTTTGGAGTCAAAATAGCAGTCTCTGGAGCACTGTAATCTTGCATCTCCTGCTTGGGAGAAGGCGTTGGATCAGTGAGCTCCCACGTGTTCAGCAACTTATTCTCATCTGATAAAGTTCCGGCTAAAATGTTCATGCTCAAAACTGAGCTGCGTTGCATATTTCTCAGTGAAGTCATGGAAGGGCGTCTACTCAGGTCTTTGGACGATGTGGAAGAAGAGTCCGGTTGAGCCACCAGTGTGTTTCTAGGAGCTCTGGGCGGCTCGGATGTCCGTCTGGGAGAGTCCTTGTCATGCCGTAAAACCGGTTCTGCCCAATTGGAAGAAAGGTTGTTGTCAACTCGGTGAATGGCAGAACTTAACCAGTTCTCGAGCTCGTTTCTCAGAGGTTCATCGACTTTTCCCCCGAGCAGAGTGCTGGTCAACCCTTCGTTGTCATCCAGTGGAATAGAGTCGATGGAAGGAGCCCGGGCGTTATTGTATTTGATGGAAGGAGCTCGTTCGTAGATGGAAGGAGCTCGATCTCTCATGAACTTTGGCCTCGCTCCCTCATCGCTCTCGGAGTCCTCATTTCCACCAGGCGATCCCAAGTCACCAGGTGGTGGTTTTTCAGCTGCTCCCACCACCATTGTGTAGACAGGGGATTCACCTTCTTGGCTGATGTCTTGTAGTAATTGCTGCTCACCTACAACCAGCTGCTGAAGCTCATCTGATGACAACTGCTTCCCGTCTGTTGGTTCGATTTGCTGCTGGTCTGACGCTTGCTGATTCATGTCTTGCGGAGCTCCCTCTCCGGCCTTGGCATCACCATCTTCCGGTGGTGTGGCTGTCATTGTTGTTGCTGTCGTTCCTGTCGTTGCTGTCGTTGCTGATGATACTGCCCTAGGGTCGATCAATGACCCGGGATCTTTCATCTGCGAAACTCTACGACCCTTGCTTCCTCCTGCCATGTCCTTTTCGTCCTCCTTGCTGAACACAGACTTCCTCTTCTCCTTGCTGTAGGTGTCATCCTTGTCAAATATTGTGGTTCTTCTTGCACTAGATCCAAATCCTAAGCCCTGAGGAACAACTTTCTTCACTTCCACAGGTTTCTGGACGTCCTCAGGCTCTTTGGGAACTGCCGTACTCCCTCTCCTTTTCACCTCGACCATTACGGCTTTTCTGTCCTCACTGGACCCGAACCCCAATTTGTCTGGAACGATTGGGCCCTTCTTCTTCTCTATGGATCCCACGATCTCTTTATAAACCGAGGACTTCCTCCTGGATTTGCCTCCTGGTCCCATCGTAGACGCCCTCCTGGACATTCTCCTCCCTTTTCCAGACATGTTTTCAGGATCCGACGAGCTGGTGGCCTCCCCATCCACAGCTGGAAGACTGGTTTGGATCTGCTCTGGGTCTGTGATAGATGCACGCTTCGGAGGAGTGTTTGGGGACGGTGATTCTGCCGACTGCTGCTGGGGAGTCAGAGGTTGGCTGGGCTCTGATGGGGATGAGGCCTGGGTGGAATCTGGCAGTGACTCTGGTCCTTGAGGTTCCTTCTCTTGTGCTCCTGTTGAAATATTACTAGGAGCATCCACACCAGCAGGTGGTGGTGCATCAGTCGAGGTCTCACTGGGTTCTGATTCTTGTACCCTCGGAGGCTGTGGCTCAGTTTTCTCTTCAACATTGGCAGGAGAGGGTTCAGAGACCTTACTTTCAGTACCAACATTGTCTTTAGCAAGGGATGATCTTCTGCTACCAGCAGCAGCAGGAGGACCGGACTCACTTGTTTGCTCGAAGTAAACAGACTTCCTTGGAGCTTTTGGATCCTTCTCTGGACTCGACGACGACTCTGCAGCTCCTTCTCTGGATTGAGGAGGGCTGGGGGTGACTGAATTCTCGGTGGTTGGGGACTCTGACATTGTTGCTATCTTTTGTTACTCCATCGACGGTTCAATGTTGTAAAATTGAGATAAACAAGATGAGTTGCTCATTTTAGAAGAAGGGACGAGTTTTCAGCATCTTGTCCCTGAGATTCGGATTTGGCAGTTCCTGCTGGCCTTACGAGCTCAGTTAATCAGCTCACAGGTACCCGGCAATGAATTGTAGCCTCGGAAACCTTGAATCCCAAGTTTTTGATCGAGATTGGATGGAGGGCGATAGGGCTAACCAATGGAAGAGAATTTCTGGCCAGGAGCTTTACATACAACTTGCAGTGCATATCTAAGCCTGCTGGGAACGAAATTTGGTACGACCCGACAGAATTGGGGTCAAATTTGGGCTTGGACTTGAGGGGAAATGGAAGAACGAATTTGCTCTCCAAGATCATGACGCTCTAAGAGCACGAGTAGCGTAGCAACATCTTCCAGTCGCTCACTCACTGGGCTTCGATCCCTTCGAAACGGCACGAAAGCCTACTCTCCATCTTCCGAATTCAGAAGATGAAAAACTGAAGCTCGACCTCAGTAGTGCCCACAGCAGAGCAGAGCAGGCAGATGACCATGAAACCGCCCACCGACCGATGTCGTCAAGAGAGAAATGGCATCACGAGCTCATGATCTATGCTCAGCAATCAACTTCAAGGTGCTTGCAGTCAAGCAACTGCCCACCCAGCTTCCATTGGCCCGAGCAGAGGGATCCATTGGCCTTCGCACGAAGTCTCGAAGCTCTCGAGTTCTCAGCTTAAGCCGAGGGCGCAACTCATTTTTCAGTCCCTGAGGAGCAGTGGCAGGCCAACCATGGCGGCAGCATAACCATAACTCACCAGCAGGACAGAGAGAGAGAGAGAGAGAGAGAGAGAGAGTGGGCGCGAAACTTGAATCACGAGGATGAGAAAATTTCTTGCCCGAGGACGGGCCTTGCTTCTTCAGCCGCCGGTTGCCGGTGGGGACTGCGTGCATGGGAGCATCTTCTTGCACGGGACCCCAGATTGCTCGAGGCCATGCTCGATCCTGGCCATCCCGACGAGGTCCCGTGCCTCAGATGCTGGCGGCCACGGCAAGAGCAGAGCGCCACGAGGCGAACCTCGGGAACTCGCTTCTTGGCATGCCCGAGACACGTACATGCTCCATCCCTCGCCCCCGCAATTCTCACTCACCAGACTCAGCACGAAAGCAAGGCAGGAAGGTCGACAGATCTCCTCCCCCTCCTCCTCCTCCTTCTCCTTGTTCAGCTGCCGTGGACGTGATCACATTTGCCCCCGAGGACGACGAGGAGGCAGGAGTGGCAGTTACGAGACAACTGATTATCCTCATCTGCCGAACCTCTTGAGCCTCTCCTTTCGGTTCAGAGCGAGGGAGGTCACCTGGTGCCCTACTTCCGTGGACCTCAGGTGGATCGCCACCGACGACGAGGAAGAGCACCAGCAGCAGCAGCAAACAATAATAACAACAACAACAACAACAACATGCGGCCACCTCGTGCGAATTCTCGTCGCTCGTCAAGATCGATCTGAGTCGATTTCCTCCTTCTGAGGTTCTGGCCAATTCGAGACTACTCGGGTTCAGAGCCTTCGAGGCTCCAGGCTCCAGGCTCCAGGCTCGTGAATTGCCAGATTTGCTTCTACATTGCACCGACATGGAACGAGGGAGGGGGAGGTGGTTGAGATTTTTGACGCGGGAATTCGCTCGGCGGGTACTGTGATACTCATCATCACACGCAGAATCATTCCGCATCGGTCGCCATGCCGAGTGGTCCTGGTCTCTGGCACTCACCGGGAGGGGATGTCAATTTCACCTCCACTCGAGGGAGGGATGGTCTGACCAGAGTTTTCGTGGACGGAGAAACTGCTTCAAGTCGCCAGGAGCAGGAGAATTGATCGAAATGGTGACGAGAACGGGAGATTTTGGAAGCCCCAGGGCAGCAGAGATGGAATCATGAAACCCGGTGGAATAACAGTGCCGGCATAAACTGAGATTGAGGCCCCGGCCCCAGCAGGAAAATATGGATCTTGCCTCCCAATTCCAGGAGCAGAAGCCGGCGGACGGGAGGATGAGTTGCAGTGGTAGAATTGTCCACCAGTGAGAGAGGAGAGGAGAGGAGAGGAGACTGAGCACATCCGACAGGTCACAAGGATGTGAGAAATGAACTAGCCCGGGCTCTGGAATAACTCTGATCCATGCAGATATCGATGGGGCCATGCGATTTCTTGTGCCACATGCACAGACTCCTGCACACGTCTGCTCTACGAGGGAACTGGAGGAGTGGCAGATGTTGATTCCTGCAGCCGGGACTCATGCATCACAGCTCTCATTTAAGCGCATGCCTGCACCGTCAAAGAGCAAACGATCCTTCGTGCTGCAGGATCGGCTCTTCTCCCTTCCCAATGTGAACTGAGCGAACGGAAGGGAAGGGGGGGACATGAGACGAGGAATCAGAAGCAGAATCCTCGGAAAGTAAATCTACATGCGCACAGACTGGCAGAGCAGATTCGGATGACGCTGCAGCCTCTGCCTCGGCCTGTGAGAGTGATTGTGCTGGTGCTGGTGCTGGTGCCGGTGCCCAACGTCAGCAGATTCTTTCTTCTTCATCATCATCATCATCTTCTTCTTCGTCTGCCTCGTCTCGAAATGAGTGGGTGATCGAGAGATGATGGAAGGATGAAACCGCAGCTGGTGCTTATGCGCATACTGCGACGGCCTACAAGTCCAACGATTCGAAGCAGCTGCCCGACTTCTCCTCGATCAGCTGGTGTAGCAGCAGCAGCAGAAGGAGGAGGAGTAGCGACACCGGATCCGGTCCATCACACGGGAACAGCGCAATGGGACGTGAACCATCCGTTCCACCTCGCAGTGCTCGAGAGCCAAGGGATTCTGCAGACGTACATGCTCGAGACCTCGGATGGCGGGGCCAAAGCCTTCCTGTACCCTTGCGTTGCTTTCCAGCTGCACCTGTCGTTCGGTGTGAATGCTCAGGAGAGTGGCAACAAGTGTGGGGATACGAGCAGGAGGGATTGGGATGAGGAGTTCAGCAATGGGCTCAAGGCCATCAAGCAGCCATGGGGATCGTTCGAGTTCATTCCCAAAAGGCCCGGGGAAATCATCTTCGTCCAAGCCGAGTCGAGCAGAATTCTCTTCGCCCAGCTGCCTGGAGGCAGTCCCCGAGGCTTGATCTACTCGGAGGGAGCTGCCACTCAGATCGATCAGGACAGAACCAAGGTTTACTGCGTTGGCAGGCATTCGTCCACCATTTTGAGCATCGCCGTCAGATCCGATGGGCTGGCTTTGGCTTCTGCTGCCAGGGATGGATGCCTTCGAGTGTGGAGGCTTTCGGATGGCACCATGATTGCCCAGACTATGTTCGCCCGCTGGAGGCAGCCCAGAAATCCTGGCATCGGCCGAGTTTCCCCTCTCAGAAGGCAGAACGACGAGATAGACTGTGCCTATCCTGCCCTCAGGGTGGTCAGCTTCTTCGGAAAGTCGTGGGACGTGGCCATGGGTTGCCCCAGTGGCGAAGCCAGAACTTGGGCCCTCGAACCCGACGAGGGCTCGCCGCTGACCATCAAAAGAATTGCAGACTCTGCCACTCTCATCTCAGGTAAGAGTCCCATCTCCTCCATCGCCCTCCACGTTCCCGACATCAACTTCCCTCTACAGCAGCAGCAGGATGAGGGTGAAGGCCCGGAGAGCTTGTCTCCGAGGCAGGCAGTCACTCTCCACGAGCGAGTCGCTGTTGGAACTGCTAATGGCAAGCTGCAGGTGTGGACCAGACACAAAGTGCTGGGCGATTGGGCTCCTACTTGGAGCACCACGGTCTCGACAGAGGGAGCATCCATCGTTTGTCTGAGCTTCCGAGCAGATGGAGGGCTTCTGGCAGCAGCAGCTTCCTTTTTGGCCAAACAGCTCACGGAGGAGGAAACCGAGGCTCTGCTCCTGGCCTCTCCTCCCAAAAAGCTGAAACGAGTATGTGAGCGTCTCTATTTGTACGAGACATTCTCGTGGGCCTGTGTGGGTTCTTTCAATTTCAGCTCTCAGATCGGCTCTTGCCTGTTCTATCGCCCACCTTTCAAAGCGGAGGACAGGAAGGATCCAACCAGCTGCGTGAGTCGCGAGAAGCTGTCCTCGTGCAGAGTGCTTCTCGTGTCCACTGCCAGCGGTCCTCAGACTCATATCCTTCCAGAGCACGGGCTCTTCGGCTACAAAGACGATCACGTCCGCTACCGAAGACAGCAATCCTTCTCCAGGAAGGAATCGAAAACTGTTCGTTGGGCTGATCTCAAACGAGACCGAGCAGGAGCACACAAATCATGCCCGAGCGAACAGTCACCCACATTCGGGTCAAGCACGAGCAGCGAGCGAGACCAACTTCGTCCGGTCACTGCACGAGATCTTCTGTGGACCCCCAACTCGCCCATGGGCAGAAGTGAAGCAAGGCGCAATGCTGCAGCTCTCAAACTTCGTTGTCGACCTCCCCCAATTCGATCGCGTTCTCACTCTCCTGCCAATGCTGCAGCTTCTGCCGCTGGCGGGTGCATGCACTCTGGCGGAGGAGGAGTGAGGAGGCAGCCTGTTCGCGATCCATTCCGAGATCCTTCGTTGCTTTCGCTGCCTGCAGAGTGTGTAGGCTTGCCGATGGAGGTTGTGATGAGGTACAGGGCTGGACTCCGTCAGTGGCCTCCACAAGTTAAGAGCAGGAAGTGTGTTTGCTGCTCCAAGCATGCCAGGTCCAAAGAACTTCCCATTCCGTATCCTATGGGTCAAGTTGTCATCCAGAAGCTCAAGAATGTTGCTGCCAAACAGACCCCACCTGCCAGGCCTGCTGCCACCAGGAAAAAGCCCACAACTCCCCAAGCTCGCAGACTCGCAGTTGACAAATCCACTGCTCTAGCTAGTTTGGCCACTCCCTCGCCCACCTCTTCACGTCCTCTCACTCCCCAGTCCAACAGAAGGAAAACTTTCCTCAGAGTATCCCCCAGAGCCGTCTACTCCAGAAGGTTTGATCATCGTCCTCGCCGTGAGCACGCAGTTGTCTCCAAATGTGGGACCGAGCTCTACGACGAGGACGAGGATGATTGTGCTTCTCTTGTGCAGCAACAAGTACAGGCACATCCTTGTGAGACGACCACTCCAGAAGAACCTTCGATTGGGGAAAAAGAAGAAGTAGATGATGACGAAGAGGAGGAGGAGGAGGAGGCGGAGCAACAGCAACAGCAGCTGGAGGAAGAAGAAGAACTCAGGGAGGCAGCAGCGGAACGTGGTCTGGGAAATTTGACTGGCTCATGTGGAGCAAGTCATCGTACTGTACAGCAACAAAAGCACCGGCCGCTTGTGATAGGAGGAAAACATTATTACACCACTGCAAAGTTTCAGCACTTCAAAGCGGGCAAGGAAAACTTTCATGATGTGGAACAGCTCTCCATCGATGCACCAGGTCAGCAGCAGCAGCAGCAACAGCAGCAATCGAATGCAGCAACTCAATACTCCACGACCGGCAAGGACAGTCCTGTGCAGAGCCAGCCGCAGCAGGTGTTCACAGATAGGAATTGTCCACAGCTTGTGGGAGGTGCCAATTTGCCTGACAAGCAGATCATTGGTGGTAACGAACTTGAAGATTTTCTAGTAAGATCGAGGTCCCCGTTAGCAGTGGTAGGCCCAGCCGTCAGGGAGATGGCCAAAGAGCGCAAGCTAGTGCAGCCGGAACCATTTTCCACCACCAAGCTGATGGCAAGGCTGCACGAAATCGAGCAGGAGACTTTCAGCGTGGATGCAGCTCTCGAAGTCGCTAAGCGCAGAGGCATCGAGTTGAATAAGGAGGACGAAATGGAGCTCAGGAAAGCTCTAGAAGAAGAGAACCAGCACGACACGGTTGCTCCCAAAGTGCCGGAACCAGAAGCACCAGCAGCAAGACCGACCTCTGTTCGTTATACCCAGCTCAAGAAAATAAATGATCCACGAGTTGAACATCCTGGTCCTTTCCTAGCTCCAAGGTGAACTCAATGCTCATCATCCATGCAGTCTAAAACGACCCTAAGAACTAGCAATTGGCCTGCAAACTCACGGAATCATGCTTAGAAACTGCATAGCAGCTCTCAATGGAGCCTACCTCCAATTGTCTGTAACTCCAAACCTGGTGAAGAAGTCATAAAAATAATGTAAATCTGTATACACTTCGCTTAATTTGTTTCTCTTCTGGCTAGAAAGTCAAGCACGAGCTTGCGAACATCGAAGTCGCACATTCTACAGTAACTCCAACATGGCTCTCAGCTCGAAAGTCAAAATCTATTGCTCCAAGGTAGTGATGAGTTGTACGTCGCATGAATTCTGAACTGAGATCGCAATTTTGTTTGAAACTGAAGGAAGGTGAGAAAGCAGGTGGATCCCAAGTGGGAAGATATGCGGATAATCAAGCCCACTCTGTCAGACCTGTTCGACATGAAAGAACGATGCGCCCAGGTTTTCTCCCTGCCTCTTCCTACACTCCCCTTCTTCGCACATTGTAGATTCACTTCCACGGCTCTGATGAACTATGTGAGACGACGAGAAGAATCTCTCTCTCCTCTTCCAATATCCCTCCAATATGCTTATCGATGAGTGTAACTGAGACGAGACTGCTGCTTTTGAAGGTGTGCTCGCCTGCACCAGCTGACATAGATCACAGCGTGATGTACGCCGGAACCGAGAGGGACGTCGAGGACAGCGAGATCTGGGCTCAGAGAGAGGCGACTTGCAGACATGCCTGGAGCTCCCAGGCTCTGTACGACAGTTACTTGTACAGACCGGATCAACGCGACCCGCAGTGCGCCTGCAATGCCCGAGTCCATGTTCGTCGGTAATACGCACGACCGCATGCACCCTACGTCCTGAGGTTTCCCACCCACATGACCGTCAAATCCAAATTTCGAGGCGGCGGATGTGTGTAATTCCGAGCCTGCAGCCAGTCGTCGACATTTACGTCTGATAACCTGGTGAGGATCTATCCTAACATGTCTGTTTCGAGGTGATTTACAACAGACTGGGCTACGACTCACACTGCGCGCTTTTTTTCTGTTTTCAGGTGATTTGCTCAGTTACCCATCTCTGAGAATCATGTCAAGTCCGAAGCTCATATCCGAAGGTACGTAACTCATTAAGGCTCCGTACAATCTGTTCCTGCCTAGTAGATCTGTGTTCAATTCTGAGTCTCGTGTTTTGGTTGTGAAAATGCAGATGCAGCAGTGGGCGAGTTTCCCAGTCCTCCATGGCTGCTGTCTCACATTAGAAGTTCACGCAATGCTTGGTGCGGATTCAACCTTAAGCGAGCTTGTCGAATATCTTGAGTTTATACTCGTTTTCGACTCGTCGTCCGGAGAAGGCTCACGTGTTTCACAATTCGCACACGTATACAAAAGCTGGTTATCTAATTGATAAATACACAAATGTCCCACATTTCTGCAGACTTCCGCACATGAGAAAAAGGAATACCCATGGGAAAGTGGGACTTCGTTGAAAACAATCTGGGAGTTTGTACATATCGGTATAATGCCGAGTTCCTAAGGCTGCTAACTATACTACACGCTTTAGACGATCTTCAGATCATGAAAAAAATCATCTGACGATGCTGCATTTGCTGAATCGTAAAGCAAAACTCGTTTGCTGAAGGACCGCAGGGCACGTTTCTCTTGCGAAGAAGCAGGCTGAACAATCACGACCAGTCCACTAATTAGCGATCGATCAATCATCACAAGAAATGCTTTGGGCAAATTTTGAACAAGAAAGCTTCGATGGAAGATACGCAAACGTACGAAGCTCTTTCAAGGGACAACATGGAGGAGGGTAAAGATCAAACTTACAAAAGACTTTTTGTTCAGAAGAATGTCGGTCACATAGTGGATCCAAAAGCAGTTGGTCTTGGGGAAACTGCATTAGTCAAGAGATGGGACCATGCATTAGAAAAGATAGTCTAAACAGCACATGCATTTTCTCCAGACTCATCGCAGCAACTTTCAATGAGATGAGCCCCCAAGTGGAGGTCTGACTTGATGATATACCTTCCTTCCCAATGGCCCTCGGTCAGATTCAGCATCCTTCGGTAAGTGTCGGACTGCATTCACATCAAAATCAACGTAGTACTAGTCGTTAGCCAGAGTACCGAAAGAACAAAACCCGAGGGCCTTAGGAGAGTCTATGAACGAGAAACGTCCTAGTAATGTGCGAATGTGACTAGGGCCTGTACATACCTGGACATCTCGTGTGGGACCTTCAAAAAGCTCTGGATCATTCGATAGATTACAGAAAAACACTTGCTTGCCTGCAAAAGAGACCGATCAGTTCTTCTCGCAATGTTAGCAGAAGACCATCCAAATCCAAATGCCTCCTACACAAAGATTTGAAGTTGCTCACGCAAGGAGGGCCGGTTCTCTGGAGTTAAAACCGTAACAATCCAACCTTCATGTTAGAAACATCAAAATTGTAGAGTAGCTCAACTGTTTTTCATGGTATCATACCGGTGTCAATACGTGACAGGGTGAAGTCAATTATTGAGACGGAAACACCAAATGTTTTGACGCGTATGTCTTTATCCAGTAACTTGTAGTAGCCATACTCATTTTTGTAATCTCTAGCTAGCACGATATTTCCCCTGCACATGAAAACAACCATTGGCTTATAGATATTAAATTGCAATAGCTTAGAATGTTATGATGACCAACTTTATGTGGTTGGTGTGTCACTGTCATCAAAATAAAATTCTGAAAGTTAGAATCACAAAACAGCTCGTATTGGTGACTATGGAAGAATGGGTACTTACCAGTGCAAGTCACGATGCTCAAATCCACAGGCCTCCTCTGCAACGGCCAGAGCGAGCACGACCTGCAAGAATCTCATACATCAGCTGCAAGCTATGATGGATTTGAGCTTTCCATTTCCAAGCAATAGTAAACTGTACCGAAGAGAACCTCAAAACATACACAATCATAAGGAGACACAAAGGGTCAAAACTTACTTGAAACAAAATGCTGCGTGCCTCATTGAAGCTAAAGAGAACGAATGTCTCTAAATCTATACCACCATCTGCCAGCACAAAAACGACAAACAGCTGTTCCACATGTCTTGATCAGAAACTGCAATCTAGAGGCTGATTGGCTTGAAAAGGTATATGCACTTCAAAATCTACTAATGGGATCCCCAATTTTTAAATGGTAATCAATACGGCACCACTCAATTTGACACTTTGCTCACATATAGAGGGGCTAGATGTAATGAAGTCTCAGACCTGCTTTTGAGGGAAAATCATCGGATGATCATTATCTGAAGCACGAATAGCATCCCAATCTTCCCAGGCTTTAATCAGCTCCTGTTCGTAGGTCCCTTGACAGATGTAAATACTGTGAAGACAGGCGAAAAGAATATTTGTTAACCTAGAGTTGCTAACCTATTTTGTTTCAATACAACTTGAGAATGTGAAATTCTTCATCAAGACTGACGTCGAAATGTCTTAAGCATACCGTTTAGTCTCGATGAAATTTGTACAAAAATTTGAACTTCTGGAAGAGGCATCACTTTTGACACAGCGCAAACGGGTGAGAGTGTTCGTCAAGAGCACCTCACTGTAAATCTCTGCAGATGTCTGCACAACCCTACAATAGTTCAGTACCTATCTCCACCAAGAAAAAGTAACAGCTACGACCCCCGAAAAGTTGAAAGATTGATTTCTGCACCACTATGACCCTGCACAGGAACAAGAAAAGCCTTACCTTTTGAACTTCTCCATTCACCAGAGTCTCCCCATCCATGGGAACAATCTTGAAGACGCAACCATCACCTTTAAAAGCTTCACCAAATGTCCCTTCGCCTAACTTCACTATGTCCGAGATGTCACTGTAATCCATCATCAAAGTCATTTAATAATGGAGCATCAGAGTTCAAGGAAATGATTGTACTTTGCGGATTACATTACAAAGAAAGTTCAGAATCAGGGAATATATGAGTCTTAATTCTAGCAAACATGCGTAAACGGGAATCTAGAGTTATTGAGAGAATATAAAGCAAAGCGTTGAAAGCCCCTTGAGAGGACTAAGACCAGGAGAGATTGATGCTAGATTTGGCTAAAAGTCAATGAGAGGCGTGAAAAGAACTGACCAGAAATTGGAAATGGCTTCTCTTAGGGATAATGGTCGGGTTTGGTGACATTCCTTCATTAAGGCCTCAAAGATTGGAAGAAGGTCTGTTCCTAAAAGTAGCTCTCCAAAAGGCAGCGAATCTTCCGAGTCTTCGGCCTCTTCGCTCTCACTGCAACCTTCCTCATCCTCACCATCCTCCACCAAAGACTTAAGCCGTTCTCCGGTGCTTACGCGGAAGTTTTCGCCAACTTGTAAACTTCTTAGACCAGAAGTCAAAACATCTACATCCCCTGAATATAGGTTCTGCTCTGATCTACTTCCGTCGGATAATCTACCCTTGCTCGATATACTTTCAGCTGAAAATCTCCTGTCGTCCGGATTCCTCTCAGCTGTAAGTCTCCTCTCGCTCGCTTCGCTTTCAGCAGAATATCTTCTAGAGTCTGATGACCTGGGCCTGGATTTCACATCTTCCTCATCATCAGAATCCAGATTCCATCCATGCACAACTTCCGTGCGCACAAAGGCGTCGCCAGATGGTTCCCTGGCTTGATCGAAGCCATCGTGTCTGAGCCTGAAGTCAAGCGTTTCAATGCGTCCCTTCGAGGTAACAGAATCCCTGCGACCTGCATAATGGGCGCTGACCGAATCTGGAGATTGCAGGGCTGCACTCAGCGCTGCACTTAGGCTTTCTGAGCTAAGCTCCTCCGACCCGGCTTCTGGGACAATCTCTAGAGCGCCTTTCCGTTGCCGATTCTTCGGACCAAGTTCCTTGGGGAAGTCAACATAAGCTTCGTGCTGGCGACTCCACGTACATCTCTCTTCTTCCGATTGCAGATCAAAGGCATCGATCTCAGCAAACATGGCCAACTTTTCTTGGACAAAATCCTCCGGGGGTTCGATCCTTTTGCTGCGGTTGGCCTGATGCATACCCACGACGGAGAGTCAAGAAAACAATATTGTATACTGGCTATCTAACTGCCTACAATTCTCAGCGGTACTATTGCAATCGCCTGAGTACCACATTCGTCATGTACAATTTTCGTCCATAGCTTTGACCCCCCAAAACTGAAATCGTTTGAAAGTGCTTTGACTGAACAATGTGACAATGACTGACAGAGACAAGATATGTACCATCGATGATTTTTTCACTGTTCCACTGCGATCACTATTTCCTTGTTTCTTCTTTTTCTTGGAACCCCAATCTGGTATGAAACGAGACCCCACTGAGTCTATCCATTTGAAAGCCATTGTGGAAAGATCGTATGCTTCTCCAAAACTCAGACTGCTTCGTCTTCCTCTGCAAGATGGACATATCGAATCTGTCAATTTTACCTGACTGAGAGAATCTAATCCTAGTCGATCCTCATGAACCTAAAGTATAACTGCAACTTGAGTTGCAATGATCACGACCCATTGAGACTCAACGGTCTCATTGTCCGACATACCCATCCAATGAGTTGTCTGACAACCGGATCTCATAATCTGTCATCGGGGACAGATCTGTCATCCACGAAACTCTTCAGCTGGCATTACCAAGTACAACTGTAAATGCGGATCAGAATGCTCTGTACTGAAAGTACATTACCGAGCGACAGGTAATAGAGAAAGATTTTGGATAAGAGCAATCTCAAGAACTTTCGATGTTGGTGCCAGTTAATCGATGAAAACTGTCAGAACAAAAGTACCAATTTTTTGCACATTGTCACTGGTGTCAATGTGCACGAATAGCGACGAGAGCTGTTGAAGCAATGAGAGCGCAAGCCCAGATTAATCGTCGTGCAAATGACGAAATTGGAGTCAAGGCCTGCAGGGCAAGCGAGAAAGGAGTCCACTAACGCCCCAGGCCCTTATGCGATGCTGTCAGTGGTCAGAACGATTCATTATAAAATGCAGATGAGGGCTGCCCCTATCCGGAAATCGATGGATCAGTCCAACTACAGAGGGTGAAAGCTGTTAAAGAACACACCTGTTTGACAGCGAATGATCAACCCAACTCTTTCTGTCGTTTTTCTTGCCACCGCTCACAGGTTTCGCCCTGTTGAATCACACCATGAGCTGAAGCAGACCGTGAAAGTTAAACATCCTGGTTGCTTTTCTCTAGAATGCGCAATCTAGAACTTCGAGCGAATGGCGTCCATGTTACATCCAAGACAATACATCTCAAGTCACTGCAAAGTCAAGGACTTCTTCAACACCAGGCGGATAAATATGTCCTCTTCGTGAACACTGCGGACTGCCTAATGCCGGAGACAAGGTTGTGTCGATCGCCTACCCATCGTTAGATCTGGATCCGGCATTGCGAGGAATCTGGACTGTGTCAATGTCAGATATTATCTCGGCCGCTTCGGCATCAGGCACATCTGAAACACTCTTCTTCTTTGGGCGACGTTTGTACACTACCGTCTTCAGGTCCATATTCCAAGATAACAGGAGAATAAACTGCAGAATCTTGATCGAGACCACGAAGCTACGTCAGCGTCATGAGATTCGTCCAATCAATTGCATCGCATGCCCCCTAACAGAAACACATATCCATATTCCATTAAAGCGTTCACGCATCGGCATTGACATTGCTCGCATATATCAGGCACCTTCCAGTCGCAATTCGTCCAGATCTTCACTGTCATAATCCTCAATTGCGTTAAACGTTACATCGGTTCTGATCAGAGATTTAGAGCTCCTTCCACTTTGGCAAGGGGACAATAAAATCGAAGAGAAAGCAAGGGAATTGTACCTGTCTAGAAGTCAAAAAACTCCGCTGATCTCATGGTTACGAATAGATGTTCAAAAGTAGCTTTCAATATCCAAAGCAGAAGTCACTTCTCTAGTCGGTAACTTTCTCCCTGCTGGTCACAAATGCAACAAGCATGGGGTCAGTAAAGACGTCCATTATGGCATTGGAATGAGTCACCAGCTAGGAAATTTTGCGGACAACAGAAAATCTTCACCTCAGACAAAATAATAACAACTTAAATCTTCCAAGAGGGCAACCATCTACCAAAGGTGAGACAAAAAGCAGCCCAAAGAGCTTCCTCTGCATCGTGCTTTTTGCACAACGTAGTAGCGAACCTCTCAACCCCAACGACAGACAACGATGTAAATTCCACTCACATACGCATAAAAATCCAAGTGCAGGATCGAAACATGAGATATAAACTCCCACCTACGCCGAAAGTCTTCAGAAGCCACCGAATTCAACAAAAGTACCACCACCCAACGTACATCATGGTGTCAGGAGGCGGGGTACCACCTACAGCATAGCCTCCCGACCCGGCCCGACCACATGCATGCCAGAGAGAAAAATTACCCACTCCAGCAGCAACAAGACACAAACTCACCACGAACCATCGCATCATCGTCGTCGTCTCGATCGCCCCACCCCTCGCAAAATGCTCGCCTGCTCTCCTCTTCCTCCTCCTCCAGCAGCAGCAGCAGCAGCAGTGACCTCGAAGCTCAGAATAATGGGACGCGCGACGAATTCCTCCCTTGCTCGCCACATTTCCTCGCGGTGCTGCGTCAATACTCCTCCATTCGCAACGGGCGCCTCGAGCGCCAATTCATCAGCGGGCGAAGGACTCGCAGCGGCGAAGCTTTTCAAATCGGATCCGAGATGCATTGGATCGATCGGCGGTCGATGGCAGCGCGCGGTGGCGACGGACGCTGCTGCAGATGCTGCTGCTCAAATTCAAACTCGGAGAGCGGGAAAGGGCCCGCTGCTGCTCTTACGTGATGGTTAACTGTATAGTGACCACCGGTCCCACTCGGTACCCGACGTCCCGTCACCGGTTCATGTGCTGCATACGGTCTTGTTGGCATGTCACCCGACAGCCCTGCCGGAATGACTTTGTGGTTCGCGGCGACTTCGCACTCAGAACTGCACGAACAGACAATCTAAAGTGTTTTTTTTTCCTTACAAGTATCAAGCAGCCATAATAAAGAATGGTCGGGTTATGGCATTCTAATCGCATAATTTATTTGTTATATGGTTTGAGTATTTTATAACCATCGAAAGTGCTTGTCAAAACAGTACGATCGCATCCCGACCTGTGACCAGCAGTAACCCCTAGTGACCGGCCCCTGCGAGCCAGCACGTGACGATCAAGATATATTAATAGTCGACTTACCGAAGCTTGAATGATAGTATTTATCTGTGGGGTTTACTCCCCCTACCAACACCCACGCCTGTAAATTCGCTCCAAGTGCGAAGGTTCTATTATGTCTCACTATGTTATAGGAAACCTTCAATATATAAATTTCAAGCTACGGATGTTTGGTGAACACAAACGCTTCATGACTAGCCACCTCGAGGATTTATTTAATGAACATGTCGAACTCTACTACTAGCCTTGGCAATGCACGATATGATTTCACCCGACACAAACGGGTTCGTAGTATATGACTTCATTGACAATATAGTTAACTACATATTAATGAAACTTCTATATTCATAGTTTTTGCTTCAATGTGTTTTGATACTGATATTATAGTAATTATCTTACATAATATAACGATATAACTATGTAAGGTTATGTAGAATGATAGGTTAATTTCTACCAAATAATTTAAATACTGAGTTCATTCTTCTATGGATATTCTTGTGTTATCGTGCCAAATAATAGAATTTGATATATTTTTCCTATTTACAAATTTCAATTTCTGATATTATTTCCATTATAGATAAATACTAATAATAATTTCAAAATCTGTTAATTATTAATTTAATAAATAGATAACAGTTTTAGAATTAATTTGATAATCTCTAGTCAAGAGCAAATAAGTTTAAACAATTACAATGTATACTATAAATCAATATATAACATGGCTGTAGTGTTTAAGATTTATTATGTACTTTTTGTCACGATAGATCAGTTTATAAATTACAATATATATATTCCTTGAATTATAGCATGCATTTGATCAATGGAAGTTGAAGACAGATAGCATTGATGTTTGTTCTTAACCTAGTGCTATCAAAAATAAGATGGGCATGTATGAGAAATCATTAAATCAGATGGGACATAAAAATCTATCGACATATAAATCAATTAGCTCTATCTTCTGCCTCCTAAATTTTTGCTTCTGCTTTGCGGTTTAGTGGGAGTGGTTTCCGTCCAACTTTTTTTATTACATAGTCTCCCTTCTCGCACTTCGAGTTGTTAGCTGACCTCTTTATTGGCAAGAATGAAGGACGAGTAGTAGCACGAGGTTTCGTGACAACTTATACAATAACACGACCGGACCATTCACTGACGACCTCGTTCACAGGACATATTCCACGACCTCGAGCAAACGTGAAAATTAAATCTAGGATCGAGTAACAATGCCAAGCAAAGGTTCATAAGATTGCGTGACGACCACCACGTACTGTACAAACTTGCCCGTCCACCGAGATGGATACTGTATAGATACGGAGGACCGGCTCAGCGAACTTTATGCTGCCCCCATTGAGTGCCGGACCACTGCCGATCAAATTTCCTGGCACCGACCGGCTTTGCCAAGCACTTCTGGCGAGCTCATTCGGGAGCACGGGAAGTAGCCGGGACTCGGGAGTCCAATCCCCACTACATCAGCTCCAGAGTCAAGACTCCGGACATCCATCACTCTACCCTTCTATTAATGCACGGGAAATTGTAATAACTTTATCCATCTACGTGGCATTCCACGTATCCATCCCTCGGATCTCGTCGCCGACTTGCTACTTGACGTGCCTTCCAGCGGAGCGCCCTCTCAGCTTACTCTCTCGTTGCACTCTCACGTGGACTCGTTACGGTGGAACTCCCTGAGTAGAAGTAGGTGCACTGACCGCCATTGTGAGTGGAAAGGGATTCAGAGTGACATAGAGATCGAGTGTTTGCGTTTGTGTGCGTGTGTGGGCGCTAGAGCAAGAGAGTAGGTGCAAATCTCGTCACCTTGAAGATTAAACTTGCCGACATTTCTGCAATCTCCACTTCTCAAGAAGTTAAGGGCCGCGCTCCACTCTACGAGGAGGATGAATGAGTTGGAGCCAAGTGGAAGTCTACGTTGAAATCGAAGGGGCAACAAGGTCCACTTGTACGTGGTACAGGAACTCTTGTTGGGGTTACAATGTCCTTCATGGGCCGCATCTACTTGTGCTATAGGGGTCACTATAGTTAAGTAACTAGAGTTGAGGGACGAGACTAAGACTAGGCTAAGTGCGCTAGAGCTAGATGGGATTAAATAGATATTATACTTCATAAATCCCAGTTTTATTAACGAGCCCAAGATGGGTTGACGTCAATCACCAACAGGCAACCTCATGGTGATGAGATTGGCTGTTGTAATGTAGCGTAAAAGTAGAGGAACACCCATCTCACCTACGGTTTTGATGTAGCTAAGATGGAGGAACCCAGGTCAAGTTAAATGGAAAGGAGTACAATCAGTATAGAACATGGAAAGTACTCCGAACATATAACAGGTTTTCAGAAAATTACAGATTGTTTTATGATGTCAAATTTACGGGCCATGTACGTGTACATGTGGAGTCACTATCGTTGTTATTGGTTGCAGGGAAAACTTGAGAGCCAATGCGCGGATTCAAGATGAAATGGGGCAAGTGGTCCAAACAAGCCATTGAGGGGAGGAAATTATTGATGGATCCCTTGGAAACTTAATCCGTGTTGAAGGGACCCATCAGGTTTCCTTTTACCCGATGGGACCATTCGACGGCCACCCTAAACCATGTTCTTATAACTTACTGATTTGCTCTAAAGAGTGGGGAGTGTCTGCCACTTTCGGGCCAGAGTATTTTGGCGACTAGTTCGCAGCCTTGTCCAAGAAACGACGCGCACCATGACTCTGAATTACTCCGCATATGATCTTACCGGGACTTCATACTCTACTCTAAATAACCCTAGATAGTATTGGAACATCAGTGACTGTGGAGCTGCAGGCCGTCGATTTTTCCCATAGTGTGAAACCCGTTGTAATCCCATCAAGTGTTTTGAGTTTGCTCGGAGTCCCATCAACTAATTTTCTCCAATTAGGGAGAGGAGAGAACATAATTTCACATCATGATTCTTCGTCTACTAGTAGGATTAAATTGGCTGAATAGAGGAAGTAACCCAATATGCATCATTTTTTTGATAACGATTTAAAAGGTGAATATAAATATTAATGAACGTTTTTTAAACAACAATTACCATTGTAACCTGTGTATAGAATTACAAGGCTCCAAGAGGAGTAAAGTGGTTAAGTAGAGGGATCAACCCAATACGCAATATTTTTTCAACACCGATTGTAAAAGGTGAAACTAAATATCAATTGATGTTTTTGTAAACGATAAGCCATTGCAACTCGTGTATAGGAAAACTAAGCTCCACCTTCTATCCTGTGTAACCACACAGGATATTACAGAGAATATGATAGACTCACTGCGGACAATTCCTTCCAAACCCTCCAGTGTCAATAGTGGAAGGAGTACATGGTATAATCTCCTTGATAATAGCATCTACTTCCACATTGCAAATTTCAATGTGGAATCTGATCCATTTTTCTCTCATTGAAAGTATATATTTTAGGTCTTTTTGAAGAATATTGCGATGTGCTATATCAAGCTATATGCGTAAAGAATCAATATTAGATTGATCTAGATTAAATTATCAGTATTCAATTTAAAATTTATATTTGTATATGCAAAAATGTTCAACCTATTGTGCCATATAAACATTTATCATTTGTTAAAAAAATCATGACAATTAGATAGATATATATAGTGGCCATGAACATTAATAGAAAATTGCCTTGTAATTTCTTTCCTTTCTTTGTAGATTATTTCAATATTTGAACATGAAGTGATCCTGTGATTCATATTTATTTGAAAATCTATCCAAAATAATTTTCAAAGCTTGAATTATTACAAACAAATATTCAATAATTAAGCATATTTTGCATGCACAATTCTTGATCAAATTGACTTACAAAGTATTTTTTATTATTTAATGTGATATCAAACAATTTATTATAGCACAAATTATTTATAAAAAAATTGCTCTCAATCAAAAACTATATTCCAATTTCATTTTATTTTCAATTTGATCATGTTAATTTCAAAATATAATTTTAAAAATACTCATTAAAAATAATATGTTGGTGATTGTATGTATAAAAAATTATCTTAAAATCAAAAAAGACATAGTGATATATTAAATTTAAATTATATCTGAAATAAAGAGATGCATAGATATGTTATCAATTAATTTTTGTTTGTGAGATTGTGTTATTAATTTTTTCAAACATTAATATCAAAATACCTGAAACAAACATTGTCTCAATATTATGTTAACATTTAAATAAAATTTAACTTTTATTAATTTTAAATATTATTATTCAGCTAAAATATAAAATAGTTTTAATTGTTGATATATTTATCATATATAATTTTTCTTCTAAAATTCAAAAATACGTTGATTGCTAAATAAATACATAAATAATTCATCACAAACATAACACAAGGTCTAATAGATATTTTAAATCTTAAGACTATATATAAAAGATACACTCTAGTGTCTACATTTTTATCACAATATTTTTCAATTACTCACTTTGTTTTTTTATATTAAAGTTATTAAGATTGCAGCTAAATATTTTTTTAAAATATTAAAAAAACTTCAATTGCTTCTTTAAAATCATGTAAATTTTTTGATTTATTATTTAAATACATTGATGTAAGTCAGATTTACATTATCATATACAAAACATTTTAGAATCATAGTATAAATTAATTGGATATCTCAATATACTGAAATAACCATATTTAACATTCAATTTAAAATAGAATGAAAGAAATTAGGTCTCAGAGATTATTTTTATAATAATATCCATCTTAGTAACGGTTTCATGTTTATGATTAACTAAATACTGAATGAAATCACGAATTAAATTCATTTTCCATTGTTTTATGAAATAATAATTTTCAATTTATCAAAGAAATATGAAATGATATAAAAGGCTTACAAGATTTGACTAAAAATAATGAAGAAATAGTTTATCTAGCATGCATTGTGCAATTCTTTTAGAAAGACCAACCACAAAATTAAGCCCACATTTTTGTATATAAAGATGGTAAAGTTATTATCACTACTGTCATTATCTGTGTTTCCTTGTAAAACTTAAAACAGGATTCTGCTTGATGTATCCAATTAGATCTGAGTTTCTTTGTATAATATGACTTTGTCATAAAACTACATTCTTTTCAAGAGTTATCTCGCAATATAGATAATTATATTAATCATTCGTTTTCTTAATTTAAAGTATTTAAGTATAAAATTATATTCAATTTAAAATCAAATTACTATTTTATTTATATGTAAGTATTATTGATCTGAAATAATTCTTAATTGAATTTGTGGAGAAATGACACATAATAAATGTGAATTGAATTTGTGAAGACCATTTTGAATGTTATGTCTTAACTTATCGTTGCTAGAGAGTGTTAACATTCATCCAATATAATACCTTGTGTCATGTGTAAGTTTGGGAAACATCAACTTTGCATTTATATACGGTAACTTTACAAAATATATATGTGGAATCAGGTAAAAATATATTAATTGAGAGACTTTTTTTCAAGTTATCACTCTTGTTTCATTCCATAACAAACATTACACATCTAATGGTATCATGTAAAAATATGTCGTTTTTTCAGACGTGAAACAAGTCACTTGCATTTTTAATGCATCTTAATCTAAGTAGGTAGATTAAACCAAGACATAACTTCATTCCTTCAGAGAAACTAGCAAATGCGAACTGAAAAGCTACTATGCATTATTGAACATACATTCATGAGCTGTGTCGATCCTCTCATTTTCATGTTTCACACGTAGGCTCATGTTTTAATTATGCAACCAAACAGATTGAAGATTCTTCTATCAAACATTCTCAGCTGTGGTACGAATTCAACGGAGGAGTAAGTGTGTAAAGATAGAGAATTGAACAATCAAGATCCGCTGAAAAATCCAGTGGAAAAAAATTGTTTAGATTAGATCAGAATATATCAAACAACATATGCATATAACTTAGAAAAAAAAGAGTCAATAATATAATACATAATATACTTAGAAATAGCTATATCTGAGTGGTATGAGACATAATACTCATATCGAGAAAATACTCTTAAAATGCGTAAGCATGCTATTGATACGATGCATCAATTTGAAAGTTAAGTATTAAGATTTTTAAATCGTCAAGATGAAATTTAATAATCAAATGCCAATGTAATGCGTTTTATATGTTAGTAATGTGTGTATCACCTGCTAGGAAGATATCACACAACTTCAAAACATACACAAAACGATAAATATGATATACATAAGATGTCTTTACATGATGCTTTTGTGAAGAATCAACATGATGATAAATGATATAAGGTTTTGATCTTTAAAATAATCATATGAAAGAAATGAAGCTCCTGAAAGTTTTATTTTCCTATCTAAGCTATCTAAAGATGGATGCATGCATACATCATAAAAGAACATTGTTAACGTCCATAGTCAATACATACATTTTAGATGGATTACATACAAAAATTGAAACCATTTCTAATTCACAAATCTCAGAAACTATGACATCCCACATCATATGGGAAAAAGCTAAGAATTAAAATCTTAAACAGTAGAGAGACTTATCAAATTAGCTATAATTCCGAACCATTCCATTTATTTCCCAATAAAACAAATAAGATATTGGATCAAAATCTACCCTTACGTATGACTTGAGAAAAATCACTCGAGGTTCTAAGAATAATAATTTCACTTATGTTGTCCATAATGATCCATTTAGGTATCAGTGAAAAATGAATAGGGATAAACATTTAATTTTCACTACTGGAAAACATAACCCTAAAATACGTGAAGAAATAATCCCGGCCTTCCAACTACTCTCCTCTCTCGCTTCTCCCTCGGTGTGTCGACTCACATCACATCGTGCAATTCACAGTAGAACAATGTCATGACGTGATGCTTTTCCATAGGCTCATGGACCATGCAGGTTCATGTACTTTTGATCAAGATACTTTGGATATTTTAGTTGCAATTTAACTTCTTTCCCATTAAGATGTCAGTGGAGATTATTCCTTGTACTACTCGACTCCCTTTTTGCTCTTTTGCCTGCTACCTTCTGTTTACACTATTCTCAAAACATAATTTTATATTGAAATAAAGATATTTGTACCTTTTGTCGTTACGTATTCGTATAGTCAACTTTGGCTCAACGAGAGACAAACTTAAAATGAATTATATTCATATGAAAATTTCAGATTCAGAGAATCCTTTTGTCCAGTCTTGTGACCACAACTACAGAGGTTTCAAATCCCTAGATATGCAAGGAATTGGCTCGTGTCAAACGTTGTTCCATGTACTTCCCGCTAGATAAAGTGTTTAATTGGTATTAAAATAACAATTATAAATCTTCTACACTTTTCGTTTGTTCACCCATCCAAAAAAAGGATTTGATCGATGTGCATGTCAACGCTATCTTCCTGTCAACCATAATAAATTTAGTAATATAGGTGAAATATTCATTCAGAGAATGGTCTATTGACCTTACTGAATTTTTATCACCCAATATGCAGAATTTCAGGAACGAGGGTCATACCCCCACTCTCATATCACTTTTTTAATATACTTCGGTGCGTGACACCTGTATAGGGTCTGTTGGAGGAATTCATAGCAACGGGCTTTAACACATGCAAAACAAAGCTCCATGTGCACATCTATTTATAAGAAGTCGATCGGATAATCCAGCAATAAATGACAGTGAGGGTTGTCGACATTAGATGGATCGGTGTCCTGGTCTATGAACCATTTGGGTAAGTAGTGGAGAGTGGAGGATGAATGCTGCTCGAAGATTCAGAATGTTAAGCCTTCCAGATATGTTGTGTGTGTGTGTGTATGTGTCATCGAGATGTGACCTCTGACAATCAGACGGTCACACCTCGATGGTATCTGCACCTCGTCAGAACATCTATATTTGAACAGTTATCGATAGCGAGCTTGAGCCATACAAAGTTGGAGGCATCGTCACTCTTTGCTCTTCACTAGTCATGCAAATAGAAATGGTCAGTAAGGAGCTTGCAGCGTCTGGATCAAATCTGCTCCAGTCTCTAGCCCACAGTGCCACGGAGGTTTTCGGTCAAAAATCTCACTTACTTTTTCACTGAACTCTCGGCTCTCACGGCCAGATCTCAGGTACTTGCTGTATCCGTAGAGCAGTTCGTGCTCGCGTTAAATAAATTCTCTAGGATTCAGCACTGCTGACACATAAACCGTACATTGAAAGTTTGCGTATCGAAGAACACTTTACGCTAACCAGAGCTGCTGACTCGTCTCAGCATACAAAAGCTCAGACACATTCTCCATCCAAGAAACTCGCCGTTGCAGTTCGTTTGTTGACCAGAGATGAGACAAACAAGGCAAAAATGAAAAGCCATGAACAAGTGCAGGCGTTGGAGAGATTGGTCAAAAATATGGCTGCTATGTATAAGAACTTGTATTAGAACTTTGTAGATCTTCACATTTGAACGGAGACTAGATCCCGACGTTCTAGATAGTCCTATAACCGAGTGTTGGTTTCCTACTTGCATCTCCAGTGCAGCTGCCGAATTATGTGAAACCCTTTCGCTCAAGGGTTATGACCTGGTTGGCTTTTGTTTTAAGGTAGAGGAGGAACCAGGTAGATCTCCTCGTTGCTTTCGATTATGAGCCGCTAGGCTCCATTCACATTTATGTACTGTGCAGCCGAAGCACTAACAACGTTATCGTGTGCGGTGGAAAATCCGGCGCTGGAGCTCACTGTGACTCTCATAATCTCTAACCAGAGTAGCTGCAGTATGCATCCAGCGCTCGGAGCCTCAGAGGACAGAGGAATCGTTTCCGTCCTTCCAATTCAGATCTCAGGGCACCCCCACCCATACGGCAATAGTGTCAAAATCACGGCTCCTCCTCACTCCTTGCCGTCGGCTGCGCGCAGGGAGCCCAACGCTACGGGTGCCTGCGTGCCCACGACCTTCGATGTGGCGTACGTGTCCATAGTCACACCCTTAGCCTTCTCCTTCTCGACCTGCTCTAAGATCCAGTAGTATGTGATTCTAAGACCGTCCTGTTTCAGCACAAACGTCAACCCGTCGGTCGGGTGGTCAGTGCATGCACGTGTGGCACAATTAAGAAAGCATGGGGAAAGTCAAAATTGTTACAGTGTGCAGTGGGCATGAATGCCAGAAGATTCCGTTATTTAACCGACGGTGCTTTGGGTGATGGTGCTGTGCTGTTTACCTTCAGCCTCATTGTCGGAGACCATCCTAATTTCTCCTTGATCAAAGTGTTGTCGGAGTTCCTTCCCCTCACTCCCTCGGGTCCGGGGATGTGTTCGATCGGCAAGTCCTTACCCTCGAAGCTCAGCACGATCTCTGCCATCTCGTTCATGCTCACCATCTCGTCACTTCCGATGTTTACTGGCTCAGAGTACTCTGACTTGGTCAATCTGCATTGGCATATATCACCAGATGAGTAACATGATGTGTATTCAGTTAAGATTTCAATTCATTCGGTACATGTCTCAAATCAAAACTTCACAATCTGAGGGAATTTCGTCGGCTCTCACCGGAGGACACCCTCGACACATTCGTCAATGAATGTGAATGATCTGGTCTGCTTGCCATCTCCCCACATTTCGAACTTCTCGGTGGAGGTGATCGCCTTTCTGCAGAAAGCAGCAGGGGCTTTCTCACGTCCTCCTGATATATCGAACAATCAGCCACTCTGGTTAGAACACTCTGCACCTGACCGAGTTGACTCAAATGCAAGAGCATTCATCGCGCAAGAAGTGAAATTTGATAAAATTTGCGCCTCACCCTTCCAGGTTCCGTAGGGGCCGTAGATGTTGTGGAATCGTCCAATTCTACACTGCATTCCGAAGTCCTTGGTGTAATGCTTGCACAGCTCTTCGGTCGCAAGCTTTTCCAAACCGTAGGCATCTTGTGGCTGCACAGGGGAAGGCCCAACAGAAGTCGTTGACATTAGTAAAGGCAGTTCGAGCATGCAATTTTGATCCAAATTCATAACAGAAATTGCCCGACACTTCACACCATTCCTCACTATATGAGCTCATAATCCGACTCTGACGGCTGTATTTGTACCGCAATCATTAAGACTCACTACATACTCCGCATTTGAACTACATCCGATGAGCTCACTTCGTTGTCATTTCACTTCGACGCTTAAGTTTTCTGGCATCGACAGAATGCCATACTATCAGGGGTATGTCCACAGGGGGGTGTACCTCAGCGGGCCAGGCGTCGGCTTCCTTCAGGCTGACACAGTCGACGTCCAACTGCTTGTACTCTGGGTAAATGCATGCGCTTGATGCGTAGAAGAATCTGTAATCAAACACCGACATATGTTACAAGTCTATCGACAGTAGTGAGCAGATAGACAGTCGATCGGCAGACCCTGAGGAGGCACTCTGTGCAAGGGATCGCTTACTGCTTAATAACACAACCCTAGGTTTCTCAATTAGAATTCGACTGCTACCCAAGATTTCATACTCAGAATCATCACTTGGCACTCTGTGACGGCGCGGTGGAACTACCGTTCCAATTACAAGTCGTTAACAAAAATCTTCACTTATTATAAAGGAGCTGATTCTCTCGAGGAGGAAAAGACAGATCTGAAGGTCCAGATTTGACATTTCATTGACGTGACTGGACTTCAAAGGGCTCCAGGAGATTTGAGTCTCCGGAAACACCCCAAGTCGGCCAGGGTCAACCACCGACAAAATAAATGACAGATGGATTTTGCGGCCCAAATCTGAGACAGAGGTGAACTGCAATTTTGGTACAAGATTGTCCCCGAACACTACTTACAACTGAGAGGCACCTTGCCATAATCAAGAACAAGACTGCGGGGATACACTCACAGGGCGTGCAGATGGGGACAATGACCTAGTGAATACATCGTAGCAGTGTACGAAAAATGAGAGAATATTCAGTTCTAGGGAACAAGATTTTCTGCAGGCACGCAGTACCGTTCACGAATCTGCCATGCATGCAGGCAACGTGCAAAGGGGCCATTCCAGTCAAACCGTATCCTCTTCGTACAAGAGAAACCGAGATGAGGGAAATTGCCGGCCGCCATGCCAAGACCTGTCGAGCCGACATCGGGACAGGAGGCTGGCTAATCGACCGACTGTTTGAAGAGTGGTAATACCATGCTGGTGCAGGCAAGTACAGACGACAATCTTGATAGAAAGACCATGAAAAATCGTGGGGAGGAATAAGAGAGAGCGAGAGGGGCACCTCTTAACACCGTTGATGCGGGCGGCTTCGAGCATGTTGAAGCTGATCATGGTATTGTTGTACATGATGACCGAGTGGTTGGACTGAATGAATCCCATGCCTCCCATGTCGGCGGCCAAGTTGAACACATGTTCCACATCCTGTGTGACCTTCAAACAATTTTCCATGACCCTGAGGTCGACCAGATGGAACTCATCACAGAACATATCCTCGGTCATGTGCTCGTTCCTCTTCCAATCGGAAGCAATCACGTAATGCCCCTCGCTCTTGAGCCTCCTGGCAATGTGCGAGGCGATGAAACCCCCGGCACCTGTCACAGAAATTCGCAACTTCTTCTCGGGCCAGTACAGCTCCTTGTCCAAGTTTGTGGCCTCGTACAGCCCATTGGTGGTTCCATTCACTCCGTTCGAAGCCATATTTCCTCGCCTGCCCCTTCCCTTCCCCCTTCTCTAATCTCACACAGACGATCTCTTATTCTCCCACAGCCTGAATGAAAATCCACTCACTCTCTCACTCGCTCTGGCTGTCTGCTCGACTCGATTTCCGCCTCACAGCCTGGGAACTGATACCTCGGAGGCTTTTATAGCCTTCGGAAGCAAGTCCCGACGCAAGTGAGCGTGAATGAGTGATTCCAGTGAATGTCAAGTCTTTTCGCTGTGGCGTGGCAGATGAGTAAACGATGAGAAGTTCTAGTGCTGATATAGGCCACCGCACCACAGACTGCACATCCACTCCTCCTCCCCCCTCCCCTCCCCTTCCCTTCCGTTCCCTTCCACAGTGCTCCTATCATATAATATGATTTGCCCTTTACGACGCTTCTTTCGGGATCCGGTGCCACCTTCGGTCGCTTCTTTTCGCTGGTCTCACTGCCTGCCCTGCCCGGCCCTGCCCTGCCCTGACCTGTCCTGGCCTCCCCTTCCCCTTCCCCTCGCCCTCCCCTGCCTTGCACTGCCCGGAGTCCGGAGCTCCAGAGGAGGAGATTCTGTTGCACGCATATGCCTCTCTCTGTTGGAGATACCAGGACGGAGTACTGGCCGGCGCGCCCGCTGCTGGCATACGATGATGCGAGGCATACGCATCTGGATGTACGTCTTCGCTTCGAGGACTAAACCTCCGGTGAACCGCGGTTGGGTTATGATCGTTAGCGGTTCAGAGTTTCCAGTACCTCCATGGATGATCACGTTCTTTCGGTCGTCAGCGGTAGATCGTGAGATCGGATCTGTCCGGGAGCGGCGTTTTTCCGTTGTCCTGAATTTGAAATGCGGTTTCCCTTCCGCTTCGAGCGATGGATCTCATGCAAAATATCTGGCTTAAGGTTAAATCTAATGGTCTTTAAAATTATTGCTTCCACCCAACTTTAAGCATCATTTCTCCACAGCCTCTAGAGCAATCGAGCGCATGCGTAGCATCTAGCTCCATAATTTAGACCACTGTATTGATTGTTCTGTATCTTCCAAACACTTTGTAACAATAGTAGCCATTTCTCGTCCTTTCTTTCGTACGCACACCTGTCGATAATAATGGCCGCAGGGGTTGAACATTTTCATCGCGTATCCGCGAAATTATAAAACAATAATGAAAAGCGAAATTTAGACGTGAATCCAGACGTTAAGTTTGAGGTTTGGCAAGAATTCAGAACGCCAGTGAAGGCTGGGTACGTTGTTCATGTCGTGTATTTAGGAGTGACGTACTGTAGGTCGAGGGCCCAAAGTACGGCGTTGATCGTACAGGAGCTGACCGGAAGACGGACTGATGCAGATATCCCGCAGGAGCACGAAGTGGACGCCGAGAGTATATCGCGGGAACGGCGTGGCAGCACGGAGCTACATACAGTTAAAATCGACCAACAGTCCGATGATGTCGGTCAGTCCGGTGCTGGGCGCTAGCGGAGCAGCTAGTTTAGCTAAAGTTCGCAAGGCTCGGAGTTCGCCACCAGGTTCCTATAGCGTCTATGTGGACATTATTGCATGACGATGGTGAGCCATCCATGGGATGCGGGCAAAGGGTGGCGGTGAGCTCACGTGGACGAACATGAGCTCCCCTTGCGCTTCCTTGCAGTGCACAGCAGGGCCGCCGGTCGGGACATGCCAGCGACGGGAAGTGACGTTCGGATTCTGCACATGCCCCGGGGCCCAAAAGAAAAAGGGGAAAAGAAGAATAATGAAGCCCTAAGATCCTTCCTCCTCCTCGATCAGCAAGGAACGAAAAGGATTTCTTGCATGCCTTATCAATCCTTATAAATATTGTTCCCTCAAAGTTGGGGCTGTCATCGCACCTTTTAAAACATTTCCTCCAATCTCACCTTATTCCACGCCTTTACTCTCCCTCCTTTAGGGAACACCATGACCTGTTCAACCAGTGAAAAAAAAAAGGAAGGTTGACGAGCCTCGTCACATACCTCACAACGAATATAACGAAAGATTCTAAGAAAGGGAAAGGTGTGAGAGTGGAGACAAACCTATAACACCACGAATTATTCACCGTTGTGCATTGTTTTTTATTTTTTCAAGTTTATTCATTCACAGAGTTTTGTTTTCTATTTACGTGCATCGTTTGCAGATCGTGTAAGAACGAAGTTAAACGATACACTTTGCCCAAGGACCGAACGAATCTGTCTGCTGGAATGGACCATTTCTCGATTTGTGCATGTCATGCGTTGATCATATGGGCTTTAATCGAATCAACAACTTTGATTACCCTAATGTATTTGACCGGTAGAAGGTGGACTCAAAGGGGGCCCTCCGAATCATCCGGTCTCCGGTGAAAGGTCACCGGGTTTCTCGGTCGAGGTTCTTCCCGCACAAAGCTTGAGCTAATGGGAAGTCCCGGCAGCAAAGGAACAACGGCCTACAGTCACTAGGATAAGAACCCCTACCTGCCATGGGCCAATGACTCCATCCCGGGCCCCAAATCCGACCAGGGGCTCTCCTTTGTCCAGAGGGCGCCGGTTTTCTTCTCTTTTGTCCAGTCTGACTATAGCCTTGGCCGACGGGTTCCCAGACGCTATCGTCCCCGCATTCCCCATTCGATAGAATCTTTAAGGTATATTCTCTGGCAAATGGCGTCCCTCGCCGGCCATAACGCTTCAAGCTTCTACGGGGCGCAGCAGCAGCCGACAGACGGTGCTCAACGTAAGCAATCAGCGCAGGTGGCTTTGGCAGGTAGCCGTGTATATATTACGCGACTTGGATCTTATTTCTAAGACTGGATTCCTACTCCACATAAATACATAAAATTCTTCGGGAAAAATCATGTGGACAATGATTCCGCTAGGTACTCCGAGATTTTGAGAGGCTTTTTTTGCCGTATTCTAGGTTATATTCCCCTCTCCGTCGCCGCGCGAGCGTTGGAGAGGGGCATGGAGTACAGCCCGGATGGCAGAAAGTATGGAATGATTCAGACCGTGTAAAAAATATTAATCCTTACAAAGACCAAAGGAAAACTAAAACTACCAGCACGATGGCAAAGGCATAGGAGGTTTCCACTCACTCACTCTCATGAAGTTCATGTCTCATTTCAATAGCTATACTTACTGAATCTTGTTAGACGTCATCGACTCACTCACTCTCATGAAGTTCATGTCTCATTTCAATAGCTATTCTTACTGAATCTTGTTAGACGTCATCGACTCTTGTTTGTTCACGTCCCGAGTATTCAAAACTTACCCTCCAAATAATTCAGCACTTTTTTTTTAACCTATCGAAGCCCCTCTGGAATCTTGCATTGCGATCAAAACTTAGATATCGAACAACTGAAGGAACACCTTTAATTTTACGAAGCCCCTCAAGAATCGTGCATTACAGTACAGAGTTGGGGAGAACTGGAGACCATTTGGCACCCACGTCAGCAATCGAATCAGCCACTGGTGAGAGATTCGTCCAGTCTGCAATGAACGGCTGCACTCCACGTTGATTTTGTGGTCGGAGACCAAATTGGCGACGTCCGGTGGACGCGGGACGACGGCGAGAAGACCCGGCAGCCCGGGGCGGGCACGGAGGAGCTTACACGACGTGGCCGGCGCGGACGCTGTACAGCATGGACGGATCACCGTGGACAGACAGACAGACAGGCAGCGAATCGAGAACCGAAAAGAGAACGGAAGGGAAGGGAAGGGAGAGAGAGAGAGGGCGACGGGACTGGGTCCAGCTGGGGTGCCGAAAGTCTTCGTCCTCTGACTTCGATCCGTCCCTCTACGGGACTGGGCCTTGGAAAAAGGTCAATGGTCGATGTGCCTTGTGGCACATTTCTCACGAGCCTCTAAGGCGACTTCCCCTCCTCTTTCCCGGGGGGCTAGAGTGTAATTTCGAGTTGAGAGTTTCACGTCATTTCCCGATCATCCCACGTCTTACACCCATAGTTGAAATGCACCTATATAGAAAGATTGACTTAAAAGATTGCCAGGGATACGAGAAAATTTAATATTCTTCCTTCCATTTTACTCGAGTCCCACAGTCCCAAATTGTGGCCGAGCGGAGTCCAGTACTGAGCTCACCAACGCTCCGACTTTACTGTGAATGTGCAGATATTTGACAAGGTGCCATCTTGTGTGACTAAATGTTGGGTGCATCTCGTGTGACTAAAGCCAGCAATGCATATGCATATTCATTCCTCGTTCGAACATGACAGACGTTTTCAGTCAGGCGAAAATATTCCTCCCTCTCCATTGATTCATGAAACATATATGAAAGACCGACTCGCAGCTCTTATCGATTATTTTACTTCTGTTTATAGCGTTTCGTGTAGGATCGGAAGAGATAGTCTCGGATGCAGCTGATTTTCTATGTGTTTCTCCTCTGGAGGCCACTGGGAAACGTCACCTTCTCTGGAGGATTTTGTCAGCTTGATGAGAAGGTGATAACGAAGAATAAGGCACTTATTACCGATCCAGGCCCTCCTCCAGGATCCGGCCTGATGATGACTTTAGTCAATGCAGGACGTTCGATGCTTCCACTCTTCCACAGTTATTAGGGGGCATCGCACTGACAGCTGAAACAACCATCGTATCAAAAGTTTTCTACACCAGAGCATCTAGCACGATCGGAGAGGCCTCTGGGGCGAGGGTACCTTGGTGAGCAAGAGGCTCACTATGGGTTCATCTTTCATTCTCTCCGTATCTTAGATGTCTTCAAGTTCCTCCTACTAATTAACGTAGAGATGGTTGTCAAGAGCCGATCCGGTCCACCATAGTGGACCGAATGGAATCATCTGCACAGTTGGTCTCGGAGTTTGACAAAAACAGAAGAGCGAAGTTAGTCTTAGTCATGGTCTCGGAGTTTGACTAACTTCGCTCTAATGTGTTTGACAAAGTCCGTTTTGGACCAGGTTCTTCTGAGTCTGCATGCTTCACGCGATTAGTTTCACTCATCCCTTTTGTACATGGATGACTCTCCGTGAACTAGACGGTACGATGCATCCGACCTTCCATTATGTCTTCCATTCTCTTGCAAGTTTATCTAAGGGATCAGCTGTTGGACCCCCGATTTCTGGACATGCGGAGTTGCTTCAATGGGTACGTACGATAGACGACAAGTGAGAGTGAGAGGGCCGGACGGAAAAGTGGCTTTACAGTGTTAAAACTGGACAGTATTAGTTCGGCATTCGGACTTGATTGCCTCAATTCTGTAGCATCCGTCGTCGAGGCAGCAAGTTCAGGGTCGAGCTAGAGTCTCATTCATAGAAACGACATCAGATGTGCTTGATCCGATCTCGATATCAAGGCTACAATGCCAAAGAAAGCTAGCACGCACCATGTGCATCAATTGTTTACCGCACTATGTGTCCAGGAGTCGACGCATATGCGAACCCTGAAACCCAGTCAAGCATTATATAAAATCAGTGGACCGAGCTTGAGCAAGGATGGTTAGCTGGCAAAGGATCCCAGGAGATACAAAACCATGCCGTGGGAGTCGACCACTGTGCGGCAACAGCACCATGCTTTACAGCCATGTTGGAGAACAGTGGGTAACCACATGTCCCAGCCGAGAAACCCACAGACTGCTATTTTAAGCCACGAACAATGTTTAATTTATGTGCACATTTGGGAAGCAGACTGTGGGTCTTTGTGCATGGAGAGGGCTTTGTGGGCGTGCTAGTGCACGTTTTTGGGAGAACTCTGTTCGTCCGGCCTGGGATAAAGCCTACGGATGGCAATGATTATGGCCGGCTTTATCTAAGCGAATCCCCCGATAGAAAAGTTCGTAAACACACGAGCATGTCTCTACAATCTACAAGCCACCACGATAAATTGGTGTCCTACAGTGCTCAGTGTGAATCTCAACATGAGTGATGGATGGTTGGCTTTAACTCTGAACACGACATGTCGAGGACAAATCCCTTTTTCTTCTCGAGAATAGCGTCCTCTCATGATCGGAATGGGAATCAGTGACCACTTTACTACTTTTCTACTCCCTCCCCGTCCCATGTTTGAGCCCGAAGAGATTCCCGGCGCAACCCTAAACTCAAGGGAAGTGAATGAATGAATGAATGAAGGAAGGGGAGGCCAACCAATGCTGCGATTCAATTCAATGCAACGCAATGCAAGGCCGCGTACGAAACCCCTGCCACAAAGTCTGGAAGTCAGCAGGTCGTTCCTCGTCTCTTTTGCATGTGGTTTCGGAACAAGCAAGCGAGTGCCAGATTCATTGGCTGCTCCGTTCGCAGCCGGTAGTTTGCCAAACTTTCTGCCCTCGCTTTCCTCCTCCGTATACGAGCTCCGTGTACCCATCCTATGCACCTATTGCCGAGCCAGTCGGAGGCTAAGAGGCTCCAGCCATGTTTCTTCTCCTCCTTCAATTCTCTTCCTCATCACAACCTCGTTGAAAACAGGATATAACCTCGAGAAAGAAAAAAAAAAGGTGAATTTAAAGTTCAGCTGGGATTGAGAAAGGTCACGTCGACGCAAGGGGCTAGGATGAAGAGTCTGATGCCGAAACTGCAGCGATGCTAGGAACCCCATAAATTGCCTTCGAGCCGAGGCGAGCCCAGCCCAGCTGGTTCCGATCCCGTACAGTGCAGCTCGGTCCAAGGCGGATGTTGTGATTGGGGGAGTACGAGGGACAACTGCTGACAGAAGGCAGCCTACAGTCGCCGATGAATGAGTAGTCCTGGGAAAGAGCATAATAGAACTGCAGATTCGAATGTTGCCTCAGGCGTGAGCCAGGCAGAGGCAGAGGCAGAGGGAGGAAAAGGGGGGCCTGCCTACTGGAGACTGAGCGAGTAAGATCTCGGGCTCTTTTCGCCGTTCCCCTAAATCTTTTCCTTACAGCTGTTAAAGGTTCTGGTGGGATCTTCTGGAAAGCCATGCTCGGAAGGTGCGTCCGACGTTGCGACGTCGTTCGCCCTGTACCGATTCGCCTCTCTCGCCATCGATCGCCAAAGGCAAAAGACAATCCAAGCTTTGACGCATTTTTTTTTATATATATATATATATAGTTTATCGATTTTGACACTGCTAACAGTTCGTGTAAGCTCCTCTGACCTACATGTACCTGCAAAAGTTTGCCTCTGGCAATGTCTCTTCGTGGGGCTTTCTCGGACCCACGTGATGCGAATTGGAGGTTTAATCTTACACTTAGGCTCAAACGAGCCACAAATATCGACTCTAAGAAAGAGAGAGAGAGAGTGAGACGCAGTCTACGACTACTTAGCGTGTCCGTGTGCACAAGAATAAAAGGAATGATGGAAAGGGTCATAGGCCTGGGTCTTCGGCGCTTGGGCACAGGGCTAGGGTCCGCCCAGCCTTATGCATGCAACATTGATTTTTTCGACTGCTGTTTTTGAAAATGGAATGAACAAAATATGGGGGCCAAGTAAAATGAAAAGAGTATGAGAATACTCCATTAAATAATCATAGGGTTAACTCCGGGTTAACTAATAGTAATACAATGTGAATTTCACATTGTATCTTGAATCGCTTAAGATGCTTGAACAATTTACATCAAACAATGGGAGGATGTATAAAGAGCATAAACTAAAAAGATTGATTATTGATATATTTGTACAGCAGAGTAACACAATGACTAGATTCTCTAACCATAATAAATTTAAAAAATGTAACTTACCTACAGAGTACACACCTAGTAAGCTTGTGTGTACTCTCTCTTAAAAATGTCAAAGCTTTGTACATAGCGCTACATAGTTCCAATGCTAGAACAATAAAGATATGAGCTCTTCACATGACCGTTTGAAGATCTTTGCTAAGGGGATCCAAAATCTAGTCGGATGATAGTCACCATTTCTGAGAAGATTCCAGGTATGAGATTGGTAACCACCACATATGCAATAACAACTTGGTCTTCCAATTAACTATATTTTATCATCATCATCACCGTCACTTGCAAGACATACACTATATTTCTATCCTCACATGTAACATCACATCTATAATCATTCATGTGATTAGGGACATGATCGTAAGTTTTGATGAAACAAGTATTCATCCTCTCACGATATCGCAATCATCATCTCCATAATAACATCATGGAATTTTATACTCTCCAATCTCAACAGACACAACACCTAGTTATATGAACTCACGATGCATAAATTCTAATCTGATGTTTTCTATTGAATAATGAAGATGTATGTAAATTACAATTTTAATGTAGATACCTATAATTCAAAAACAATGGTGTAAATTTGAATAACTCAAATTTATGATATAATGAAGATCACGAGTTTCCACTTTTGACAAAAATCATTTTAAAACATATTTGGTACAAGTATCTGTTAGGGATGAATATTGAGCTTGTTGAAATTTTCTTTTATCAAAGTAGATTGTAGATTTCTAGTTCAATATTCTTTTTAAAAAAAGAATCTGACTTTAATTCCGGTGCAAAATGTCTCTGTTATAATGTAGAGTACATGTAACGTATATTGGCTCGCCAAGAATGAATCCATCTGCAATAACTAATCAAGAAGATATATGAAGGTTACAAGAGTGCAAAACATACTTTAAAATCTATAAATGAAACCTCTTTTATCAATAATATATTTAACTCTCTACATTGATTGAAAGAATATCTATAGATTTATTATCTTTCATCAAGAATAACTTTATCTATCTATGCTAGTTTAAAATACCGTCACACATTTTTTTACACCTTGATACTATATTGTGATCCAAGATAATAATGTCAGTGAAGAATTAACATGGATTGATCATAAACATATCCAAAATATACATCAAACATCATTTACATCTCCAGTAGTATATAGTATAATTTATAGGAATCTATTTCACAAGTTTTATGGATTTATTATTGTGTCACAAAATTCTATATATATTGTTTATATATGAATTTAGAAACTAGAAATGAGGAAAAAAATTTCTAGATACTATGTGGTACACTTTGAAATCATTAGGTGTTTAGTAATGACATCTTATACGCTTGAGAACACTGAAGAAATCAAATGCATTCCTCATGCGATAATTCTTAAATTCACTGAGGTGCACTTTTACAGTTATGAATTTTCTTAGTATGTATCATCTAAAGTTGTATTTATCGAAATCACCTCTTGGAGATATTGAATAATCCCAGACTGATTATGCAAGTGTCTCAAGCAAAGCTTACTTCACTCGGTTCAGATTTGTCTCAATCATCTTCACCCCAATGAACTTCTGTCAACATCTCGTGTCTACTCGGGAAACTTTTAGTTTGGATTACAGAAAAATAACATTTTCCGCATGATAAGAACAAGTCGAGCGCTGTTCGTGTCAGGGGGCTTTTGTGGTGAGGGATTTTGGAAACATTTTGAGGCACTGAAGATTTGGTTGAAGTACATCAGGAGCCGTACGTTTCCTGGTGGCATACCTGTACTTTGATCTACAAGGGGAACGTTGCTCCTGTTGCTCACAGATCCACAACATCCTCTGTCCTGCTTCAGCGCCACATGAGACAATGCACAAATGTTATCTATTCAGGCTCGTGCTCTTGTGGTACATGAGAGCCTCGCTACCTCATCTTACCGTTGCAGCCTGAGGTGGTCACTGACTAGTGCGCGCTTTTTACTCTGCATGCAGTTCGAAACCATAACAGTATTTGGAGTAGCAAAAGTATCGCTTTAACCATACTGCGCATAGCAGATCCACTCACTCATTCTTACTCGCACTTTCTGAATCTTTAAGACTTTCCTTTACTTGCTTTACGCAGGCAAGGCAGATTACTTGAAGGTCGTACAGGACAGCGTGAAAATATTCATGATGCTCAGAATATTGGTGTGATGCTGTGGGAACAGATCACACAATGCAGAGAAGAGAATATACAATAGACCTCGTATGAGTCTTGGTAAACAAGTTAGTTGGCTACGTGATTCTTGAGTACACGGGGACACATGGCATATGACGCAGGGCGTGGCAGGTAGGCCCGTGTAGTTGGACACAATTCCTAGAGGAATGAGCATGGAGATAAATGTAAAAGAACAACAAGTGACACGTGAAATCGTGGATTACTTTTATGTACATATATGCCTCACGTAGGTTTCAGAGGAACGCAGTTATGACAAACTTGAGTGCCGAATGGCAGACCTGTGCAGAAGACACGGTGCACAACATCAGTTACCTGAGTTGTCGAAATAATTCTGCAACAAGTTTGGCCTAAGTGACCAACGACATAAGTTACTTGAAGTACGAGTTTCTGAGGTATACTTCGTCCCTGCAAGGGGTGCCTGGCAATTACGGTTCTCTGTTGTAGCCTTATGAATTCAGATCTCACGTTTGATTCTTGTGGTCCTTTTACAAAGTGACGGGTCCACAACCTTTCTCTAGTTGATCTGCAGCAAGGATTGTGTCCATAGCTTTCACACTAGATATTATAGGAACGTATTGACTTAAGAGAGGTTCCACCCCATCGCCTGAAATCGAGTAGACCAAACTCTCAGCTAGTAGAGTCTCAGCGGGAGGTCCTAAGATGCCTCGTTCTAAACCAATTAATACAGTGACCCAGGACGATTGTCTTCTAGAAACAATCTAAGAAGGTATCACAACTGTCACTCCTTCGATCAGTGCTTTAGTAGAGTTGCTTTGATCTTCTCATGTATGTTGCCGCCTAACTAAATGAACAGATCAGCAAGCGGGTCTTGTTTACTACAAGACGCCTAACTAAATGAACAGATCAGCAAGCGGGTCTTGTTTACTACAAAGACGCCCCTATAACGAAGCCAAAAAGTGCGAGAATTCCAGCTTGTTGATCCATGAGGTACACTTACCAGAGATCAACAACGTGGAATATCCCAGACAAAAAGAATCTCTTCCCTCCCTCTAATCAATCTATGGAAACCGCTTGATATATTTCTACCCCTCTCTCCACCGAAAGTTGCATGCATTGTTGCAGCATTTGTAGAAGGTTGACATCGGTTCATCTGCAGACCGTATCTGAATCTGCATAAAGTAGGCCTGATTGTAGGTGCACTGTGGACATGTTGCTGCAAGTAAACCCAGTCGCACACGTTAGAATACTGAAACAATCGAGGAACATGGGCATTTGAAAGAAGAGCAACCTAGGAAGGTGTTCCCATAGTCGCCCAAAAGAGGTGAACAAATTTCCAGCACAGGCAAGATAATTAGCTGACCTTCGGTACGATCTACATTCTTCCAGGCATCCTCCCCACCAAGAACGTCGTCCACTTCCTTCTGCTTCAACGCAAGCTTCTTGCTGATCTACAAGATCCAAAACCTCCGTCCCTCAAGATGGTATTTTGCATTCAGCGATTATAACTCATAAAAAGAAGACAGCTTATTCTTTACCAAAGTGGTCTTGTTTGCCAACGATCACAAATACCATAGTAAACGAGAACTTCACTTCCTAGTTCCTGACAGCACTCTGGTTTCTATCGACTCCTCTAGAATAAAGAGCATTTCCCTTTAGACGATATACAAAATTCATAATGAGAGTCTCAGAGAGTCCTTTCATTCGCTCGACACTGGACAGAAGACTGCACTTTCATTCTCCAGGATTACACGCTCTCGTCAATTTGGAACATGCAACTATAGATCAACAATCCTTCTCTGGTACCTGAGGTTACCAAGAAAAGGTGCGTTGGTGGAAGAAACAAGCTGAAGTAAATACGAAATTGCGTTGTTCCTATCCGTTTAGACTGTCAAGATCAAACAAGGAAAATGTATCGCAATCGCAAAGAAGATAATTCAATCAAAGGTATTCTTTTCACTAGCAGGAGTCCCTGACTGATGGAAGTATTTCGCAAGAGCCGGTCGATCGTCTCTAAGGTCCCCGAGCGGCCGAACGAGGAAAGTTAAAAGGTACAATTCAGAATGGCTGCACTACTCGTCAAAAGCTAAAACTCATGTGTTCATCTCAAGTACTGAGATTCAGTCGATTGCCTGAACACGTATAGATTCCGGTTTAGCGACAGAAAAAAGTCTATGACAGGAGGACTGACACATGTAACAAAAACTGCGTCAGCCTATGCTCGAATTTTCAAGCGTTAGCTGAGTAGCTGGATGCGCAAATTATAAAACGAACTTCTCACAATTCGATCCTCAAATCTTCCCACAACGGATGCCAGGCCATCCAGGTATTCCACAGAACTATATAGTGAACGAGGAGGGTGTTCATTATTGACAGTGGAGGACTATATATGAATGTACACAAACCAAATCTTACCTTCCTTTCGATTCGATATATGTAAGGACAGGTGGGACAGAAAAACCGAAGGGACCGCCCCGACGATGCATGCTCGACCAGTAGCAGATTAGCACAAGTTGGACAAAACTCCATGATCTTTACACCACAGCCAGATCAGGATATACAGCCGGGTGGCGAATGTCGATTCCAATGTCGCAATTAGCCCTGAAAGTTACGAAGATAAATAAATACGCAAATTGCGAGTACTTGTTCATACCCAAAAACGTCAGCGCATTTCAATGGGCATCAGAATTTGCAACACGGATTCGCGTTATTTAGGCGAAATTTGTTCCAGTTTTTCAGTGTAGGCGATGGAGTATTCCCAAGCCAGATGACAGAAGGACTCACAGACCGTAAAGCCCTCAATTCTACTGCTTTCACACTCGAATTCCTGATTCAGTAGTATAATCCAAACCTGGAACTAAAAACCACAAAACTTAGAGCACATAGAATAGATTGCTTTTGTACCCTTAAACCCTTCCTATACATGGAGCACAGTAAGTGGAACCTGACTTCAGTCCAAAGCATTTACTTGTAGCCCAAGTCCTGCCCACCACGGGTCTAGCTCACCATTCCTCAAATATGAACACAACGGCCTGCAACTCAGGAACCAATATTCTGATCGAAACCCAAACGAGGAAATTATACAGCTAATGACTTACAAGTGCCTCTTGGAGCATAGTTGAAAAGGGCAGACACTCACAATGGAGGCCGCTGGAAATGTCCACTTTAGCCCTAACTCATAGATGTAGATTCCTCAATGCAGAAAATTCTCCGCTGAGCTCAAAGTTTGTCCATTTGCTCGTGCAATCAGTATACCGTCTTTCTCCTTGTACAATTATCCAGCAACAGGTCGACCAAACCACGACATTCAACCCGTGGCCCATTACTCCACAACTTCGAATTTCTTCCACTGAAATGACCAAAAAGAAGAAATGCAAGAAGAAACACAATTAAGAGATGCTTCCTGCTCCTTGCATCTTGAAAATCTGAAGTGGCACAAGCGGAGCAGTATACGGACGGTATACTTTGAACACTTCGATATTTCGGGCATGGCCTAAGTCATCCATTACTCCACATGAAGTCATAAACATGACAATCATCTGAAACCCATGTCACGAAGAAGAACTACTATAGACAAGGACAAGAAAACGACACGAGCAACTACAAGAGAATCTTCAGAACACTATACTCTGTACAGTCCTCGATTCGCTCGATGAGTGTCAGCAGAGGGCCCGATCGAGCCTTCGCCGAACCCATTAATTGGCCAGGAGGACGAGATGGAGGTCGATCGAAGGCTCTCCCACACTTGCAACGTCCTTCGCTCTCCAATGCTTACCACGTCGAAGGTCGGAAGAGTCCACGGAGCCCACCGACCGCGTTACGAGCAGTGGGAGCGCCTCGAGTTAAGGCTTGGCTTGGGTTAACTTGACTTGACTTGACTTCAGAAACCTTGCTAACCTTAGGTTCTAGGACCGAATCGTCAAGTAAAGGCAAAATCGACTACCCGGGGCTACTCCCCGGAGCAACGACATTGAACGACCGAAAGGAGGGGTTCATTTCATGGTACTATGGTTATGTGTAATTGGATTATTCGCGCAATGCGCTGTATAATACAATAAAATATCACATGTATTACACACTCGTGCATCACCTCTTACTAGACTCCAAGATATCATCATGCATACCATCAACTCCCTCAAACTTGTCAACATGATTAAACTCATCATTGCTATCACCACCACCATAGTACTCGTCTAGGTTATACTCTTCATGTTCAGCTTCATATCCACTATCGGGACAGAGCTACTGTAACCACTTGCAAGACTTTGTATCTCTAGTTGTAGAGATTTGACGATCTAGCTGTTTTGAATTGAATAGAATGACAATCCTCGTCTCGATCTTGTGCTTGTCCAACCGAGCTCGTGAACTACTATGAACGCGTTAGACCTCCTTGTGATTGCATTCAACCCCCTTGCCCTTGTCGGATTCATAAAAAATTTGGCTACCTATGTGCAATATAGGTAGCCAAACTTTGATAGAGCCCTAATAATGATCCTCAATGAATCCAAACTCAACTTGTAGAGTATTATGTCTTTTGTTTACGACCAGTGGATGTTGTCGTTGTCCAACCAAAGAGAGCGATAGATTCTTCATATGTACTTGGAGACAAGTATGGGATTGAATTCGCAATGAGAGTAAGGTCAACCATGGTGCACTTCAAAGTATCTTCATGGATAGGAGAAGACATGTTAGAACATATTTAAACTTCAAAAAATAAACAAAATAACTTGGAGTAAAGCATAGAAAGATAATTTCAAAATCTGCACTTTGTCTTGAAAATTCTTCTTCTGCATTTTTTTGTTTGACACGTGAGTTTCACAATCTTAAATTGTTGGCTTAATCATAGAGTTCGTGATCAGGTTCTGAAGTTGTCGACGACGAGTTGAAGATTACGGTATAAGCATCTGGAACTCTTATGTGAATTGAACAGTTTGCGTTGATGAGAGACCATTTGGACCTGAAAAGATTTGCATGCAAGGAGATGGACTTCTTGAGAAGGTAATCGTTGAACTGTCCATCATGTTGCATTCTTGGATGACAAGCATTGTAGTTCTCTCTAGATCAGGAGATGAACCGCATTGAGTCGTCACGGTTCAGGTTTTTGGAGAGATTTCATGTCCACATTAATGCACAGATGATGAATACATTAGAAGCAAAAGCTCGAGACTCAATGTCACACTAAGTTGCGACATCAATCAACCACTGCACAACTCCTATAATAAAACATATGGTGATACAAGTGACTTACTTTGTCTATCATTCTTCGTCTGATTTATAACGAGGCACCTGGGATTAAGAATTCCATGAAATTTTGAGTTAAATTTGAAGTGCAAGACTTCCTGATGAAACGCATCGTTGAGTCAAAAGGCGAAGAAAAAGTACAGCGAAGAAAAAGTACTTCAATTTGGATCTGCCACACATGGTCATAGGATAAGACAGTTCATGAAATATCACATTATGGATCTGCGAATAATTTGAAAATGCCAATCACATTGAAAATTCTCTCCACATGACTATAGAAAGTATTCTACACAATTGATTGTTGTCAATTGCGTAGAACATCGCATCACATGTCCACGGACGAGACTTAGAGTAAGGAGTGCACACCAACAGCCTAAATCAACCAATTTTTGGCATGTGAACAATGATCAAATTTGAATATTTGAACATTTAAACAAATTATATTCACTAAGTTCAAACTAATGAACTTGAACTAAGAAAACTTATAAGATACAAGACTTAGTGGATACAGGTTTCCATCACTGCTTGTCTATGTAACCATCTTTAGTTAGTTACAACTAAAGTAGAGGTTACTCTGAATATTGATGTAGATACTTTAGTGTGCACTAGTCATAGTTGCCACATCAGCGATCCGCGCACTTGGTAGGTACAGAGTGGATGTGTTAGTTGACAGTGCCACGTGAGCAATCCGTGTGCTTGTAGGTAAGGATTGAGTGTGTTAGTTAATGTGTTAGTTGGGTGTGCCACGTCAGCGATCCGTGTGATTGTTACGGTTATCCGCCACGTCATCCATCCACTAGGAGTGGGATGGATGGTGGGGATTAGATCTTATCACCTTGTACTTGTTGATGAGAGCTATATAAGGGAGAGTAGAACCATTGTTGTTATCTCTCATCTTCAGAGTTTACGTTTCTATCTTTGAGTGAACTTCTCTTTAAACCCTAGTGTTACAGTCTATTGGCAATATCTTCTCCTTTATCGAAAACTTGAAAACACATCGTTGGTGGATGCATTATTCAACTTATTGAGACTAAACGAGTCAAATCAAACGGAACTCAACGGACTAAAACGGTTGAATCAAACAGTGCTGAACGAATAAACCGACTAAACGGGTTGAATCAGACGAATTTGAAGAAATTTAAAATTCAAAATCTGGATATTTGATTTGGATTGTAATTTTTTTTCAATCATGATTGATCATATAATCAAGCATATAATAAAAAAACTCATAAATTTTATTGTAGATATAACATGTATAAGTTTACATACGCATGTTTTGATTACAATTTTATAAAATCATATTTTCAATTAAAGCTTGATAATTAAAGCTTATTTATATTTGATAATTGTCATTTTTGCTGATATTGCTCTTCAATTTTATTTAATTTTGGATTTTATTAAGAAAACAGTTAGTTATACTTTCAATTATGTTATTTATTCATCACCTTGCAGAATTATAAATTGATTAAGAAGTGAGGTTTGTGATTGGTCAGAGTATTCAAACGATAGTTAATAAACACACTCATGTGACTTCACAACACCAGCGCTTGCTGCTTGATCATGTCAAAACATTACGTGCAATTAATATATATGAGATTACGAGCACACAAATGCACGGCTGACCTATCGATTCAACATGCAAATTGTCTTTTAAGTTTGAGCACGTTGAAGATCTACAACGACGACGACATTGTGAGTGCTACGAGCAATTGCAGATCAAACATTTTGAAGCAAAGTGTTTAATCTGCAATCTCCGGACTGATTCTCACTCAAGTTTACCTCAGATGGTTTTGCGATAGCTCATCATGGTTCTAGAAGACTACTATTCCTCCTCATACTCATATTCCAAACAACTTTTCACACATTTTTTCCATTCAACATTCAAGTTCACACGCACATCAGCACTCCAAGATGTTAAAAATATCATTCCTTTATTGATGAACAAGTTCATAAACATGAACTCTATAAACTTGCGTGGAAAGTTCTTTACTACCTTTCTATATATAATACTTAAGAAGTTTACATAGTAACAAATGATAACTCTTTTCTAATTCACTTGTATAAAGATAAATCATAATAATTTTGATTAGTTCCCAATACATGACAACTAACCATTGAATTTTTAAGACTTCTAGATGTTTATTAATCCATAGATTGAGGTGAAAACATGACACTTGTGTCTTTTCAATTTCTAAAACCTCCACTTGTCACTAAGTCAACATTAGATTTACTCTAAGCAATAAAGGTTACAATTCTTAGTCAAACCAATCAAAAATAATAATGTAGTCAAAAGTCTTTCTCTTAAAATCTAAACTTTTGTACAACACAAAATAGAATTGACTCATATATTTTAAAAATTCCCTAGTTATTACACTAAGTATAGATCTTATAGCTAAAAATAATTATAAATAACTTAATTATAACTAACCAGATTCAGTTATTTTTAAGCTAACCATGATCAACTACTTGACTATTTTTAACCATACTTCACAAATACAAAGATATGTTTTATAGTTCATCTCAAGGTTTTGAATCCGCAGATATACAGTGAAAAATTGAATCTCAATTTCATGTCATTGCCAAAGCTCGCATACTAGAATCTCGCAATCAAAATTGGAGAATAATTTATTTTGGACATTGATGTTTAAACCTAAGGTATTGTATAGCAAGGTCTCAACAAAGTGTCATAACAACATGATCAAACCCATCACTTCAAAATCTATAAATTTACTAGTTATGCAAGAAAACCTTGTTGAGTTAGGAGATTTGATCTACAACGCAAATTTGATTCTAGAGCGCGTGAGTGAGTATATGTCGTGAGGAAGTCATAAGCAGAGTAGCGACCGCAGTATCACTCTCAGTGAGATGACCTAAAGATGATTAAACACCATACAATGATAGTTCTCTTGATCATTTTCTTGTTATTTTTTGTTGGAAGGTACGCAAGAGACAATTTTGAAAAAAAATCAATCACAAAATATTTCAAAACATAATATTTGTAGTGTCCAAGATGATGAGATTTTTTTTTGGCTATTTTAAGATAAACAATAAACATTGAAAGCTATATATTTGATATCTTGACCCATCGTTATCAATTCACAAACAAGAATTACATCTAACAAATATAATCTTCAATCTTAATAAAATTGTGCTTGTTATGTTTATGTGTTTATATAAGTGAGAATATGAATTTTTATATAAATTCATCAGAATAAATACATAATTTTTTATTAATTGAGATTTGATAATATTTTAAAATATACATTAATTAAAATGAAATAATTAGATTTTAGTATATAAATGAAAGCAATTTATTTTTTCAAAAAAATAAAAAATACTAGCATAATATATTGTATGCAAACAAACATGGTTCTTATATATGTAAGATCTAAATCAACTTTGCATGTTTCAAACATAATCTTGTGGGATTAAGAAGTAAACTTTCTTGTTGTAACACAATATACTTTCAATCTGTCAATATTAGTATGTATGTGTTTTATTGTATGCGAGCATTTCCTGCAATGATATTTGTAGCTAGAGTAGTTTGCTCTACACACTAAAAAAATGTTATTATGATCATTAAATTTGAAATGATTTATGCCTAATGGTGGCATGAAGAATAAATAAGATCCTGCAATCCCATGTGTTAACTGTCTTTTGAACTGGATTCTTACATTATCTATTGTATAAAACAGATAAAACTTTCCATATCCATTAAGAACTGTCCGCATGAAACCAAACGAGTAACATTGGGGTAATCCTAGACTATAATGTAGTATCTCAATACTCTCACAACGTCAATTGTTCACTACAACATAATCGAAGAATGGATGAGACCCCATTACGCATACGACCGCACTTATGCTATTTGTGTATTTTATCAAAGTACCAAGAAGAACAGCAAAAAGCACGGGAAGACCCATCTGTTGTATTTATGAAGGATCTAGCTTATTAACATTAAATTTACCCGCCATTGCAGTCAAGAACTTAAGGTTCCTCGGCGATGCTTTAATCTATTCCATGCTTCTCGGTTTGTCTCATGTCTCCTTCGTAAAATGAGCACGATTTGGTTAATACGATGAGTTTCGAGTCTAATCCGACGTGAACGGGAGGGATTAAAAAAAGCCGAGAGCGCGCGACTTGCTCCAGCCAGTCGTGTCGTCCCGGTCCATCTTGAGCCCAAGTCTCGCGACATCGCCATGGAAGGTCGCAGGGGAGACCATGGAACGCGACTCATTCCTCGAAGAAGAAGAAGAAGACGAAGAAGACGACGAATGAGAGTGATTGATGCTGGAAGAAGGCAGTGGGAGGGAAAGTCCAAAGCCCTAGACTTCTCGTATAAGAATGCGAAGGGCATCGCCAGAGGACCATTTGCTTCTTTGGAGCTTAGGCTCCGTCGAACAGCTCCTCCGATCATATGCAACTCCGAACGCGGAGAGTGGATCTACATATCGTGTCGGTGAAAGGACTGCTCCGATTCCCTGAGGCTTCTGTCGAATAACGAATTAAACAGGATAATCTGGTCAAGAGGGCTTTTGCAGTTCTCTGTTTTGAAATAAGGAAGTAGGAATTAAGGCTTAAAGGTTTGGAGTAAGGCAAAGTATAGAGCTCCTAAAGCCCAGAGGGTTCAATACATAGAATCCAAATTTGCTCCAGGTTTTAACCAGCAGGTGCGGAGGTCGACCTTTGAGCGATTGCTGGCAAGAGGAATTTTAGGAGTTTAGGCTCTGTGTACAAAGACGGGAATTTAAGCTAGCTGCCAAGATGTATGGAGGCGAAGAAGAGGATTATGAGAAAGAGGAGGAGGAAGAAATTACACAGGAGGATGCTTGGGCCGTGATTAGTGCTTACTTTGAAGAAAAAGGATTGGTCCGACAGCAGCTGGCCTCTTTCGATGAATTCATTCAGAACACTATGCAGGAGATTGTCGATGAATCGGCTGACATTGAAATTCGCCCTGAGTCACAGCATAATCCCGGTCGGGCAACTGAGTATAGTGAGGTAGGTGTTGAAAACCTCACCGCTTCTCCAGTTTGTGTGTATCACGGACGTTATGGGAAGGTTTTGAACCAGTTCAATATGTTTCAGCTCAGTTAAGCTTTTGGAAGTCGAAATGGTGGGAAGCCTTCAGTCAGTAAAGCTTGACCGCAAGACCAGACTGTTGTCACTGTATCGGACTTTGGAATCGCAATGAGAACGAAAGAGCTAGATTAGGGTTATTGTGTGACATTGTATACCAGGCAGGCGAGGTAGTCGTTACCCTCTTTAGTATGTGCATGATGCATACTTCGTACACCTTCGAAAGCTTCGTATCGGTCGGAAGGGTTTAGGGAAATGTGCTTGAGCCTTGTTCTTGCCTTGTTCACTGCAGTGGATATGCACATTCCTCGGGCTTTACTTCTAGGCATCCTTCCAAACGGGATTGAGACATCTGATTCTAGACAAAGTAGATTGCAAAAGTTACTTTTCGTATTTCAGCTGATCAGCTCACAACTGTATCGTATGCTGTGATTGTTTTTTATTTCATGTTGACATGTGTCCCCTAGCTCTGAATATATGAGGATTTGTGGTCTTCCAAGTTCAGATTTTATTTTCCTCCAAAACTGAAGCAGCAATTATTGTACTTGCTTGGCAGACAACGTACAAGATCAATTTCGGGCAGATTTATCTCAGCAAGCCTATGATGACTGAATCTGATGGTGAGACAGCAACGCTGTTCCCGAAGGCTGCGCGTTTGAGGAACCTTACATATTCTGCGCCCCTCTACGTTGATATCACCAAGCACGTCGTGAGGAAGGGCGATGACGGTGATGAAGATGGCGATCGAGAAGACCTGCCTAAAGTTTTCATTGGCAAAGTAAAAATGCGCATTCAACTTGGACTTCAGAGTGATTATGGCCTTAGGACCGTTGACAACCAAAGCTCAGAAGAAGCTTGTTGAGTGAAGATGGTCATGTTTGAGCTTCGTTAATTTCTTCAATTAAAGACAGAATTCAACCTGTAGTTCTAATTTTTGAACCTGTCGGGACAGGTGCCCATTATGTTGCGATCAAACTACTGTACCTTGTTCCAAAACTCGGACAAAGATTTGACTGAGCTTGGAGAGTGCCCCTATGATCAAGGTGGTTACTTTATCATCAATGGCAGTGAGAAAGTGTTAATCGCGCAAGAGAAAATGAGTACCAACCACGTCTATGTGTTCAAGAAGCGACAACCCAACAAGTATGCATACGTTGGTGAAGTGCGGTCCATGGCGGAAACTCAAAACAGACCTGCGAGCAGTATGTTTGTGAGAATGCTTTCAAGGGCGGGAGCCAAGGGGGTGAGGCTGACTTCTATGTCTTGACTGACGTTGATTTCAGCTAAACTGAAACATATATGATCATGAGCAAAGGAAATGATGGCAAAAAGTGTGCCGAGGAACAGTCCGATTTGTTAATGTTGAAAGACATCCCGTACTAGCAAGTTGTACTAATTTGTAGTAGAAGTAGGAGACGTTTACGAAGCTCAAATCTCATACCTGCAAACACATGAATAGTGTTTGATAGTCAGCCTGGTACTGTCTTATCCCATCACAGCTCCATTCTGGACTGTATACTGTGTTGAAGTCCTTATTTTCTCTTCAAATTTGCGTTTTTGATTTCAGGGTTCATCAGGACAGTACATACGTGCGACCTTGCCTTATATCAGAACTGAAATTCCAATTATTGTGGTCTTCCGTGCCCTGGGTTTTGTCGCCGATAAAGATATTCTCGAACACATATGTTATGACTTCAGTGACACTGCTATGATGGAGTTGCTCCGACCATCTCTTGAAGAGGCTTTTGTTATCCAGAACCAGCAGGTGAACCATTAAGCCGTGAAGCTTTCTGTCTGATTGGTGTTCTCAGATCCCATAAGTCTGCTGAATGTACATTTGCAGAATATGTTCTTGTATTACCGGTTAGCTGTATCAGTGTGCTCCACATGTCCTATTCTGCGAATGTACTTCCAGGGCTTGACATCAGCAACTTTGAGGACTCCTTGCAGTAGCTTCTTTCCTCTTGCCGAGTACTGATGATAACATGACGTTTGTAGGTGGCTCTGGATTACATTGGTAAGCGAGGCTCAACCGTCGGTGTCACAAGGGAAAAACGTATCAAGTAAGTATTTCGATCCACAGCACTTTTCTATCGAGCTTTTTACTGGTTTCCTCACTCTACTGACAATAAGCATTTATCTTGCTCGAAGGGGTTCTTCCCCTCACGTCTCCTTAACTCATTGTTTTTACCAGGTATGCGAAGGAGATTTTACAGAAGGAAATGCTTCCTCATGTTGGCGTAGGTGAATTCTGTGAGACCAAGAAAGCTTACTTTTTCGGGTTTGTACCTTTCCAAATTTGTTCCTTCACGTATCGTTGAACAGAGAAACACACCTTGTTTGGATGTCTCTTTTGTCTCAACTCTGGAAGTGTGCTTGTGTATTGAAGTAGATCAGTGTCTGTTGATCCGCTGTCATCGTTATTTGATGATATCTGACCCAACTAGGCTTGCTGCAGATACATCATCCATCGTCTTTTACTATGTGCTTTGGGAAGGCGAGCGGAGGACGACCGTGATCATTATGGAAACAAGCGATTGGATCTTGCAGGCCCTCTTCTCGGAGGGTTGTTCCGCATGGTAATGTTCCACCTTCTGAATCTTACTGCGCCCATTCCGTGCTTGACAGCCAGTATCCAGCATTCTCAGAGAAGGTCTGAGGGTAATGTGCTGAAGACTGGTCAGCATCTTGTGCTTGACAGCCAGTATCCAGCATTCTCAGAGAAGGTCTGAGGGTAATGTGCTGAAGACTGGTCAGCATCTTGTTCTCAAGCGCGGAAAATCAAATGTACTCGATTCATCATTATTATGGATCAAATTTACTGGACGTTAGATATTTGGGACTTAGATGGTCAGTGCTATTTCTTTCTTTGCTGATTTTGTTTTTCCTTCTCTGCAGCTTTTCAGGAAATTGACCAAGGATGTCCGTGGTTACCTGCAAAAGGTACGGGGGTTCCGTTTTATAAGATCTGATCACGTCAAGGGATCGATGGTTCAACGAAAGAATTTCCAGATTGAGTTGAGCAGGATTACCATCATGGCTAAGTACTATCATGTACTGACTTTTCAAGGTTCCATTTGTCTGTAGTGCGTGGACAACGGGAAAGAAATCAATCTTGCCTACGCAGTGAAAGCCAAAACCATTACTAGTGGGTTGAAATACTCTCTCGCCACTGGAAACTGGGGTCAGGCAAACACAGCTGGTGTTCGAGCTGGTGTGTCTCAGGTATAGCAAGAATCTGATTCCTACTGAGCGTCCATATTTTGGTTTTGCATGAATTACTTAGAGCGTGAAGCGTTGTGGACTTTGACAGGAAAAAATATGTTTTCTATATATCTCCTTAAGTGCAACTTTAGTAGGAAGTTGAGAATGACCTTGACGGAGCACATCGCCTCGTAGGTGCTGAATCGATTGACATATGCTTCAACCTTGTCACATTTGCGAAGGTTGAATTCTCCAATTGGTCGTGAAGGTATGCTCGTGATCTTTCTCTTTAAGTTAACGAAACAGGGTTGCTCTCTGAGAGCGAAGTTAATGTGACTATTTACACCTGCAAGACTTGTCTTCAGTAGTCGTGAAGAGTGGAAGACGATATGCAGCTGAGAAAGTTTGTGATGGATTGTAGTGCTGAAGGGTACTTTACATGATTTATACAGGAAAGCTTGCAAAGCCTCGACAGTTGCACAATTCACATTGGGGAATGATGTGTCCTGCAGAAACCCCAGAAGGACAGGTGCTTATTCCCTTGTGCCCGATTTTATCTTTTGGTTGCTTGAAGTCTCAACCCTCATTTTTATTAGATTAGTGTGATTAACCTTCGCAAATAATATTTTTCAGGCGTGTGGACTCGTGAAAAATTTGGCTTTGATGGCCCACATTACTGTCGGGTCAGCAGCAAATCCAATCTTGGAGTTCTTGGAGGAGTGGAGTACAGAAAATTTTGAGGTAATGTATGTTGTAGCCAAAGTATGTTCTGGTAGCTCTTCTTCAGTCTTTGAACACCTAACAGTTTCTGTAAGCTACGTACAACTTCTTCGTACATTGGCTTAAACATATCATTGACTTGACGCACGACGTTTTTCCAGGAAATATCGCCAGCCGTTATCCCGCAATCAACGAAGATTTTTGTCAATGGTTGTTGGGTTGGAATTCATCGTGACCCCGAGTTACTTGTTCGCACACTCCGCCAGCTCCGCCGGCAGGTAACCCTTAAAAATTTCTGTTCTATAATAGTAATGAGGTAGTGAACATTGCGTTCTGCCTCTGCAGCATTGAGGTTTGCTTTTTGCCTCTGCGCTACATTCTGCCACAGCTTATGTTCTTTATAAAATCAGTCCAGTGTGTCCACTAAGAGTTGGGAAGTTCGCTTGTAACTGCTAACCCCTTTTTCCCCCAATCACCGAAGATGTATGTCAATTGGGTTCGCTCTCGAACCCGCTTTACTTGTGACCCCGAGTTACTTGTTGGCACACTCCGCCAGCTCCGCCGGCAGGTAACCCTTAAAAATTTCTGTTCTATAATAGTAATGAGGTAGTGAACATTGCGTTCTGCCTCTGCAGCATTGAGGTTTGCTTTTTGCCTCTGCGCTACATTCTGCCACAGCTTATGTTCTTTATAAAATCAGTCCAGTGTGTCCACTAAGAGTTGGGAAGTTCGCTTGTAACTGCTAACCCCTTTTTCCCCCAATCACCGAAGATGTATGTCAATTGGGTTCGCTCTCGAACCCGCTTTACTTGTGACCCCGATTATCTTGTTGGCACACAGGGGTCACCTGCCGGCTCCGCCGGCAGGTGACCCGTCAAACTTTCTGTTTTATAGTAGTAATGAGGTAGTAAGCATTGCGTTCTGCTTCTGCCGCATTGCGCTACATTCCGTCACAGATCATTTTCTTTGTAAATTCAGTCCAGTATGTCCACCAAGTGTTGCTAAGTTCGCTTGTAAATTCTAATCATTTTTTCTTGTAAGGTTATTTGATGTTCTGTTCACATGGATCTCACTTGGAACGCAGATGATTCTCTGGACACGTGTATATTACGCTCCAATTTAACTTTGACGTTTCCCTTCCTAGCCAGCGCAAGCTGTAAACACATACATGTAAAAGAATGTATGTAGTAGTCTCATTACGCAATTTTGAGTCTCTTTTCATTCTTCGCAGGTTGACGTTAATCCTGAAGTCGGAGTGGTTCGAGATATTCGCCTGAAGGAGTTGCGACTGTATACAGATTATGGAAGATGCAGCAGACCGTTGTTTATCGTCGAGAAACAGCGTCTGCTAATCAAGAAGTCTGATGTCCGAGCCCTTCAACTGAAGGTCTCTTTTTCAATCTGTTTTTGTCCAAAACTGTACTAATCAGTACTTTCTTCCTAGAGACTGATAACTTCGACCTTCACGCTACTTGGCTGGGCTTGTGTAAAATGTTATTTTGGAGAGCGATTTGAACGTTTTCGAAGTTTTCTCTTATGGCTTTATCATTGATCTAACATTATTATATTCCGCTTCACAGGAGGCATCTGAAAGTGGTTGGCACGAACTGGTCGCTAAAGGTTTTATTGAGTACGTCGATACTGAAGAAGAGGAAACCACCATGATTTCCATGACCATATCGGTAAGTTTGAAGCGATTGCCATGTAATGAGTACCAGACGTGTACGTGTGGTGGCATCTGTGTAGCATCTTCAGTACAGTTCAAATCAGTGATCAGTTTTCAGTTTAAGTGGGAGGACGTTCCTGGTCTTTCTACGAGGGTGAACTTCGAGGCTGAAAAGGAAAAGTTGTTGCGTGTCACTGCAGGATTTGGTGAATGCAAGAAACAACCCGGAAGAAGCGTATTCCAAAACATACACTCATTGTGAAATTCATCCATCTATGATTCTTGGAGTTTGTGGTTCCATCATCCCCTTCCCTGATCATAATCAGGTATAGTCTTCAACTTAGGATCGGTAGGAAATCCGTCTTCAGTGAAGAGTATAGAACTTGTATTATTTTCCAGGTCATATGCCGGAAGTTCAGATAAAAGTGGGAGAGTCATTTATGTGGACAAAATCCTAAACTAAATGCACGTTATCATGGCAATTTTGTGTATCTCAGTCGCCACGTAATACTTACCAGTCGGCTATGGGAAAGCAAGCGATGGGAATTTACGTTACAAATTACCAACTTCGCATGGTAAACCTCTTCTTCCTTTTTTTACGCGTTTGAGTTTATAACGGGTGTTAGCCTACTTAGGGAGGCATGTGACTTCTCACCGCAGGTTTATTTCTAGGAGGACATATCTCTAACTGTAATGATGTTTCATGGAACAGGATACTTTAGCGTACGTTCTCTATTATCCTCAGAAGCCTTTGGTCACCACACAGGCTATGGCTCATCTTCATTTCAGACAATTGCCCGCCGGAATTGTATGTATCACACCTATTTATTCAATCAATCGGTCTTCGTTTGTGCTAGTCGCGGCTACGTTAGAATGACATTATCCAGAGGCAGTGTATTTAATAGCTAGTGGTATGTGACTTTGGTCAGTCTGCACTTACATGTCCTTTCAGGTTGTGGTATTTAATACTAGAAGTTACTGATATCGTACTTTTATGTGCAGAACGCTATTGTTGCCATTGCATGTTATTCTGGTTACAATCAAGAGGATTCAGTCATTATGAATCAGTCTTCAATCGATCGTGGTTTCTTCCGTTCTATTTTCTATCGATCTTATCGGTGAGTGTACTGTAGTGGATAATATAGACGTCAACATTGGACCATGTAATGCTCAAGAGATTCACACAATGTCTTTTCCTTTTCTTCCCTATGGCTTTCAATCCTTCTTTTTAACAGACCAACTACGATGCGTGTGACATGTGTATGCCAGGGATGAGGAGAAGAAACAAGGAACTTTAGTGAAGGAGGAGTTTGAACGGCCGAATCGAGAAAATACAACGGTTGGTTACTACGCTTGGAACCTCACTTGGAGTAAAGTGTGCAATTAGTTATATTTAGACCTGAAGGTTGACACCTTTTGCGTCGTGACTCACAAGTTGACATTGTTCTATTTCAGGGAATGAGACATGGATCATACGATAAACTCGATGACGACGGTCTCGCACCCCCCGTGAGTACTTTTTTGTGGAAAAAAGTAAAAAAAACGTTCATCAGGCATAGACTTGATTGTAACGTTTCTTGTGATTACTGTGATTACCGGCATGTATTGACTTTAGGTGGGTCGGTCTATTGACGCTGATGTGATAACTGTCTCAGGGCACAAGGGTGTCAGGTGAGGACGTCATTATCGGAAAGACGACACCATTGCCGCAGGATGAAACTGGTAGTCAAGCCCAACGGTACACCAAGAGGGATCAGAGCACATGTTTAAGGCATAGTGAAAGTGGAATGATAGATCAGGTACGTGCTTTTGAGAAAGAAGTCTTGGCAAAAGCGATCACTTTACGTGAAATTGAAGATGCGAATATAACTTCCCAATCGGATCACGAAGTATGTATTAAACCCCGTAAGGGTATTCATTGAGAAAATGCCAACGGGACTTACTTGTAGCTTTGTAAGCTAACCTTTGTCTCTGTCGTGGCCGCAGGTGCTTCTGACAACGAATGCGGATGGTCTGCGATTTGTCAAAATCAGGGTTCGTTCCATTCGTATCCCTCAGATTGGAGACAAGTTCAGCAGTCGGCATGGGCAAAAGGGTACTGTGGGTATGACGTACACCCAGGAGGACATGCCTTGGACTCAAGAGGGTATCACTCCTGACATTATTGTGAATCCCCACGCTATTCCGTCTCGAATGACCATTGGTCAGCTCATTGAGTGTATCATGGGCAAAGTCGCAGCCCACATGGGGAAGGAAGGAGATGCTACTCCTTTCACCGATGTCACTGTAAGTGCCTAGATCGGGGATTCCTGTGTCGTTTCCAGTTTCATCTTTATTCCTCCTGAATCGTATTACTTGTCGAAGGCAGCTCCATCATATTACTGGTATAGCTGCAGATTCATATGTAGGAGAAATGTTCGCATGAATGTTCAGACGTTTGGTTCAAGCATTTAGTCGAGTACGAGGATAGTGAATGGACTAACCTGTGAATGAATGCAGGTGGATAACATCAGTAAAGCGCTGCACAAGTGTGGGTATCAAATGAGAGGTTTTGAGGTCATGTACAACGGGCATACAGGTCGGAGATTGTATGCTCACATATTTTTGGGACCAACCTACTACCAGCGTTTGAAGCATATGGTGGATGATAAAATTCATTCACGTGGTAGAGGACCTGTGCAAATTCTTACACGGCAACCTGCTGAGGGTCGTTCTCGTGATGGAGGTCTTCGATTTGGAGAGATGGAGCGAGATTGTATGATTGCCCATGGAGCTGCGCATTTCTTGAAAGAGCGTCTCTTCGATCAGAGTGATGCCTACCGGGTGCACGTGTGTGAGATATGTGGTCTTGTGGCCATCGCCAATCTGAAAAAGAACACCTACGAGTGTCGCGGCTGTAAGAACAAGACTGAGATTGTACAGGTCGGTGTTGTCCTTCGTCGAGTTTGTGATTTGTTGAAATTTTGTCCCTTCTTTCTCTTTGCTTTTTTATACCGAAGACCTGGATGTTTACGATTCCTGCATATTTTTGCCCGTTAAGTCCAAAATTCTTGCTAACACTAGCTCTTACCGTTTCAGATGTCGTTATTAACAGTCAGTTTGTGCTCTTGCAGGTACATATACCCTATGCATGCAAGCTACTGTTCCAGGAACTTATGTCCATGGCAATTGCTCCAAGGATGTTCACCAAAGAGGAAAAGAAGAAGGTCGTTCACAAGAAGGTACCTTAGCTTGCGTAGAACCTGCCCTTTTGTAAATTGTAAGCAGCTAGATCTGGCAAATTTTGCAACCTACATCCGAGGACGTCATTACAGAATCCAGTTTTTACGAAGCGTACGAATAGACACGTGTATATTAATCTTGGCTCTTCGCCCAACAATTGAAAAGTTTGTAGCTGCTCAAAATCTCTAGTTGATAAGCGCCAAGACTGCCGAAGGAATTGTGCATGTTGCACTGCGGTAGTATTCGTTATGATTTGCTCATGGAACAGTTTGTATATATGAAATTAATTTGGACAGGCGCTTATCAGAGAATCATTAGTGAACGGCTTTAAGCTATTATTAGCAGATCGAGTTTTGTAATCACTACCGGGTCTGTAGACCTGATGGCCAGATACTGTACACGGAAATGTACGACTGAAACCAACAAAGTTGGTATTAATGAGATATGAGAAAATACCACTGGTACGATTATTTGTCGGTACCTATCAAACTGAAATTTAACAAAATGAAGAGCATGATTACCCGAAAACGTGTTTTGCTGCAGCAAGAGTTATATTTTAATCTCTTCTGAGGCCGGAGGATGTGTCCTTTAGGTGTCCTTTTTGTGTCCTGGTTAATGTGGATCTTCATGAGTACAATTGAATTTCAAAGCATGATGTTTTATTTGTAGTTTTGCAACTACCCGTACTTTATCTTATCGAGTGTCCACTACACAGATGCTCAGAAACTCATATATCGGAAGCATATATTCTGAGAGGATAGAAAAAGCCCACTAAGATGTATAGTTACGTTGAGAAGTTTCATGTGAAATTTGTTTTGTTCATTTCTATCACCAACTGGAATGGAGAGAATACAATCACGGAGGTGCCAAAGCTATATCAAAAGTAGAGAGGATAGTGCATTCTGCACCAGAGTAAAATCAAAATTCAACATCAAAGGTTGAGTTCTGATGTTGGAGTATGTCTTGGAGTTGTTGAAGCTAAAGCTCAATGTGGATCATTGATGGCTGGACTCTCAGTTATCTTCTGCAATATGGTTGTGAGCCAGTACTGGTCTTTGTGATTATTTTGGAATTAGAAAAATCTCGAAATGTGTAAGTTTTGCTTTCGTGATGTGTAGTGATGTTTAAAGTGAGAACTATGCGTGTTGTGATATGATAATAAATAGTTAGATGTACATTGAAATGGTAATTTGACTTGTCCCAAACAAAAGAACAATATACATAACTCTATTCTACAAATCAAAAGAGCAAATATACTGATTGATTTACTGTTTTCATCTTTCACTTGGTAGTAACAAGAGGTTTCAAATGCATTCTTAATCTTGATTGCTTTGTTTTAATTTAACCAGTGCATCCACATTCTTACATTCTACGTAAATATATATTTCATTTTCTTACACTCTAGTTTTTTCATAGAAGTCTTAAATGCAAATGAAACTGTTAACAAGTAGGTGTAAAATATATAAAGAATTGATCACTTTACATTTGAAAAGAAAAATCCTCATGCATATAATTATTCATAGCATGTAGAGTTCATGTTTTACATCCATCTGATAATCTATTAACAGTAAGAATTTTATTTTGGAATGTTAATTAAAAATTGGATCACTTTCATAGTTCAAAGAAGCTTAATAATACTCTCCAGCTAGATTATTTAACTAGAATTAACAAGATAATTTATATATTTTTGTTTTAAGAATATATCTAACATCCTTTTACTTTGTCAATCCACATCAATCATCTTCTTTAAAAAAGGATTATAGATGACACATCCTAACAAAAATTAGAATAGTACAAAATTTTGAAACTAAAATATTGGTTCAAGAATATTATAATAAAGGAAATACTTGAAAACTTTTGCCATATCTTACAACTGTCATGGAAGCATTAAATTTACTTGAGTCTTGTTGCAATAAAATTTTTTTGTTTAGAATGGAAAAAAATGTTTTAGTGAATGAATCAACAACAACCAATATATTAAGATAAAAATCTTGACAAGTCACTTAATTTCAATGTAAGAATAAATCAATGAAAAATTTAAGAATAAAAAAATTAAAAAATCTGGTTTTTTATTTTATAATTTTATCAAAAAAAATTTAAATATTAATTCAAAATTTTTCTGCAAAAAATTATTTTACAACTATTTAAATAATCAAAAGCTAAAAGATATTATGTTGTAGTTATATTTTACTTTTGTGTAGGTGTAATTGAAAAAATTCCACATTTGACATTTGAGTTTTTTTGAAATTTATCTATTATCATGATTTATCAATTTCATGATTTTATGATTTGAATCTTAAACTTTCGTTTTGAATCAAGATCCAATTTACGTTCGTAGGTGAAAAAAAATTACTTTATATTTAAAATTTATTAATCTGAATTTTTTTAATTACTATACCATAAAAAATTATGTCTTTTAGATAGTTAAATAAATTAACTTTATAGCTTATATTGATGAAATAAAATCTTGGATTTTATTTAGAACTATACGGTTTAAAAATCACATTTGAAATTTAAGCTATTCTACTTGACTATACAACTTATATGTATGAACGTTTTTAAAAATTGATTTTTCAAAAAGGTAAATAGGCCATTTAAATTTCATATTGAAGGAGTGAAAATTGAAAATCATTCACATAATGCTAGTAGCTAATATGTTATTATTTTAACATATCAATATTCTCCAAAGATGCAAGCATGTAGATGATTTAAAGTTAAATTAAGAAATAATCAAGTTTTAAATATTTTACCTACCTTATAAAAATTATGTAGAGGAGTGGGTGAAATGAGATTTTAGAATTCAAAAAAATTTTGAAAATCATTAATGATTTTTAATTTTGAGCTCAACTTTCTCTATTAATCTCTGTCTTTTTTACTACCCAACTGCAAGGTTGGTGCTCTATCAACTAAGCTATACACTCTATACCCAGGGCATGCAAAAATAAAGCACTTCTATCAATAGATCTGTCTTCCTTTCTTGTAAATTATTTTAACTGAGATTATAAATTGAATCTTGACGATGATACGCATAACATTTGTTCAATTTCTTAATTTATGAAGATATAATAGTGATATAATTATCATAAATTCATAAAACCATATCATCAACAAATTAAATTTATCAAAATTTTATAAATGACAGATTATTTGAAAATGTCGTTGCATTATAAAATGACTTATAGCTTCAGAAATTAGTTAAAAAACTTAATCAGAAAGCTTTATTTCTATTTATCATATCTTTAATTATAAGATTTATTAACATGAAATAATTTATTTTATTATATAATTTTGTTCTAATAAAGAAAATGTAATGTCATTGTTGATTGATTTTTTTTTAAATATTGAATTATTCTTTTCTTTGTAATCGGTTTTTTTACTTTGATTGGAAATTAAAAGATTAATATAAATATCACAATCTTTGTTTCTTCCTAATATTGATTACATAAATTAATAATAATCCAAAAAAAATTTGTTATAAAAATTCAATAAAATCTTGTTGAGTGTAACTCCAATTAAAGAATAATGATTATCGGTGGTAGAGTATTTAACCCCAATGTTTGTATACTACCGAGAGACTTTCAGCACACTTTCACTTACTGGACGTGATGGTCCGAAGAATGAACCATGTTATGTTTTGTGTCTAGTATGTTTGATGAAATTTTGCTGGAATTACTATTATAATTCTCGGTTTAACCCTATTAAATCTTAGTTTGGATGTAGTAATTTTATTCAGTATCACTCTATTGAAGTTGATCTTAATGAGATAATATTTATTTAGTTATATTGCTCTGTCGCATTACTTTACATTATTTTTAATATAGCAGAATGATCACAACCATAAACTTTTTTTTGAATTTTTTTTTCATGGTAATTTGGACACAGCTTATCTTACATGCCTTCATCTTGAATTTGTGCACTCTCGGATATTCATGTTTTTCTTTCTATGGATTCAATATAGTTTTTTACTCTCACAACTTCGGGTTCCGATTTATCTAGTTTGGTATCACCATTAATTTAGATAATTGGATCATTCTTCGTATGATATCGTTTTGCAATCAGAGCTTTAAGTTTGGTTCTTCGAAAATTGATGTTTTGTATGGTCGCTTCATTCAGCCAACATTTTAAGCCATCTGTCGCACAAGTCTCACAAAGAAGAGACCAGTATTTCAATTCCTGAACACTTGAACAAACAAATTATGGCGCCAATAAATTGAATATATTGAAAGTACCCACGAACTGATGTGATTTTTGTGAGATTACTTAACTTTTTAAAATAAATTTAGTAATTTAGTATTGGCATAAAGGCTTAGTCAATACTAAATTACTAAATATATTTCAAATTCAGTGAGACCTCAATAGTGTCCCTGCTTAGATGAAAGCCATGTTTCCTTCCTAATCGATGGCATGCTGTGCTGTCGGGGGTAACGTTTGGAGCCTGCAGGAAGCAGCTGGAATCGTGTTTCTTCCCGATTAGAGTTCCCAATTCCCTTGTGACAGACGTGATATAAAAAATTATCCTTGGAGCATAACCGCTGGGCCAATTAAGTGGCAGGGGGGTAGGGGCAGAGCAAGCCGAGAAAGTCACACGAAGCCCAGGGAAGACGAGCAACAGATGCAGGAAGAGACGAGTCAAACACAAGCCCAGCCGCAACAGCATTGGCATTCTGCCGCTAGGTCAAATCCGTAGGCCCAATGAACACCGCATCATTCTAACGAGCAAGGACTCCACGCAGTAAGCACACTGCGACCGAGGGTGCCAATGCGATAAAGGGCGTCGACGAGCGAATGGGGGCTTCTTACCCCAAGCCCCGACCCGCGTCCGTTGCCGGGGTTGTAAAAATTAAAGTCGGGGCTAGATGGACCGGCTCGGCGATCTGAGCCGTCGAAAGGCGGAGGTGGCCAATGGGGCGGAGGCGCACGGAGGGCGACGAGATGCATGGTCCAGGAGCGCGGGGGCCCACGCAAGAAGCGGAAGAGCGAGTGCAAGCGCAGGAGAATGTGTGCCACGGAAGCTCCAGCACTGTCGCGCGCGCTGCTCCCGAAGGGAATTGGCCAGCAACCTGTGGCGCAATCCTCCGACTGCCACCTCGGACGCCCTGCCCCAGCCCCGTCGATGCCCCCGTCGATGCCCCCGATCCGACGTGACGTCCAGCCCCCGCCCACTTCATCCCAGCCGTCGATCAATCCGCCTGCTGCTACCCCAGGCCCAGGCCCAAGCCCAAGCCCAAGCCCCCGGGTGCCCCAAACCCCGTCACCAAATTCGAAACGTAGTTTCGTCGGATCCGACCGATTTCGCTCGCCCCGGGGGCTCGCTCGGTTGGCCCAGGGGGAAGAAAGGGCGAGAAGGGGCAAGCTTGTCGTGGAGCGACGAAGAAACGGGGGAGGAGGATTTGGGGGGATAGAAGGCTTATGGGACACTGCCGCGTCGGCACGGCCAGATTTTAGCAAATACAAGATATCGTCCTGCGAGCACGGGCCAGATGAAGATGCGAGCGACGGATCTTCCCACCCCCTCTGCCGAGTTCTTGGCTATGGCTGTAGTTCGGTCTGGTCGCGATCGCCCGGTAGAGAGAGTGATCTGATAATGAGTGGAAAAAGCGGTTGCAGAAGTAGCAGCAGCTCAAGGCCGAGGTGGTAAGTCCCTCGACTTCTTGGTTGCTGCGGCCCGACTCTGCAGCTGCACCAAGACGAGGGACGGGGAATTGATCGATGAATGTTCGGATGGCATGGGTGACCGCAGAGTAGCAGCTGTACATGTTGTGAGAACCAGAAGAGGTGGATTGTGTAGTGAATGGCAGCACGGGGTGGAATCCACCATCGTCGGCAATTAGACGGGAAGCGCGCTCAGAATCTGGTTGATTAGATTGTGAATAATTTTTACGGTTATGGCAGTAGCCGGAGCTGCTGGGACGGGTGTGTGCTTGTCTCTGAGTTCGGGGTTTGGCTTAGTGGGGGAAGGGGCCAGCTGCGCTCCCGCTAGGACCTCGGTAGAATTGCGCAGGCCTGTCCTTGCAGGGGCTCATGGGCTCGGGCATGGAAATCAGCAGTCGCTTTCGGGTTCAGATGGAGGCGCAGGAATTTTGACGAATTCGTTGACATCCAGACAGGTTGCCCGGGCCAATTCTGTCGCCAATGTTAGGAATTTATGGGGTAGGAAAGGTAGGCAGAAAGGAGCGGCGCAATGCATTGGCGTTTCGGAAGGAAGGGAGAAGGGTAGTAGTGAGACGGCCAAAGAGACGATTTTTGAGGTGGAGGATCCTCGTTCCAATGCCCGCCCTCGGAATGGTGTTCGCGATATGAATCAGGCTTGGGAGGTTCTGCGTCAGGATGTCCTCTACCTCGATTGGAGGGCCCGCCAAGACGTCTATGCTATCAAAGTTGCACATGACAAAGTAAGCAATTGTTATCCTGCACAATTTGAGCCCAAGTATTGTCTGGATGACACTCTTGGTTTCGAACTGCCTGCCTTCTGCATTTCTCGCTGATATACTTTTCGTAAGGTCTTAACTCTGAAAATCGCTGGCCCCTGTTCAGCAGCAGTAAGAGCTTTATTTCTAGCGAATCGACAGTGTAGAGAGAAAAACCTCCCTCCAACCTCCACAGTGTAGTAGGAAGATGGTATTAGATCGTGTTGCGAGATGCTTAGAGGCTGCATCTAGTCTTGCTCTGCTCATAATTTTTCAAAAGATATGATGGATGAGGCAACGCCTACAGGATAATAGAGCTCGGCATGGCGATCGGTGCCCACGGCATACCTGAGTGGTTTAGCCCAGTTGCATCTTGGGGATCATCTCCTCGGCAGGTCTAGGTTTCTCTGCTGAAGTCGATTTGCTTCCTTTCGTGGAATTACGGTGTGCGATTGTCTGATAGGATCAGGAATCTGTGTCTTATGTCAAACCCTACTGGGACCATGTAGCAGCTGCGAGGCGATTTTCTGATTTGATCTTTTGGCTTTGTCGCTGAAATTTTCTCTCATTTCACTGTGGTTCTGCTCAGGTCGTGGAGACGCTGAACCCTCTTGCCAGGGAGCTGAAGTCTGTAGAGACTATGAAGAAACAGCTAGCTCAGCTGCAGGAGGACCTCTCCAAGGCTCATACTCAGGTACGCCATGGCCCTAATCAGCTTTTGTGCACTTCGAAGTTCTACTTCCAGCTGCCGACTCGTTGTATATCGATCAAGTCTCTGATGGTAAGCCACGGCTACGGGTTTGTGCAGGTGCACCTCTCAGAATCCAGGGTAGAGCACACTATGAGGAAGTTGGCCGAGATGGAATCTGTGATAAACGACAAGTTGCTGCTGCACAAAAGTTCGGAGACTAAGATGGAGCCTCAGATCCAGAGGACTGCTCCAGTTTATGTTGACGCAAACGCGGAAGGCCTTGCAGAAGCCAGAAGAATACAAGCAAGCAAATCAGGTTCTAACATTCTGAACGTTTCGGGACCGACAGAACCGTATCCTGTTTGGCTGAAGAACTTTTGGTATCCAGTGGCGTTCACAGTTGATCTGAAAAGCGATATCATGGTCAGTATGCGATCGCTTCTCCGCTTCCGAAAGAATTCTTGCAACCCTTCTTTCTTTAATCTTCTCCGTGTAGGACGTTTCTCGCAAGTTTGTTTCACGTGTTTCCTGCACTCTGTAAGGAGATGTCAAGTGTGTTGTAACCAAACTCGACTACCGAAATCTTCTGAGACTCGAACTCACATTGGTTTGGAAATCTCTTGTAGATTCCCATCGAGAGTTTTGAAGAACCTTGGGTGCTCTTCCGAGGGAAAGACGGCCGTGCTGGATGTGTGCGTGATGAGTGTGCGCATAGGGCATGTCCCCTGTCACTCGGCACCGTTGTTGATGGGCGAATACAATGTCCTTATCACGGTACAATGCTATCCTCAATGACTTGAAGAGTGTGTCCGTGGCCGTGTTCTCTTCCACCACGCTTCTAGACGAGGGCTGCGTTTCGCAATGTTTACATTAACAAGCTGTGTAGAGGGGAGAAGTCTGTAGTCTTGAGATGTGAAACTACGCACATTGATGGCTGAAGAGATTTGTCAGTTTTGCTTGCTTGCTCTTAAGACCACCGTTGCCTTTGGACATGAATCTGAACTCGAGTCTTGTCTGCTGCAACTTGTCGCTTCTTTTATAGCAATATCTGTGTTTTTTTTTCTCCCCCTTAATATTCTTTCATAAGTCTTTGTCTATGGTTAACAAGAAGACAAGTGGTTGCGGTTAGCCGATCTACTTCAAAACTCATGTTACCATGTTCCTGTGACTGAATTTTGTGAATCCACCACTGAAATGTGAAAGTCCATTGTTCGCAGGATGGGAGTATAACACGGGTGGTAAGTGTGAGAAGATGCCGTCGACAAGGCCACTGAAAACAGGCATCAGGGCCCTGCCTTGCATTGAGCAAGACGGAATGGTCTGGATCTGGCCTGGGGATGAAACTCCTGCAGCGACCTTGCCTTCATTGTTGCCACCTGAGAACTACACGATACACGCAGAGGTAAGCCTCTTTCTTGTGAGCTTACATGTCGGAAGTCAGGAGCCTTTTGAGACTTGGAACTTGTACTATTTGCGAACTGTCTCTTCATAGCACAGATGTTTTTACATTTGCATCTCACCCTTGGTTCCCCCCTGCATCAGATTGTTTTGGAGCTTCCTGTGGAGCATGGGCTCCTAATGGAGAATCTTCTCGATTTGGCACACGCTCCTTTCACGCATACGAGTACATTTGCGAAGGGTTGGTCTGTCCCAAAGTAAGAAGCTAGAACACCACTCCAGCTCAACCGACTACAAACTGTTTTTCGTCTGCCTCACGCGTTCTTTAGGAAGGTCTTGGGTATCCTTGGTCTTTTTCATGGTCTTCTTCCGTGATAATAGCCTCAAATTCGGCACTAACTTAAAAATTTGATCCCTTGATTCACAGCATGGTGAAGTTCAAAACGCCAATGCAAGCACTGAGTGGTAACTGGGATCCATATCCAATCGATATGGCCTTTCAGCCCCCTTGTATGGTACTATCTACTATCGGCCTTGTGAAGCCCGGAAAGCTCGACGGGTCAAGCACTGCTTCATGCTCCAAGCACCTCCACCAATTGCATGTGTGCATGCCGTCGTCAAGAGGAAAGACACGATTGATGTACCGCATGGCTCTGGACTTTGCCCAATGGGCGAAGTATGTGCCTTACATCGATCGCGTGTGGACACATCTTGCTAATCAGGTAGGATGGCACTCCCTGTGTGTCCCTTTTTCCTGCCAAGTTTGTCAATCGAAGTTGAGAATGGAGCTCTGTTCAATCGTCCGTTCCAAGTTGGTGTGTAGCTTTCTGTCAAACCCAGGAGGGCCTTACATGGTTGATGTTCGTTTTCTGATGACATTGCTATTGTTTTTCACTGTGTGACAGGTTCTGAATGAAGACCTACGACTCGTCGAAGGCCAGCAAGACAGAATGAAGCGTGGAGCAAACGTTTGGCAAACTCCAGTGGGCTACGACAAGCTGGGAGTACGGTACAGGAGATGGAGAAATGCCGTAGAAGCCGGAGCGAAGAAGATTCCCTTTGAGTCGATTCAATGAGGGGGATTGGTACAGAGATGTCCGATGTTGTAATAAGTTTGTCCTCGTAACGTTGCGCGTGTGTAAAAATCGGAGGGAGAGTAGTTTTTGGCAGTCACCCAGCTAACGTTCCAAAAACAGAGTTGATTATCTGTAGAGCCCTTTCTCGAAATGCTATTTCAATTCCATTTATTCAAGCGACTGTCATGAAGAATCAGCTGTGGCTGGCTACCGTAGCTACCAGCTGCAGCTATGCTTCCTTGAATGAGTTGAGCACACTGCTGGATTTTGCCAGACGCCAAAATTTACTCTGGCAAGGGCCCGGCGTGTGTTTGTAAAATTGTGTACCATGTTGAACTTGATTTCTGGGAGATTTTCACAACAGCTAACTAAAGGCTGTTTGGCCCTTTCCCTTATCATTAATCATTTCCATTTTCTTTATGATCCACACACTCGCCGTCTTTACCTATTTGTGCGTTTGCTAAATGATTACTGCTGCCTCTGGCACTGGACCATAGCCCGATGCAAGCAAAAGAATATGAATGACTGATTTCAAACAGTCGCGCCTGAAGTTGGAATATGGAGTACACAGTTTCTGTTGTGCACATCACGACACGTCTACAGTGTGGGCAGGTCAAGTACACTACAGAAAGTATAGGGTGTCTAATATTTCTGAAGGAGGTCGAGTGCAAGACAGAATCCGTCTCATGCTCATGCTCATACAAGCTTAATTCCGGTTTAATGACGGATAGTATAAAATATACCGATCACGACAATGCCCCCATCACGATTTCATTCACGATTCGGTTGTGAAGATAAGTTCTTTACTTTATGAATACCAAGACTATGGATACATCGAGAGTTTCTGTACAGCTAAGACAACAGATTGCAGACCTCCAGCTTTCATCAACTGGCACCACTAGACGGGCTAGTTCCGATATATGGAAACGTGGCACAGAGAGAAAGCTGTCAGAAGGAAATCTCAGAATCAAACCCAGGCCAACGAATAAGATACCTGCCTCTAAATAAGCCCAAGTAGCTGTAGCGACTTTTCGTGCCAGCCTCTGGAGAAGCATCCAGAGGACCTTTAAGGCACATGCGATTGGGTAAGTGACGAACGTGACTCTCTGGATTGTATTGACTCGCTCTCACGACGAGGCCGTTGAGCCGAGCTCAAGCTGGGGTGTGAAACAAGAGTCCAGCACGGGCAAGCGGACAAGATCCGATCCTCACGGATCGAATTCCACAAGGCCAGCGAGTGGAAGTATGAGCTGCTGCTGCTGCCGAAGCTCTGAACTACGTTGGTCCTGTGTTTAATGAAAACTACGTACCTCTGCCTGGATTGCATCCGTCCAAGTTCCAAGTGCCAAGTTCCAAGCTCGTCTGCGACGTTGACTGTCACATGGTCTTTCCAACACTGCTGACGTATAAAGTCTCGGTGTGCGTACTTCACGATTGCCATGGTTAAAAAGTCAGCGTGTGATCGTGTCTTTTGCTGGCCCTATCGTCTTGAACCCATCGCCAGAAATATATTGTCTCAACATGCTTGCGACCTAAGTGTACGTGCTAATCATGCTCTCCTAGACAGAGGAAACGAGAATTGGTAAAGGCATGTCGCAATGAATGAAGGCAAGTAAGGGGAGGCAGCTCCTCACTACTTTTACCCTCTTACCGTTTCTGCAGATCTCCACATGGTTCATAAATCACTATTTGAGGTAGACTGAAACTCTCATAATATTCATGAACCAGATCATGCGTGACACAACGACTAAAAGATTACCGATGGTAGCTACCAGGAGGCCATCCAGTTCTCACGATAAGCCCTCAATTTGTGAGCATTCCACCAAGTACGACAACACTATCAAGATGCACCTCACCTCAAGATGTTCCTCACCTCCCTTGTCTCTTCATCTTTGATAGACCCATAGTAATGAACAGATGTCTGACTTCGTTAGCCTGTAATCTGTACTACTCGCAACATGGATGGAGACATAGCTCAGACAGTACATGGACAATTCGACCAACTATCATTCTTTTCACTTCCATAGAAAACAAAGCAGGTTCTCATTTCAGTCAGTGAGCTAGGGAAGAACCACAAAATCTTGAGTGCACGTCTTTTAATAATTAATATAACTGGTTTGATCGTCTGTACATTGTTGCCTGTGGTCACGATAGGCTTTAACCAGAATGGGGTACAAGTTTTTTCAGTCCAGATAGTAGTGTCAAATATTGACGATGGTACAAGTGCGCAGCACTCTTCAAATACGCATACACCCCTCGGCACCTCAACAGAATCATACGTCATCCACTCTCAATCCTGTCAGGGTGGTATTCCACGTCACAATGAATGAACATACACGCAGGAAGCCAAGCGCCGGATGTGCGTAACAGGAAGTGGCAGAACTAGTAATTTCATCATAGCGTCCGGGACAATAGTACATCGCCGCCATGTGGAAAACAAGACACAGAACAGGTCCCTCGTAGAACCTGCGCTCGACACTTCAAATGTCCATCCAGAACTCCCTGGGGCCAGGAGTCGATAGTACAGAAGGTGCTGGTATCCTGGCCCTGGTGTGGAGCCTAAGTCTTAAGAAGAGAGGTTGACTGGAATCCATATCTCAAAAAACGAATGTCTCATTCTTCTGGACATTTTGCTTCAATTAAGATTACAGAAACGAGAAGATATCCCATCTGTAGGAACAACAGATCGCTCCCTGTCATCTACCACACCTACGGAACAGAGCTGTGATGACTGAAGCGTCGTGAGGCCTGCGAGGGCTCGTTGTGGTGTGTCGACATATTGCGGCCACTTTAAAGATTTCCCCTCCAAAGCATGCAGAACAAAAAGCTCTCGGCCTACTTCCTTCGTGAGCGCATAATTCGACCAAGAATCTAGTTACATCCTCGCAGACACAGGTAGGTGCCGAAAGCTTCGCCCAGAGGTGCTGTGCACAACCGATCGATCTCCAAGCTGAGAAACTCCCTCTCATGAATCCAAGACGTTGGCCCACCTGCACCTACTAGCAGCATTCGCTCTTTCGGCTTCAGAAAACCTCAAAAGTCAGTCGGAACTCGGAAGGGCTTGCACCTCATTCAGTCCCCATCCAATCCCACCTCTGTGACGTAATCCATTTCCGTGCCTGTAGACACTTTCTACAGCCTGCAGGCCAGCCGAGTGCCACTCACAGCAGCCATCTGAGAACGAGAAAAACCCACGGAGTGTGAACTGATTTCGATCGAGGCATGCCAAGGTGCAAAATCCTCGTATTCAGGTTTTGAACATGCTCTATCTCTACTGCACTTATTGAATTTAATCACGTATCAATCCGCTATGTGGGGTATGTGCAACACAGCTTTTCATAAAATGCCGGGGGGAGGAAAGGCGATTTTATCAGTCTTCGTCTACAAGCCTTCCGGAGGCTTGTGCAGCAATTTCCTTCCGAGAAGCTTCCCACAGCTGCTCTTCGATTCCCAGCTTCTGCAATTCCAACAGGCCTCGCTCCACATCCACGATATCGTGCGAGGAAGGGGCCTGATTGCTGCGAGTCCTCCAGTAAGTCAATTTCTCCTCGGATATGTCCTTCTCCACCTTATAATTCTTGGCCCGGCGCCAGAAGTACACCAACCAGGCCTGCTTGAATTGCAGATCCTCCACCTCCTCCGCAGTCAGCTCACCTCGCACGGTCCCGTTGGGATGCTGATTCTCCGCCATAGCCAGCATGACGGCTTGCTCCACCTTCAGAGAGGCCAGCTCCCGAAGGCCCTTCTCCACAGCCAGCATGCCCTCGATGTTGCCCTCGCCGCTCGTGAGGTCGTTCAGATCTCGGATCGAGGGCGTCTTGCGATGGCCAGGAGTGCTGCTGGTGCTCTCGCTGTGGCCGGCAGAGATCACCACCTCGAGAGGCAGAGGAGCCAGAGCCGACCAGTGCTCGTGCTTCGAGCTGGCCACTTCTGCGAGCACACCATAGCGAGCTGCCAGGCCCCAGTAGCGCGCGAGCCAGCAGCGCTTGAGCACCATCTCCTCCATCTCCTCCTGCGTGAGCACCATTCGATGCGTGACACTGCGCAGCCCACGCACCTCCTTCTCGGCAGCCTCGGCTCGCTCCGCTGCGCTCTGCGCCTCGGCCTTGAGCGTGTCGGCATCGAGGCGCAGAGCTGCAATCTCGTCGTCCTTCGTGTCCTTGACCTGCTCCTTGGCGGCCTTGAGGGCGGCCTCGCGCTGGCGCAGGGCGGCCTCCTTTCTGCTCAGCAATCGAGCTTCCATGGAGATGCCCTCGCCCAGATTCGCCACCTGCTTCTCGAGCTCCTTCATTCTCAGGTCGCGCTCCGCCAATTTCTGCTCCGCCTCCGTCAGTCGGGTCTTCAGAATCTCCTTGTCCTCCTCCAGCAAATCGATCTCGTCCCGCAGCGCTGCCTCCTCGCGGCGCTCGGGCTCTCGATTGCCATTCCTCAAGGACGAGGAGTCGCCCCGGGGTACATCGAGGTGCGTCGAGGGATTCAACTCCGTCGACGGTCTGCGCAAGGGATTGCTGCTGCGGATGTCGGAGATCGACTCGATCGAGACATCGCTCGTGCGCGTGGTCAAGGTCGGAGGGAGCGAGGGCGGCATTTTCGTGCTGCGCTGCGGGAGTCGCGCCATGGGCACGGCGGTGAATCGAGGCGCCGGAATCGAGTCGCTGAATGGGCGCACGACTCGGGGAGATGGATCCCGCGAGCCCAGGCCTCCGAAGGGCGGCCTCACCACTCGCGGCGAGGAATCCCTCGACGCTCCGTAGGACGGCATCGGCTGCCGCTCGAACTGCAGCTCGTCCTCGTCGTAATCGTCCGAGTGCGACGCCATCACCTGCGCCAGGCGAGCTGCTGCTGCGCTCTTCGCGTAGCCCTGCGTTCTGCGCGCCGGCGTGAGCCCCGACGCATGCGACGCCGATCTGACATGGTGCGGCCCGCTCGGTGCTCCTCCTGCCTCCGATGACCCATTCCTCGATCTCGACGTAAATCCATAATTTCCATCCGCATTCGCCATCTTCAATCCCTAGCTCCACCTCTATCCTCCACGCATCAACAATCAATCTCGACGTCGACGAATCCGCTCGATTCACTCACTCACTGACCGCCTGCACTAGCACGCCATTCCCCAAAATCCAGCCCCTGATCGCAACCCGCGAGCAAATCTGCTCTCCTATCTCCCTTTCGCCGAGCCCTTCTCGATCGCCTTCGCTACCATCCTCCCTCTTTCCAATCAACTGATCGGCGATCGATGATCACAGTCGGCGTCCATTCTCCCCAAACACAGCGACCCGAGTTCACTTCTTCTTCACTACTCGCAAACCCAAATCTCCTGATCTGCTGCTACTTCCTCCTCCTCCTCCTCCTCCTCCTCCTACTTTCTACCAATCCACAAATCCAACGCGTTCGCTTCGATCGAAGCCATTACTACCACGCTCATGCCCAACACCTAATCCTACTACTGCTGCTGCTACTTCTGACCCTGCCCATTCTCATCTGCTCATCGCCAAGCAAAATCAATCAATCAATGCCCCAAACGGCCTCGTCACGATCTCCGGGCTCGCAGACTCTCAGTCCAAGAAGTGCATCAGCGTCGGAGCCCGAGGAAAGAAAGAAGGCGGGGACGCAAGGGCGAGGGCAAAGAAGAGGAGGAGGAGGATGAGGGGGAGGGTGAGCAGCGGAAGAAAGTGCGGCACGCGGGACGAGCACAGTGCACAGAGCCCGGCGAATTTGCAGCCCTGTGTCGTCGACCCCAAGCTCCGCTCGCTCGATCACAAACCTAAATTAAAATAAGACGGAGCTACAGCTGCTGCGAGTGGTGGGCAATGCTGTGACAGATCCGGATTCCAGAGATGCAGGTTTCTCAAAAAGAACTCACACTCTTCAATCTCTGCACTCTCTCTATCTATCTCAGCATTCGTTATCGGGCAAACCTAAACCAGCTGAGCATGAATTTCATCCACTTCCGAGCACGAGGTCCAGTCCTGACTGACTGACTGACCACGGGGGACTGACTACTCTCCTCCACCTCCTCCTCGTCCGCTGGACCATAAAAATAGATCCTTCCGATACTCGCTACCTGTTCATCCTCCGAGTCCTCTCCATTTCTGTCGCTTTCACGCTCGCGCAACGAACCTCTCGTCGGGGCCTGCCCCGAGCCGAACACGATCGACGACAAATAGATCGATGGAGTTCAGCGATGGATCTAGAGCTACAAACACTATCGAGAATGTGTGAGTCCGTCCAGCTCGCTTGCTCGCTAGCTAGCTAGCCGGGGGACGCTAGCCAGCAGAGGGACAGCAAAAGGATGGGAAGAAACGAGGAGTTTAAGACTCGGTCGATCTCAGAAGAGCGAAATGAAGCACATCTCGCAAGAGAAAAGGCCGATAAACTTCGTACGAAAATTCCAATTTAGACGTGGCCTGACAGGCTGTCTGTCCGTCTGTAGGGCTGACAGACAGACAGACCGAATTGAGAGCTCAATCGATGATCTTAGGAGAGAAAAGTTACCGAGCTAGCCCCCGCCTTCGTCCACATCCCCCAGCATCCGCGACCGATCTCTCCCGTATACAGGGGGGAACAGTAGGCACCCAGACCGGGGGGGAAGGGGGTTGGGGTAAGGAAGGGGGGAAGAGAGAGACGAAGCTCGCATGAATGGGAAGAAGGGGTAGGGGTAGGGGACGGAACCACACAACGGTGCCCTCGTTTCTGTCTGCTGCTGCGTGTGCGGAGTGGATTAAGAGCCGACCGGCCGAACGGAAGAACGAGGACGAGCACGGGAGGGGCAGGGGCACGCAAGCACTTCATTCTTCCTGCCATAATGCCGTCGCTGCTTACCTCACCCCACCCCCCGGCCCGGGGCTACCTTCCTGCCTGCTGACGGGACGACCCGGTCGCCCCAAGACAGAGGATACGATAGCCCCTCACTCCTGGGGCTGCGACGGGGGCTGCGTCGGGGGCTGCCTTGCCGACGACGGACGAGGACCGGGACAGAGTCTAAGCACCAGACAGGACCTATCCTTGTCCCGTCCCGTAGAGGGGATCGACGGGGAAGCTAGCTACTGTTAAAGGCCATCTTTCGCCATTGTGGCTGTGGACGGGGAAGAAGGGGACAAAATGGGCTTGCGGGGCAAAGGGATTTACTGTCCCTATCCATGTCCGCGGTATTTGACCAGTCCAGGTGTACATTCGGCCAGCCCAGTCTCTCTCGTTCCTGTGGGTCAAACGGCGCAAAGAAGACAATTATGGACTCCAGCTCTTAATACTGCTCCTTTCCTTTGACAATATCAAACTCTTTGCATTCTGTGCCATCCACGACTTATCACCCAGATTCTAAGTTCTTTCAAACCAAACCGAGTCCCCCTAATATTCCCATGTTTCCCACTTCTCCTGCAGGTTTACATGAGAAATTCATATTACTGTTTTGAATAATTACAGTAATCAACTCACGAGAGCATCAGAATAATTTTATACAGCATATGATAAATTAATGATATTCCTGATTAAAGTTATTATGTTAATACTGCGAACCGTGGCACTACATATAAGATCATAGATTCGTACAATGTAGGGCGGGGCTATACGAGGACAAGGCCAATGGTTAGCTGGAGAATTCATCGTCGAGAGGAATATAAGAGATCTACTGTATATGAGATAAAGGCTCGTCCTGCAGAGGCTCTCATTCAGGATTCTCGGACTGGGCTCATTGATGGTGATGATAATGATGAGAGAATATGTGCGCGAGGCCCAGCAAGAGCAATGATGGAAACAAGGGGTCTCCCAGTCCCAAAAGTCTCCTTCTATTTAGTGTATTTTTCTCCGCAGGGGAGCAGACTCGCTCGGACCTCTGTAATTTCACTCGTTGACTAGAAGAAGAGTGGGAGATAGTCCACAAAGCTTCTTATCTCGTCATGTGGAATCTCTCTGCTGTACAAGAGAAGGGAGACACATGAAACAAAATGCATAATGCAGCCACAACTATCCAGGTACATAGCACAACAGATAAATGCTGAAATAATGTGTGCTGAAAAAAAAGTACATAACTAAACTTTCTCATGATAATCACTATGTCTCCAACTGTATCACTTATGTCTCGTACATGCAGAACTCCAATATCGGTGATAACTTGAACTAGTGGACGAGAACAAGCGTCATCAATTATGGTTATCTTTCTTTCAATGCCACATGCTAGTATATGTTCTAATAATTTGCATATTTAGTATATAAAATATTGGATCCAGTAAGACATCGTAAATGAGCACAAATGTTGAACGATGAAACTCCCGAAGTGTTTTGTATATATAGTCCAATCCCTCCCTGCATCTCCAAGTCCAACTCAAGTGGAATGAGGATATGTCTCTCTTAAGAACTCTTTTATCTTAAGAACATGTTTAACCTCTTCAATGCTCCAATGATAAGTTGAGTTAGATTAGTCATCACAGCAAGTCTTGGCTCATATATGGTCTTCCAAGATGCAAAAGTGTATTGCTCTTTCCACATTTTATATCAGAAATTTTTTTGGACAATGGAATAAATGATAGTACCAATTTCATTGTGTCTAGCAAGCTTATGATCTTCAAATTGATTCCTTTGACAAGTGAGTACTTTATGCGTCTAGATTCTGAGCTTATGAGAGCATGCTAGGGGCTGAAGATTTTATCAGATCCATTTAAAGGCACGTTGCTATAATAGAAATAAATTTTTTGTTATGGAAAAAGTGACAGAAAGATAAAGTATATAATAGTCAAAACTAAGATTGCAGATCTTGTCAACATTAATAGATTACAAAAAATCCCATCATAATGGTTGAAAAAATACATTTATGATGTGTCATTATGAATGAATATCATCATGATAGAGAATCAACTGGAAAATTGAATTGATAAACATAAAAAACTTAGAACATTTCTATGCATCATGATAAAAAAAATATATCATATCATGAAATATTTTTTAATAATAGAGGTTAACAATTCTGAGATTTTCATTTCATTTCATGATCCAAAATGAAATAACTAGTGCATTTTAGTGATTCTGATATTGCTCTTAACACATATAAAATATTATTTCAAATTATCAATAAGATGTGATACCAGTTTTTTATCCTGATATTGTTAGCAATTTCAACCTTGAAATAAATACGTTTCTATTACATCAATTGACTTAAAAAAATTTCCAGACAAAAAATATATGATAAATAATTTATCATTTTTTTAAAGAAAATACTTTTATGTAAAATTTGTGTCAAAAAATATGAGATATATTGACAATAGTTGTCACGTCAGCAAATATGATATGTGTGCTTGTTAGATATGTCATGTCATTGATCAATAATGAATAAATAGTATGGTTGAAGTGAAATTTTATCTTCTTATAATGTTGGAAAAATTTACATGAATAAGAGTAGTTTCATTGTAAATATCTTTCACCTTCAAAGTTTGTGTTTTATCTTTAAGTTAACTTTTCTTTATTTATAAATGTTATCATCTATATAATCATAAAGTTACATAAAAGATTATCAAAATTATTCATAACACAAATCAAACTTTTTTGTGCATAAAACCCAAGATATTTTCATAAGCGTAGTATTCAAAGTTGAATAAGATAATTTTTTCATTGTTGTAGATGTGTGTTTTGTTAGTTTGTGAGTTTGTGTTTATGAGACTATGTTAAAAGATTTTGTGACACATATTTCATAGAAATTTTTATAATCAACTTTGGATATCAGTAAGATATAAAACATTTTTTAATGGTTTTAAATTGAAGAATAATTTTATCAAATTTTTTAAATAAAAAATTATTTAAATTCATAATAAAAAAATTTTATTCAAAAATACTGTTAATCTTAAAGAAATACATAATAATTATTTTAATTTTTCATATTATAATATATAAATGATATTTTTTGATATCATCTTAAATGTAGAAATAAAAAATCTTATACAAATTGAAACAATATATAATTTAAATGTGTATATGTATATATTTATTTTTATATATGTATCGTATATGTATTATATATTTAAGAAAAATATATAAAGAGAGTTTTAACAATGGCAATGAAGAAAGTGTTGTAGGACAACTGATACAAGATTCAATAATTACAAATAATGACGGTAGATGAGATTGGTACCAATATTCATCTCCTAATCATGACGATTATAGTTTATTGCAAGGGCAAGCATAAGGAGATCATAACCTATTTTGCTGAACATATTGCGGACAAGAAAAAACTTGGAAATGTTTTTCAAGCAAAATGTACTGAGCTAGGTGAAAAGATGGCAATCAAGAAGATGTCGTGGGACAATCATTACTTGAATAGAGAATTACAAATACAGAGTTAAACCTCCCAATAGTGTCACCTCCTATGAGTGACATCCTCCCATTAGTGACATGAAAGTGTGGAACCATTAGTTTCTAACGTATAAATTTGTTCAATAAGAACCGTACGTCACTATTGATAATAGTGACGTACAGTTCAATAGTGACATGGTGGAGCTTTAATGACTATCATAATTATCGAAAGTATCCGTTCACAACTTCCGGATTTAGAATTCTATTTTTTTCTATGCTTCTAGTGAGGTTGAATCATGATTGTAACTATGTTATGAGAAGATTGAATTAGTCAAATGTTAACTACTCTTTTTATCATCTGCTACTTTTCCTTGATATACATCAAATATATGTCTAACAAGACAGGTCCCAAAAATAAGTGGATGTTCTGATTTTATGCTTGGAGCATAAGTTAAGTAAGTGTGCTATGAATTTCGCTATGAAACATATCTTACCGAAATTGATATCAATTTGCACATCATTTGTACAAAAGTTGTTCTAGGGTGGCGTTAATGCTCAATGTGATCCAAACACTTTGCATTGAGATATTCCGAGTCATATAAGGGACAAATTGAAAACTAGAATTTTGGGCTCTTCAACCAGCTCAAATTTCTAAGTCAAGGAAAAAATGAAAAAATTCAATTTTGACAATTGATATTCATGTTGATTATAATCACCATTGTAATCTAGTGAGTTTTGCAATTTTTACCAAGCAGAATTGATTCCCAATATTTCTCAAACGAGAGAAATTGCTTCTCGATTGAACCATGTAATTCCTTGAGTAGTAAAAACTTTCTATATACAATAGAGTACAAAAATCTTAAAAATCTTATATAGTAGAAATTGCTAATATATAGGCAAGTACAAAAATCTTATGTATTGGAAATCTTCTTATAGTGAACATCAAATAACTGTAATTTCACTAATCATTGTTGATGTAAGTTCAAATTCGAACCGCCAAATAACCCGCTAAATATTTAGCAGATCCGCTAAACATGCAATAAGAATGTCTTCACATGATACACTAAATATTATCCAACCTCGTGTGAGTGACACCTCCCAATAGTGACATAAAACTATAGAACCAATGTATGTCACTATTGAGAGGTTTAACTCTGTAATGATGTCAGATAAAAGAATCCAAGACTGATCACATAATAACCACAACCATAAATGACCACACTAGCGAGTCTTGCAAAGCATAAACTTTTACACTGGGAGAATGATGAATACAAGAAAAAATATTTTTGATTTTCTGATGAAATGTATAGAGTGAGGTGAAACTATGGCAATCAAGAATATCTTGTAGTACATCAATACTTAGATAGGGAATTGTAGATAGTAGTGGTAGATGGAAAAAGTTCGAGACTGAACACGTAATTGCCACAACCACATATGACTGCAACGGCGAGGCTTTGCAAACCATAAACTTTGATGCAGAGAGTATGATTGGCACAAAGTCATTTGGAATTGTTTGGCAAAATGTATAGAGCAAGGTGAAATGTTGACAGTCAAAAAGCTGTCGCACGACAAGCACTACAAAAATCAACAATGGTAGTGAGACTTATCACATAAACACCATGATCATAATCTACCCCAATGATCAAGTCAAGCAGATTATAAACTAATTTGCGGAGCGGATGATGGGCACAAAAACATCTGGAATTTGTATTTAAAGCAAAATGTTTAAAGCCAAATCAAACATTAGCAATCAATTACTTGTTCAAGACAAGTTTTACAAACATTGTGAATTAGAGTTGTTTTTGCGGAGTGTATGATGACTTAAGAACTTTTGACTTTGTGCCAACATAGCAAAATATATGAAAATAAATGAACATATGCTAATCAAAAAGATGTTGCAAGACAAATGTTACAAAATTGAAAATTATAGCTATTCCGTTGAGTAGATTATGCACATAAACACATTTGGAATTGTTTTTCAATCAAAGTTTTTAGATGTTGATGAAACTATGACAATCAAGAGCTGTTGAAGTACAATTAGTACAAGAATAAAAAAATTTAGATTATGATGTTGAATGAAAACAGTATTGAGACATGTCATCTAATCATCACGATCATAGTTCACGGCAATTGCATGTCCAAGCATATTATAAATTATAATGCGGAGCTAATGCTTGGTTGCGTTCATCTATGGGTAGGACTCATAAAGGTAAGGTAAAACATTATTTACAAAGGTAAAAGGTAAAATATAGGGATAGAGATGCAAAGATATTCAATGGATAAGGAGGAAGAGGCTATAGTATAGGTAATGCCCGTTAATCTATCCGCCTACTTGAGTAATTACCCTTTAAATTGGAAGCTCGATGTGATGATAGAGTAGGTAGATCATAGAGTAAAAATAATGCCATTTTACCTATCACTTACGCTAGTAATTACCTATTAAGTTGACAGCTTCATTAATTGCGTTCTTGCGTGACGTTTGTTAACTTGCCATTAATTCAGTGAAGTTGGCGGCTTTGTTAATTGACTATTGCGCGATGTTTGTTCACTTGACTTCTTGCGTTGTGTTTGTTCACTTGCAGTTAATTTGCTTAATTTTTCCGCCCAAGTGAGCATACTTATTTGTTGCCATGATACGACCAATGTGCCATTTCCCAAACTTGTTGCGTTTGTGAGGACTAGTCTAAGGTTTTTTGTGTTTTGATTCAGCAACAAGTGATGTTTGAGCGCATCATATAACACTCAACCTGCCGGAAGGTTATTGTTGTGGAGGTTCTTATGAAAATACTAGTTTCCCAAATGAGTTTGGTTGAATATGACTATGGCTTGACGGGTAATTATTATTGGATAATTATCCGATTTACGGATGAAGTAAAGGTAAAGTGTATCTTTTATTCTTATTAGATAATCATTCATTTTAGGAATAAAGTAAAGTTAAAGTATATTTCTTATTTTAATGGATAATTATTTGGTTAACGGATAAAGTAAAAGTAAAGTGTATTTTTTACTTCTATTGGAGAATTACCTAGTTTACGGATAAAATAAAGTTAAAGGTATAAGTAAAGCATGATCAATGTGGTAATGATAGGGATAAAGTAAAGGTAGAGTACATTTTGTTGTCCGTTAAACATTTATCTTATCTTGTCCAGGCCTATCTATGGATGAAGATATCATATTCATCTATCATCATTATTAGTAATATATTCTTCTTGTTGAACTTGTATCGCAACAACTTTTGATTTACAATGTTTCACCTTACTCTATAAAATTTGCTCAAAAAACAATTTTGATGTCACTTGTGCTCATCATCCGCTCTGCCTAATAGAGGCATCATCTATTTGGCTAGAGGATTGCCACGAATTATGATCGTGGTGATTGGATGATCCATCTCACTATCATTTTTCTTCACTATCATTATCTTTAATTCTTGATTTTTACACCGTTTTTCCTACAACATCTCTTGATTGTCATCGTTTCATCCGTCACTAAATTATTATTTTTTGATAAAAAATTTCAAATGTCTTTTGGTCCACCACATGCTTAACAAAATAGCAATAAATTTGGATTCTAGTACCGTTTAGGGTTACAGATGTCAAATATGAGTCTCATGGTAACATGATCTTTTTCTCGTAGAATCTATTGCAATAATTGCAGTCGGTACTTATTGGTCATTGTTCTTGAATCGCATACTTAGTAGTATTATGTTGGATTGTGTTTTCTGTATATGATATGTAACAAAAACACGCTAGGAGATGATACTTGATTTGAGTGCAACAAAATTTGTTTTTGACAAGTAACACTTCTGTGGTCTTTTTAACATTAAATATGGTTGTTTATAACTTTGCGTAAAAAATATATGTTACATTTAAAGCCAATTTGAGTGAAAACTTTATTATTTCTACATCATGTAGAATAAACTAAAAAAAATTTAGTTTAAAATAAAAATTTAAAAAATTAATTTCTTACAAAGATTTAATATTGTGAGCGTAAAATTCTTGAGCTAGATAATTAAAATCAGAATTGAATTTAAACATTAGTCGATTAATTATTTTGAAATAGTAGTTTTATGAATCCAAATTTTATTTGATCAAGATTATTATCACTGTATATGATATTTCCAATATAAAATATTCAATTCAAACTTAAAATTGATTATAATTAATTTTTCACGTGTGTACATTGATTTTATAAGTTTTTCATTTCACATAAACTTTTGTAATAAAAAAAATTATTAAGATCAAATAATTGAAAAAATTTGAATAGGAAAGTAATCAATTATGTATAATTTGTAAAATAGATTCAAAACTTCTAAGTTTATTTATTTTGAGCATAATATGATCTATAAAATGAATTTTGATACGTCTAACATTATGTTAGTTAGTCACCTAGTTTGAAAGTGATCTCAAATTACATTTTGAAATTGCCACTAAATTGTGCATCACTGCAATAATTGATCATAATAAATAGCTTCAACCAAGAGAAATAACATGAATGATTTCTTCCCTCCAATTTTATAGCATTCAAAGAAAGAGTATATTGCATTGTTAAATGTACTGAGCTCCAACTCATTTTCAACAAATTCACTTTTGAACTTACCTCATATATATCAATACACATTTCACAAGCAATGCAATTCACTTCAAAATTGGGAATTATATTTCAAATAGTATGGAATTGCCATTAACTCTGTTCAGAAGACATCTTGAAACCCTCTTCGATCAAGTTGGATTTGATTGAACTCAATCGTGATAGCGGTGTGAAGGTTAATTGTCACAAGTTTTCCTTTGTCATGTGGGCAAGGTCCAATGATCCCAAGTTCTGATCCAACGAGTTACAGTTGGAACCAATGACTTCATCTCAATCGTCCTTTAGTTACCTTACCGTACCAGGTACAGTACAATAACATGCAGATTATGTGCAACAATCATGACAATTTCAGAATTGGAAAGCTACGTTGTAATCACAGAATCTTGTAGCAACATGGAGACAGCTCATTGGTAGTAAGTGTATGGGAGTAAAGGCTCACAGTTGACACAATTTCACGAATCTCCACTAGAGTCACAATTCTCACCCGTTTGATTCTTTTATCACTATTTCAAAATTATCACAGAGAAGGGTGTTAATAGGAGCAATATCAGGTGAGTGACATCGGGAAAATGCCAAAATGACTCGATTACTTCAAGGGAGTAGTCCCTTGTATTTTTGGCGGATTGAAATCTTCAACACGCACCTTGCTTCCCGTGCTTTTAGTTTGACATGACTACTCCCAAGACCATGTGATTGAATATATTATAATTTCTCTTACAATATTCAAGGATAATAATGGACAGTATTTTAATTCAGAGCTATTACACCACGCAAACTCATTCAGATCCAAATTGGGGCCTAGCCCAATGTTACCCACCTATTTGCCTCATCTCATCCATGCACGCATCTTTTTAAACTCTGTACTTCGATACAGTATTAAATGGTGGTGTTTTTGAATGTGTTTGAAATTTATTTATTTTCCCTTCGTCTTAGATCTTGTGGTCAATCAATCTACTTATCCTGTTTGTCGACTGCAGTACTCAAAATTTTGGCAAAGATTCATCGAACGCCTATTCTGGTTTCTGAGAAAGCTATAAGTGGAAGTTGTCTTTCCCAAAGAGTATGAAGTGACTACCCAGATAGCAGTAAATGTGAGAACACACATTAAGCTTCCAGTCCTTGGTTCCTAGTCCCACACAAGAGAGATTCTTCTCAGATCAACATTGGTCCAAGCAATCTGGATGGACAGATAGTTTGTCTCCACCTTGCGAGCTGACATTCAGATTTTATGTGGTCCAAGGCCCAACCCAACGATTGGATTCGCCTTGTAGAATCGAAACAGGAGATCAAGAGCCAAAATGATGTGGCATGGGTATGATACGAATCATGTAGAAATAGAAGACATTTTGTTTCACTAGTTTTTGTCTGAACCAATATTTGGAGACACGAGAGTACACTCGAAGGACAGACCACACAGGCAGACACACAGATCTACACCGAATCTTCGTTGCTACACAGCTGTAATCAAAAGCCGAAGATGTGGCAACTCTGCATACTCCACCTTCAATCGAAGATAGAAATCTGCAGTGCTACCTCTGATTTTCTTTATTTTAGTTTGTGGACAGTCGAACTTTGTCACGTGAAAGGGTTTGCATGTGGAAGTGATTTCTATGTCTCATCGTCAGCTCTGATGAATGGGGTCTTTGGTGTTCTTGAATTATGGGAGGTGAGTGAGAGGAAGCACTTCTTGCACTGCTTGTTTTCACCTACTGGGGTCAGGGTTGAAGGGTTGAAGGTGTGAATTTGGAAGACTTGGGCACTTGGCAGAGTTCAAAACGTCTGACGACTGCTTGACTGATTCTTTCAATTCTCGAGTGATCTGACGGTGGAGTATAGTTTGCAAATATCGTTTCTAGTCACATCACCTCGTTTCGTTTGAAGGCCACAAGAATCACACATCTCTCGTGCCAGGAAGAACTCCAATTCAGCAACGCTGGTGGTAACAAAGTCTTACTTACCGTCGAGGATAGGGGCCAGAAATCTGCCAACGAGTAGAAAATGGATTAGTGGACTTGTTCAGAGCTTGAACAGAATTTGATGAAACGATGTAATATTTCTTACAATTCCAAAACTCCTCTTGGTCCCATCATAAAATAAATCATGAACTGGTGTGTCAGAATTGAAATACCTCACTTCGATCCGCTGGGTGATGTGAAGTAAGCTGGAGATGGGTACTTGAGAGCGCGTCTGACTCTCAACGATTTGTCGTCAGAGAAGTTTGTCATCAGGAGTAGACGACTCAGAAGCTTTAGATTCCACCGAGGGAGAGGAGGGAGGGCGAAGGGAGATCAGATCGGATCGGATCAGATCAAGACCCGAGGACATGTTCAGATTAGTGGTCAATGACGGGCACACTAATCTGACTAAGCTAAACGGACTTTGGAACGTGCTGATGAGGCACTAAAACTGACTAAGACGTGTTCGCAGAGGGGATCTTTGTACCGGGGACATGATTGGGGACCTGCCCCGAAGGAGGGTCGCCCGTCGAGGACGCCCGAGGGAGGAAAGGAAGCAAGGGAAGGAACGGGGGCTAGGACCGAAATTGCCTGTGTTTCGTCGGGGGAGCGAGTGTCTGTCTGTCTGAGCAGAAGGACACGACAGGAGAGGTGAAGTGGTACCGAGGCCATGAAGTGACACCGTTTTTCTTGGGGCTGCAAGCTTGCTCGGCTGACTGGCCGGGGGGGTTGGGGTTGGGGTTGGGGGTGGGGGGTGGGGTTGGGGAAGGGGGGAAGGGGGTAAGGGAGAGGGGAAGGGCTTGGAAGGGGCTGGGGCTGTAGGGGGGCTGGGGCTGCGCTTGCACGGATGGAAGGCTGGCAGGGCGAGGATTCATGTGAGATGATGCAATGTTGCTTGCCTTTCTCAATCTCGTTCGTCTTGAATGTATACGTGTGCCTGTTCTTGCTGTGGCCCATCTGGTCTCTCGTAGGGCTCCTGCTGCCGGACTGGATTGAGTCCAGGGCCAATTTCTCCACGACCTTTTCGCTCGCTGCGTCCATGCCCTTGCCCTCGATTCAGCTCCACGTGTGCAAGCTGTGCATCACGCATTCTGCGTCCTGGAATTGCTGACGACCATCTTCCTCCTCCCGCACCATTTCCGCCTCTTTTCTTCCCGATCTTGACCGACGAAACCTCGTCCCATCTGCCCTCGAAATTTCTTCGATCCCTGCTGCTGCTGACGATTTCCAAAGCTCAGCCAGAGGACGATCGTCTGCGCGGTGGTCGCAGCACGGAACGTTGACCGACCGACCGAGAAAGTGGCAGAAGCAGAGAGAGGAGAGAGAGAGAGGAGAGAGGATTAGAGAGAGAGAGAGAGGCAGTGAGGGGAGTAAATTAAGCATTTCCTGCTCACGAGGGCGTGCTCTGAAGGATCGGGATTGGCAATCAGAGGATCGATTCCCGAATCCGCGAATCCGCGATTGATAGATTGATGAAAGAAGAAGGAAGACTGTTGCAGAGAGGACGTACGAGGTCTGAAAGCTTCGCGTTCGCCTTCTTTTGGGCTCGCAATCATCATCAAGAGCTATTGATTGCTGATTCCAGATTCAGCGGTCAGCATATCCAGTTCCGAAGCCACTCGCTACAGACGCCCATGCGTCTCAGGAAGCACGTCAGAGACGGACAGATTGCGAGAAATCCCATGTGAGATTTGGAGAGCAGTGGAAGAGAGAGAGAGTGGGAGAGCGAGTGGGGCAGGGAAGCAGGGAAGCAGGCAGGCAGGGAGGCAGGCAGGCAGGCAGACAAACGGACGGACAGGCAGCCATAAGAGGGCGAGAGAGGTGGGGTTGTTACGAGGATTCCGTCTGACACCCAGGTGGTGGGTGTCATTCGCGTGCGGTGCGCTGTGTGCGCTGTGCTTGGTGGCAATCTGTGCCTTGATCTCCTACGCCCCGTGGTTCAAGACTCCTTCCTTTTCATGTTTACCCAATTCGTTTGTCAGGTGGCTCCTCCGGCAGTCGTGTTAAATGCCTCATCTGCCGATCGTCGGTCCTCCCCATGGACTTGTCGCCGCGGCTTTCTGGCCCCCATTTGTAGGTCCTCTCTCCCTCCATCTCCATCTCCATCTCCTTCTGCTCCTCGTCTTCCGTGTCGATTTCTAATCTCCAGTTCCTCCTTTCTCTATTTCTATTCGTTTTCATAAGCCACCAGAAATCACCACTGCCTGTCACGAAATCTACACGAATTTGATTCATTCGCTCATCTCCAAATGCAAATTCATCGTAACCTTCATCTTCGTCCTCGTGTAAAGTGCGTACCTGGGCATTGTGGTTGAAGTTTGGGAGTCGAGAAATGTTCTGCTGCTGCTGCTTCCAGAAGCATCAATGAATAGGGCAGTGCATGAATCTGTGAGCACTCTAGGTTTCGTCTGACAGACCGACAGACCACTCACTCACGGAAGTATAAGAGAGATGAGGGCAACAGAATTGGTTTAAAACCTTTTGAAATTGGAACGTGAACTAGTCGCACAGAGCTGCTGCTGAGGACCAGGGCGGCGGTGCTGCTGGAGGATCCACGAGCATGGATGTGAGTTCATACGCGGTGCTGCAGAATAATTCCAAAAGAGGCGGAGGAGTGTTCGTCGAGGGGCAGGAGGATGCGAGCTATCCAGCATGCACCTCCAACACATGGCAGCAGCAGCAGCAGCAGCAGCAGCGATTCGATGCGGGTGGTGGTGGTGGTGCCAACGCCAGCGACACCTGCACGGCCGCGGACGATCACAATCGCTGCGATCTCGTGATGAACGAGAGGCTGTGGAGTCAATTGCCCGAAGATCTGGTGGACCGAATCCTGGCCTGGTTGCCCGTGGCCAGCTTTCTCAGGCTTCGGACGGTGTGTAAGAAATGGAGCACCATCATGTACTCGCCCAGCTTCCTCGAGGTGTGCTCGCAGGTGCCGACCCAGGGGCCGTATTTCATGAAGATCTCCAACTGCGAGTACAGCAGATTGCTGTCCAGCTACAACCCGGTGCTCTGCAAGTGGCACGACATCCCCATCAGCTTCCTGCCCCCTCATGCAGGCTTCCCGGTGGCCTCGGCCGGGGGATTGCTGTGCCTGATCAACAAATTCCACGGCTATGTCGATGATTTCTGCTCTCTGTTTGTGTGCAATCCCTTGACCAAGAGCTGGAGGGAGCTGCCCCCGATGCCGTGCAAGCAGAGGCCCATCCTCGTGAGCATGGTGGCCGAGCGGCGTCCCTTCAGCTACAAAGTCATCGTGGCTGGGCTGCTGACCACCGAAGTTTTTGACTCCACCACTTGCTCCTGGCGAAGAGTGGGCAGCCTTCCCCGAGGCGAGGAGGTCTCGGGCAACATTGCCTTCTCCAATGGCAATCTGTATTGTCTCACTCCTCGCTGGTACAATTGTGCGCTGCTCGCTTACAATCTGCAGCAGGAGGTGTGGGTGAAGGTGAAGACGGGCCGGCTGCCGGGCTACTGTCAGTTCCGGAACCTGGTCGGTTGCAAAGGGTGCATCGTGATCGTGGGCAAGTCCGTCAGACACCATGTTCTGTCCGTGTGCATATGGCTGCTGGATCAGAAGACCATGAAGTGGAAAGAGGTAGGCAGAATGCCTCAGCGCATGTCGGACCACTTTCTCTGCAGGCCTTCCGAGAGCTTCTACTGCACCGCCCATGGAGACCTCATCTTCCTCACCCGAGACAACTGTGACATGGGCTTGCTTTTCAACCTCTCCCACAAGACATGGATCTGGGTTTCCGATTGCCCCAACCTCGAGGGCTTGGCCTTCGAGCCTCGCCTCGATGCCATTGCTTGATCGTCCTCGGATCGATCGATCACTGCGGACGAATCATGGCCAACCAACCAGAACCTTCGTGCATTTGTTCGAAACCTTGCAATTGCTCGCTCGGCCTGCGACCCTCGACCTCGGACCGGCTGCTGGCGTAAATTTCAGATGTGGATTGATGTCTGAGAGCCAGCTGCCCAGCTCGCGAGTCCAGTGTCAGCCAACCTGATGCCTCGATACTCGAAAGACATCACAATAATGCATTCCAATAGCTCAGATCCTCAGTCTGATATTCCCACCACAGCCTGAACCCTTTGGTTCCCTGCATGCTCATCTGAAATCTACAGAGACATGCAAGTGCAGAGTGAGTGAAAGCTTGCTCTGATGAGTCTAATCCTTGCCAGCCATATATCATCAGATGATACAGTAGCAACGAGCACCACGAGATATGACAATGGCAGCAGTTGAGATTCTATCTCATCACATGCCTCCTCCTGCGAACCATGGATGTGAAAGCCGAGCTCACCTCACCTCACACCTCCCTACAGCTGTTCACAATAATGATCATAGTCTCGTCACAACAACAATCGTTCCCTTGCGCTTGGCAGGGAACTCCGCTCCCTTGCCTAGCAAGCAAGTAACACGCAGATTAAAAAAGCAGTCAATTGGTGTGATATCAAAGTCTAGATATCGAGAGCCTTCAACTGAAACGATTTTTATTACAGCAGAAGAGAGAAATACTAGATAGCTCGTACAAGCGACTCTGATCATTAAGTTGCCAGCTCAATGTATGAGATAAACCTCCTGACATATCTACACTGCATGTACAACTGCTAGGGTCCACCATCATGGCCTCCCTCAACTCTCTCAACCTGCTCAACTGAATGCAATGACGAAATCTAAATCTACTGCCTACTAAGAAAGAAAAAGAAAACTGTTGTGCAAATCGTTGAGATTTAAGTGCAATTTTTTCCTACAGCCTGCCACATGGTCGACTACTACACGTAACAATCATAACTCGAGAACCAAGGTTCAAAGCTCAGGTGGATTTTGTAAACTGGGCTCCGCCTGGTTTGACATTTATATCTAAAAGTTTATACAAATAAATGTATGCGCGAGCCACTGTTATTGTTAATCACCTCACATGTCGATTCAAGAGCAAAGTAATCTCATGCCTGCCCATGCCCACCTCCTCACTGTAGCAGTGGTGGAAGAAAACCGAAAAGCGTTGGTGTTTACCGAGAGGTCAGAGACTCGAGAAGAAATTGGTTGATGATCGAGGAACCGGTTCAGATTCCAGGATACAACTGTAGGGCGGAGCAAACGCCATGTTGAAGCAGCAGGTAGTGACTGTACAGAGGCGCTTTCCCTTGCAACGAGAAACTCGTAACAGTGCAAAGTTGCATTTATGTCAATTATCGAAACAGTCAGTCCGGAAGTGAGAGAAACGAACATATTTGTCACGTGTGTACGACACCGACACGCACAAGTTCTGCATGTTTTACACGCAGCGAGCTTGCAAATCTGCAGCTGCAGCAGAAATAAAATGGACATCTGAACTCCTACTTCACACACAGAAACAACTGATACGAGATTGTGCACTGTACCTCAGACAGATCTAATGTGCATGGACATCTGAGATCAGTTTCTGTAACTGACCGGATCATTGTACAATATCTCTTCGGGAGTGTGGCGTCCATTCGAGCGATATGCATCCCACCAGCTGTCTCCTCGAGATAATCTCCAATAACAGCTGTGCTTGAGAGACTTGGCGAACAGGTGTCATGGGCTATCTGTCCACAACTGAGCAAGCACTTTCAAGCTGAGAGCAGACAGTATCAAGACCTGTTCATTGTGATGGCTTAGAAAGTTTATCTGATTACTGAGCAGTTTATGAGACTGGGAGGGAAGAGCTCTCCCACGCATGAGTCTGAAGTCTCTATTCCAGAGGAGTCGTGGGAGACCTGCTGCAGATGGAGCAAGGGTATCCCCAAAAGAAGTATTTGACGTCGAGTGCAAGAAGCCACTTTGATCAATCATCCCACTCGCAGCTTCCGTACATGGATTCCCTCCATCACAGAATCTGATTTGGGAAGACAAAGTCTTCGTTAGTCAGATTGCTAACGAATTTTGTCTGGTACAGACGCACATGGAAATCTCTCTGAGCTGTCGTTTCGTCACAAAGTCGTACATGAGGCTGTTGTGTATAATGGAGCTCATAAAGCACCGCTGGTTGATCTTCAGAACCCAGACAGTGGGTGAGGAGCCCCAACCAAAGGCATGACGCCCTCTTCTTTCCACTCAGAGCTCAACTTCCTGACACATACGTGAGGATGACCTCTCGATGTCAATCAACTCAATAATTAAGACTCTATTGTCAAAGACTCAAGCTTCTAAACTCAGAGCAGGATCAGCCTCTAAGTCTGGATTTCTAAACAAACAGGCAGAGCAAGCGAACGGGCTCTTCGAGTCAGCACTCTGAGAACATTATGAATCTAATTCACTGAGCAATATTTTTGACGGAGAAAACGAGAAGCCAAAGCAGCAAATTTATTAAGGACCATACAGATTCATCAGGGCAAGTATGTACTTGCCCTGATCAGTGTATCTTCGAATTACTTTCCAGTTCTAAAGATTCTAGTTCTCCTGAAACGAGCGCATGATGGGATATTTAAGCTGGATAGTGTTTCCTCTCTACAAACCAAAAAATAACAATACAAGGAGCTTCTAGTTGTGAATCTGAAGCGCATCGATATGATCAGAACAAGAAAGTGGAAGTTTGAATCAGTCAGTTATGTGGTAGTTACCCATCGAGCTCACGACGCTTGGTGCTTTGATTGTCCAGACTGCACTTTGGACAATCAATCACTCGAAGCGTCGACAACCTTTTCATAAATGCCATATGAAACACATCTGTTGAGTCCCGGAGACGTCTCCTGTGCTTCGTGAGATGAATGCATTCTGCAAGCGCTTGGACAGCACTGACGAGCCTGGAAAGAGAGAGGGAAGGGCTTTTTTAACAAAGTTCTGGCTGTGTCTGTACAATCGAGGATGTCCAGCCGGCGCATGCATTTGCTAGCATGTAAAGCTCCATGGATGAAATGTCCGACTCTCTGTTTCGATCGTCTGTATGCAAAGCATCTTTGGTCGATGCAACAAGCATCACTAGTCGTCATCCAGCTGCATGGTACCTGATCATGAGATAGCTCCGCCCACCTGGCCCTTCAGACATTTACATCACATCACCGTCACGACACTGATCTTTCTGAGCACGCACTTCACTGTCGACACTCGTTTGCGCTGTGTATTCTTTCTTTGTTCGGGTCATGATGAAAGCAAGCGCCGAGAGAACTCGCAAGAATAAAAAAGCTCCTCGACTCAGGGCCTGGCCCAGCTCGACTGCAAGATTCTGCCTGCAATCCCTTTACCTCCACACAAGTGTGGAGGTAAAGGGATTGCAGGCCGGGCTGAACAACGAGACCTCTTCGGAGGCATGAAGAGCCACGAGAGAACACAACCACGAATATGATAATTGCAGCATTGTCATGGGAGAGAGAGAGATGGAGGTCTTGTCAGAACTGGAGTCCCACTTGAAGAAGGATAAGGATTGTCCGAGTCTTCACTAGGCGGGTCAAACTACTGGAATGGCGAATCCACTGCACAAATATTAGTTTTCTCTCGCGGCATCATGAACATCAGGAGCCATTATTTTACCTTATCCGCTGTGTGCTGCATCAGCCACCGAGTCCAGAAAGGAATGTCTACGTGAAAAACACGGAATCGCTCAACTGGTGAATCCACACTCGGGACCCGAGTGGATTTCTCCCTTCTCCTCCACATGCCCAGCTGTACCGGTCTTGGGCATGCACGCAAGCAAGAGCCAGCAGCATCAGCTGCTGCAACAGATTGGCCAGCCAACCAACCAGCCAGCCAGTGAGTAGGGGAATGGGAGTGGTGTGGAGAAGTCCGACACAGAGCTATGGAGAGAGAGAGAGAGAGAGAGAGAGAGAGAGAGAGAAAGAAAAAGAGAGAGGGGTCTAATAAATTCGAGACAACTTCAGAAGAAGGTTTCTAAAAAAGTCGGAGGGGGTTGGGGAAGGGGGGAGTTGGAGTTGCGGGTGGGGGGTGGAAGAAGTTTCCTAGATCGAAGAGCTCTTCTCTGACTCGTGACATCGTCATAAACGAAGCTGGGCGAGAGGAACTTCATCTCGGTACAGCCAAAGAAACAACCATCAAGTCTCGCTGTCGTACCAGGCCCGCATCTCGAGACGGACGCACGATGGGATGAGGCCCACTTTATGGTGGTGCACAATCGGATGTTCGTCCTGTAAAATACACGGCATTGCAAGCGAGCGAGCTCGTCTTCTGCTGCTGCTGCCGATACTCCTCCTCCTGCTGCCTCGCCAGTCTACACACGTCTTTCCGTCTGTCTGTCTGCCTCCCCCACCCCTTTCTCTCTGCCCCTCCCTCTCTCTCCAAATATTGCCAAAGACGATCCTGCCGTATGTGTACACCATGGCTGAAATTAAATCCCACCTCTGGCATCCAGAACTGGACATAACAGAGCCCAAGTGATTTCCAGGTGCGACTCACTTCTGCCTGCTCCTCCACATGAACCTCCGCATTCGAGTCCATGCGCAGCTGGAGCCAATGGAGGGGGTCCTGCAGTCTCATGCGGACGTATGCCTGTCTTCATGAATCCGTAAACATCAGGTGTATGTCTTTCCCTCGAGCTGATGAGCATCAAAGAGCAGTAGTACGTATAGGAAACCACTTCCATGGGTTTTCTGAATTTGCGACAATTAAGACGGAGCTGAGGCTGAGGCGTGAGACAGGAGACTTGATGATTTGCTGCGGGGTACTTGAATTCCGTGCTCCTCTAACTCCAGTGGGGCCCATGAGAATGAAGATTTCGATGCTGATGTTTTTCTTCGATGGCTGTGTCGAAGGAAGGAAGGAAGCTCGGCCGAGTAAATACAGACGATGGGAAGCTGGAGAGCATACTAGAGAGTGTGTGCTTGCATGCCGCCCACAGATACTCGCAGACATTTGGTCAATGAATCTGACTACGTCCGCATGTCATTGAAATGCGGGGACACTATTGGTCATTGTCCATGAAATCGAAGCCGAATTTGAAGACGGACCCGAGGCTCCCAAAACCAACCATCTCTCCGTCCATCCGTGGCTTCTACCAAGGAATCAGAATATGACACGCCAAATTCTTGTACATCTGCACGCTCGAGTTGCAAGTACAGTTGCACGAGGCCTACACTCGTGGAGGTCGTTGGCGCTAGACTCACTCACTCACTCACTCCGTCGCCCACAACCGGAAAGGGCTTGTCAGGGGACACCACTTGCAAACTGTGGGCGTATGGCACCTCGGGCTGCACTGGTGGGCGTCCCAGCTGCTGCTGCAGCCACCGCCCACCATTGCGGCCGAGTTTTGGACCTGCACGTCTCCACGCCTCGTCCCTGCAGCAGCAGCACCTAGAGAGAAAGTTGCATCATGACTAGCTCCAGCTCAAGCTCAAGCTCCAGCTCGCTTGACCAAGGGGCTGGCTGAGCTCGATCAACTTCATCGGGTCGAGGATGATGGTGTTGATGGTGGTGTCGGCTGGGGCAAGCAAGCAACCAGTAGGACTCATAGCTGATGCATGTCAACCCTTAGAGAGAATCCAGTGAGCCGAGCAGAAGATATCGAGTTGGTGCATCGTACAAGTCTACCGGATCCGATTTAGTGAAGCTCGAACCTGGCCTCCCCTCTGTACAGCCCTGATAGTCGGTAGCTAGACAGCATTTCTGCTGCTGCTGCTGCTGCTGCTGACTCCTTTGACCCTTTGTCCACAGAATCTAGAATCCTCATGTTGCAACTAACTTTCGGGAGTAAGCTCTCGGTGAAGCTAGCTAGCATGCACCCGGCTAGCACATTTAGTCAGCTTGCTGGCTGAGAGTCTCCACTCTACTTCTTATCGAGCTGGATGGAGCTCGAGAGGTCAAAGCTCGGGCGATGAGCAATCTGGGTACCGTGAATGAAGACTGGAAACTTCTGTTGGAGTGGAATGTCCAGTCACAGTCTCGCCGTACGAGAGAATGAATCGTGGTGAAGATCAACTTTGATCTTGTTCGAACGTATCGATGCGGTACAGTATCTCCCGGGATTCAGGAGAGGAGGAGGAGCCAAGGAAATATCTTCCCGGAGAGGAGGACACATAGCAGCTCAGTTCAGCTCAGCTCGTCCCCAGAAGATTGCGACCCCACCATGCCTACCTCTCAGGCAATTATTGTCGAGACTTGCCATGCCATCCATCTCTCATGTCGTCTCTTATCATATCAGAGCGATGGATTTGTTTGTTTCATCCATCTCAAATTGAGCTGTGAGTGAGTGAGTGAGTGACTCGGTCCGCCAGTAAATTAGCGGCATACACGCCATCCCAGGGACGTGTTGCAATAGACGAGATTCCAGAGAACAGCTCCATATCCATGTCCTGCTGCCGATCATGATGATCACCAACCAACCACCTCAAGTTGTGAGACCGAGCGAGCAGATACTTGCGTGAACAATGAATCCACGTTCCTTGTTTTCCTGATTGCATAGGAACAGCAGTTATGCTAGGCTAGCTGCAATTGGATGTTGGGACACGTGATTATCACTGTCTAGCACAGTGGGCGTCTTGCAGTTGGAGGTACGATCTCAGATTGCAGGCATGGAAAGTCTCCAAAGTGAAAACCAGTTGATTATATCTCAGATGACCCATAAACTGGTCTCTTCTGTACAGACATTGCTCGAAAAGAGGAGGGTTCCGACTCAGTATTTGCGTGCCGGTGACATACCTCCTCTATCCACAAATTTACAATCCAGCATCACCGAAATGCATGTCACTACAATTTGAAATACATTGGGCAAGTTTTGCGTGCTAAGGACATCGGCATTGGCACTGGAGGGAGCTTACGCCATTGACAGAAGAGGTTGTTGACTGATGATTTAATTCCAGCAATCACGCATTCGTTACGTGCACAGTGTTCATTCCATTATTTATCATATGAACGGAAAAAGAGACCTTCTCGGTTCTTTCGACGGTAAATCCGAATCCATCTTGTTGTGTCACTCGATGAGATAATTAGGCAAGACTTGTCTCAATGTACACTTCTTCACAGTATATTTTAGAAGCCGTGCCGTGGGTTTCACAGTTGTCTAGGCTGCTGAGATGGACATGCTTCAGGTGACAAGCGTAGTCTAGAAGATTGAACTCAGCAGCAAGTCCACAGTAATGTTCGAGAATTCGAGAGTGATTAGTGACGCAGATTTCCATCGAAACATTAAGTCACGGTAAGATACATCCGGTCGAGAGACAACTCAGCTTGAAACGGCTCATGATCAATATCCATTGTCTTCGTTCACAAGTAGATATTTTACCCATTGACGAAACCATCGACCATAGCTGCTGCGACCAAATATTATGTTATCTAATCCAGTCGACTGAACCTTCATTACAGATGATTGGGTTATATACATCCTCTCAGATGTGATGGGCAAGTATCGCTTGGCTTCCATTACAAGGCCACAAATGGCTTCACTTGATAGGATGCAGAACTGGTACTCAAAGTACATGTGAAGGAAATTGATCATGAAAGCACAATAAAATTTCTTCCAAGTGAGCTCTTATATTAGTAAGTTCGAGAGGGCAAACCCGCCAGAAGATGGCACACATTAAATTACATGGTCCTCTATACCCTATCACAATTATGATACGCAGTCTGGAATTCTAATCGGGAACTTTGTCTAGATAGGTAATGATATCAAGCTGCCAAACCTCAGAGCCCAATACTATGCTAAGTGTTTGACTGTAGACAATAGTTCGAGCGACAGTGTGTGTTTACTGCCAATCCACTAGCTGGCTACTCAGCCACATCCCGCACTCCCCACGACACAACCGGGGGTCTCCACTTTTCAGTGTCTTCAGCGTGGACGATCAAGGTCTTCACCTACATTCAGCAAGAGATTATCTAATGTGCGAAGAACTGATATTTCTCAGGCACACGTTCTTCAAATCTCCTGTATCCATTCAGAAACATCTCAAGACCAACCAAGATTTGAATTGTCGTAAAAATACGTAGACAGCGGTGAACACAACAACCAACTCACATCTCTGATCCGGCGGTAGAACAAAGACATTTCAACTTTGACATCAAAGTCGTAGACCGAAGATCTATGAATGCGAACGATATAGTTGGCAGGGAGCTCAGAAACATACATCTCATCTCTCATCTCGGACATCTCGACTACAGAGGCACGTCTGGTGGTGCTCCTGGAATTACGTTTGACAGGAATTAGTCAAGTGTGGACATTCGTATCGAGGTTTAAGGAGCGAGAAGATGTTTGGCCACAGGGAGTAGGCAGTAACTGCTCTCAAGAGTGCAACTGAAAACCCCATACCTCTACCATGTCTACGATAATACTCGTATACACAAATGATGAGAGAGTGCGTACCCGAGAACACGGGCAGGGAGCTTAAAACTTGTGACACGCACGGATCCGATGCGTGGTACCATTAAAACAAGACAATTGTACGAAAATTCTTGCACGCTTCGAACTGGACATTATTCACTCCAGGACGGGGAACTATGCCTACCTTCGTACTGGCATGACATTCATCACCGCCTCATTAGTCGGATAAGAGGATGAACTGAAAAACCGTTGAGGGTGGGGTGGGAGACGTCCGGGTCTGAGGCTCTTCGGATACACTCTCCTCACTGGAACAGACCTCGCGATCGTGTAGACGACTCCACCCAGTTTTGCATGAGTTTCCAAATTTAAGGCCATATGTTGGGGGAGAAGATTCAGATGTCGGTACCGAACTACGAGTGTCACACCACGAGGTAAAGCTATCGAAACATATGAAAAAATTCGGCTTTGATACTCAACTGTATCACGATGTTCGATTGCTATGACCAAGTGTAAGGAGATGGTACTGGGCAATTGTAGAACATTCACCTCAGGAGCAAACCTCGAGAACCTGGAATATATAGTCCTAGTTTCCACCTGTATCAACACCAAGCAAAAAAAAATACCTGTTCCATACTTGTCAGTAGATAAACAGCACATGTGGGTCATCATCTCCACGTGCAATAAGAGGTGCCTGCAGTTAATCTCAAGGATCAGATTCTAACACACACATCAGGGAGAGTTACTGGTTTTGAAAAATCTCGTTAGAAGTCAACTCACGGCTCATATGTAATACCAAAACTCACACATCATGCCGAGCGCATGGCTAGACGAGATCTAAGAGTCGAGGCAAGTCTAAAGAAGAGCGAGAAGGACGAGCAGTGACATTTGATCGACCATGCAACACACAGCCGGATCGTTGTATGATATAAGGCTGCTGGCAGGAGACACTTCAATTTTCATCTGAAAGTGATCGAGTGAAACGAGCACCGTAACACATTACGAACTTTCAGATGAGTACTCAGCGAAAGCTATGGCGGTGTCCACTGTGTGACGCTGGAGAGCTCGCAGACAGGCAGCGTACTTTGCTTGTGAGATGAATGTACATTGACGTTTTGACGCTCGCCAAGGTCGTTCGGGAGTGTATATATCAATTTGGAGCCGGCAGCTCGACAACAACTGTTCGACGACCTGCAAACGGGAGGGCAGCTAACAGCGTGGTTCTCGTGACTTGTGATCAATACAGGTACCTCGCTGCGAGCTTTCGTTATCGCCTACCGGCATCTCAGAACGAGCACGCCTTCCAGCGAGATAACTTGAACTATTCCTCCTTTCAGATGCATCGATACGACTTATCACAATCCAAATCAGGTGAGATGCGTTAAGACAATAACAGATCACATGACCCATAATACCGGCCTCCGACTCTTGAGTCTCCCTCGCAGACACTCCACGATGCAACCATGATCGAACCGACGTGAATGTTGAAAGTAGTCGTCTTCTACATCGTTACCTGTTAAAATTCTTCATTGCAAGCGACAATAGCCAGCTCAGAGATCGAGCCAAGATTTCATTGGCCTCGACGATCAGTAACTAAGAGTCAGTCCTACTGTCCAGACAGAGAACATACTCTTGCCAGTAGTTTCGTCGACGCGCAGATGACACTGTGATGTGCTTACAGTGTGGTCGGATAGTGTGACGCAGACTATTGACACAAGCCAAAAGTTTAAGCCTTTTCTACGTGCGAAGCCAAAGGTGCTCGTTTGGAAGAAAACCAACGTGCGAGTCCGAAATTGATACAATTTGTGATCGATGTTAGAGGTTTCCGATCCGAGAGGTAACGCATAATCTGCAGCTGAGAGAGTTGACGCGAACATATGTAGCACCGACAAGTCAAGGACGGGCGACATGAATATCAAGACCGAGGACACGTATTCAATGATTGAGGAAATTGGGATAAAGACGAGAGAGCTATTGCCCCACATCCCGTGACTGGCCTCAGCTGGCTGGCATCTTAGAGAGCGCGAATCAGTTCAGCTGGGAACACTCACGGGAAGCGGCCCAAAGGCACCCTTGCCTTTCTCCCACAATCCATTCTCGTGTCTCGGAAAGATCTCCTCTCCTCTCCAACACGTTCCAGGGTTTCCTTCGAGACTCAACTTTTGGAGGGAGAAGAGCGAAGTAGGAATGGCTTATAGAGCTCGCTCGATCGATGGTGTACACTCGGACCGAAGCAAAGAACCCCAAGTCCATGATTGGGGCAGAGCTCGTACAGTGAAAGAGGCAGCAGGACAAGGGCCAGGACTGCTGCCATCACGGGAGGGAGAGGAGTGGAAGCAGCATCAGAGGACGGGCAGCCGCAGCAGCAGCGAGGTTAGAGAGCGGGAGGGAAGAATGGGAGGGAGTGGGAATGCAGATGCTGATGACAAGTGAGAAGCAGAAGCCGAACACATGTATTCGCTTCGAGACTTCTCGGCTCGCCGCCGCATCTCACTCTCCTTCACTCTTGGCCACCCATCCCTTTGATCCTTCCGTCCTCTCCCTTGCCTTGCCTTGCCTTGCTATGCCCTTCCAAGCTCAACCCACCCCCATCTGCCAACCATCTCCGCACACACACTCCCACCCACCAATTGCTGCTGCTACTGCTGCAGGCTGGCTGGCTGCGGCTGCACTTCTACTGCTGCTCGCGGCCTGCAGCCTTCTCATGAGCTCATTGGAAAATCAAGACGGAAATGGATCAATTTATAGCCACACTGCCCAGTCGATCAGAAAGTGTGTCCACTGGACTGGACTGGACTGGATGGACGACTGCTCGAGAGAAAGCGAGTGAACCTCAGCTCAGGGTCGGTCGGGCATGGGATGGGATGGGAGGAGAGTGTGGGAGGAGGAGGTCTGACTCGGACTGAAAGCGAGTGAATGCAGAATGGGAGCTGCCTGTGTGCAAGCTCAGCACCACCGACCGACATCTTCAGATCGGGAGGGGGGGGGGCTTCTATGGCGGCCATGCTTTGCTAGGAAGGCGAACGAAGCGAAGCGAGGCGGGGGTCATAGCGCCCGCAGCGGAAGCAGATGGGCCTGGGACTGGGGCTGGGGCAGTAGCAGAAGCAGCAGGCCGTTCATTAAAGTGCCTCACGTGAATCGTCAACTCGCTACCTCCTCCTTTTTGAACGTTTTCTTTCCAGCTACGGGGAGGGGCCAGCCGGCCGGCCGGCGCGCCGGACACCCAATATGTCCGCCGGCGAGGCCACGCGGAGCCCCCGGATTGCCCCTTTGGCTCCCCCTATGGGAATGGTCGAATCACCCGCTGGCTTTCATATCTCTCTCTTGTGACCGGTCCCACTCGTGAGACTGACTTTTCCTCGCGGCGCGCTTCGGAACGTTATTGTTCCCGGTGCCCCGTTCGAGCCCCTGGCACGCCTCTCTCGACGCGACCCTTCTCCTTCTGCTAACCTCCAGCCTGGACTCGCGACGCGACGCTTCCCCTTCTTCCAACCTCCAGCCTGGACTCGCTCCGCGACCCGCCTCCGCCTCCCGCCTTCCAGCCTGGATGTCGCGTCGTAGGTCAATCCCTTCACGATGCCGTCGTGCCTCTCGCCCAATCGCCCTCCGCGAGCCCCATGTCCGTAGATAGGCGCCTCCTCGTCGATCCGTTAGATATGCTGACACAGGGGCCAGGGCCAAAAAGCAGCCCCACCCCCTCCCCTCCCCCCCGCGCATCACGACAAAAGATCGGAGCTACCAAACGGTAACGGAAGGGCGGGCGGGATCTTTACAACGGAATCGCTTTAGGGTTTACCTCCGGCCCACCCCCTCCCCCCATCCCCCCCCCCCGAAACGAATATGCCCGATCCCCCTCCGTCGGGATAGACTTCGAAATCTGCGCTCGCACGAATTAAGTCGACGGATCCATCGACTGATTGATTACTCCTACCCCGTCCTACATCTGAGGAAACTCCGCCGGGTTCGAACTCGGGTGAAGAGTTGATATTCTGGTTCCATTCATTCGCTACCTTCGAGAATATTTGCCGCTTAACGTCCTCTCGCTCATTCATTCATTACCTTAACATCATTTGCGCAAATTATGACAAATAATCATCTGGGAAAGGCTGGAACTCCTTCCTTCCTTCTGGAACCCCTTCCGGAACCGTGGTTACACCGAGACTCCGGGTTATACCGGGTTAGACCCGACTGCGTCGAGCAGTATTTGGGCTTCTTAGGGGGCTGGATGATGGGCCACGTGGCGCGCCTATTTCTCGAGGGGGGGCAGGAGGAGGCCCCATGAAAAGCGGTCCGAGGGAATCGAGTGAAGGGGGTGCGCCACACGTGGCCCAACGACGAGCGGACTGCCATGGAGCCGATGCATTCTCTGGGACCGAGTGAGTGAGTGAGTGGTGGAAGTCCACTTTGCACATAAACGCTTCTCTCATCCGGTCTCGTAAGTCAGTAATCAAATGCGCCATCGTGTATTTATCACACGCACGTCAGCCTCGGCTCTTTGCTTCGATGCCAGTCAGTCCATTATCTATTTTTAACTTCCTCCTTCGGTCAAGGTCTTCACTGATTGCGGTGCTCAGAATCTCATATCTTGCATCACAAGGAAATCAAATGTCGTGAATCCATCTCTGATCTCCGTATGCGAGCAATCACGTTCTCTGATCAATCTTCTGATAATTCTATCATAATGTTTTTCCATAAATAAAAATATTTATACATTCACATGAAGTATCTGAGTCACAGCATGCACAGAGAATAGTTTATGATGTTATTGGGGCCTCCCTTCAAATACTTTGGGTTCAACCATGTAGAGCTAGGCAGTATCTCCCCGTACCTCTTTTAATTTTACTCTATCCACTTCAAAAGTCATTTTTCAGCATTCTTGAAATGCTAGAAAGGTCTTACGATTTTGTCACGCTATCTCGACTGACCGAGTATTTATTGTATGTCTTTGACATTCTTAGACATGCTATGCTATACTCTAGTATTATGGTTCAACTCACCAATCTAGTTTGCAAGGTATATGACTTCTTCACTTGCAGTCCCACAACGATGTCCAGCTTTACGGAATTGCAATTGAGACATACATTATTTTTTTTAGCTTTGGTATAGGTGTGTAGAGCTATTGTGGATGGAAGACACGTCAACTGTGACTCTTTGGCTATTTCCTGATGGATGATTGTATTTTGTGATTCCACGTAGGCATATTAGAGTGACGTGGATGAAGCCATTTTCTTTACATATATTTGTTATTTAAATAAGAACTTAATTTTTCTTCATCGATAAAACAGTAGCTACAATCCTTTGTTTCTCTTTTTCTACCAACTGTACTATATTGTATATTTTATATTAAAAGAGATTCATACTATCAGTAGTGTTGCACAAAGCTCGTTTTTTTCATTCACTAGCTTTATATCTGTATCAAAAATATGAATGTAACTTCAACGTCTTCATGACAGCGTGGCTATTGTTATTTGCAGCATGTCTATTATACCTTCGAGAGATTGTGTAGCATATTTTTAAACAGCATGTGGCGACTTTTTTACTTAATGCATACCATGATTGAAGTCTTTTTTTTAAAATATTTTTTAAATTGACTATCTTTTAAACTAGTAATCATTATATTTCTTAGATGCATCCTATCCTATTGTGAGCACAAAACTGTGCTCACATGTCTTTTTACCCTTATGAGAGTTAAAATTGTGGATTTAAGCTCTTGCAAAATTATGCTTGGGGTTTTCTGTAAATTTTGGCAAGATTAGGAGTTGGTGTGATGGTTAGGGGGCAAAAGGTGCGGAAGGGGGCCTTCGGGGCAAGGTCTTCGGCGAAGTGCCTTCTGTGAAGTCCCTTCGGGGAAAGGCCTTTGGCGAAACAGTGAAACCCTCATAACGTTTTCAATGTGTGACGCCTTGACTCAGTTAGTGTCTCGTTGAAAAGAGCTCGCAACGCTCGTTCCAACGAGCTAAAAAACTCTTGAAACGGATCAGTCATCACTGAGTTATGAGCGTCGAAAGCAGCTGATATGGTTAGGCGAAAGGCCTTCGGCGATAACATATAGAGGGGCCTTCGGCGATAACAGATAGAAGGGTCTTCGGCCCAAGGAGCTGCGCATAGGCGCCCTGCGCATAGGCGAGTTGCGAATAGGAAGCCTGCGCATAGGCAAACGCCTTTGGCGGAAGAGTAAAACAGTGATAACTTTCTCAATTCTTAACGGTTTGACTTAGTTAGGGGCTCGTTGGAAAGAGCTCAACACGCTCGTTCGAACGAGCCCAAGAACGTTTCAAACGAAGCAGGGATCTGTGAGTTATGAGCGTCGGGGGTGACTGTTATAGATAGGCAAAGGTGCGGAAGAGTGTCTTCGGCGGGAGGATGCCTTCGGCGGTGCGCGGAAGAAGATTTCGGACGGCGGATGTTGACGTGGTCATGAATAAAGACTGTACAAGTGTGGCAGTGGCGGCGGCGTGAAGTCAAGCGTGAGAAATAGGACGGCGGGGCATGAAGTCGCACATGGGAACCAGGCCGTTGCCCATCATCGCCGGAATGGCATTCACGCGGCTTGTGGGTGACTCGGCCCTTGGACGTTGGAGAGGATATATTTGGCCTGCGAGCTGGGATCGTGTGGTGTGCCATTGTGTGGAGACGCTGGTGGGATCGGTAGAAGGGTAGAGTGTGGATGTGGATGATTTTCGTAGGGAAGTGGTGAGAATTAGGAGGGGAGTGTGGAGAGTTCGAAGTAGGAGGAAGCAAACTCTCGTGGGTGGAGAGTCGTATCTGAGAGTGAAATTAAAGTGGGAGCTGAGATTGAAGTGTGAAATTAAAGTGGGATATGAGATTGAAGTGTAAAATATGTGAGTGAGATCTGAGATCGAAGTGTAAAATCTGTGAGTGGGATCTGAGATCGAAGTGTAAAAATCTGTGAGTGGGAGCTGAGATCAGAGTGGAAGATCTGAGAATGGGAGCTGAGAGTGAAGTGAAATCTGAGACTGAAAATCTGACAGTCGGGATCTGAATTTGAAACTGAAAAGGGAGAGTTGAATCGGAGAGAGGAATCTGTTGGGGTATGAAGATGGAAGCTGAGAAATCGACACTGGAATCTGAGTAGGAATTGGGAGTGGGACTCGGAGCTAGGATAGACCACAGCGGCTGTGGTATTGAGGAAGTCATCTAGAGTTGGGTTAGATCTTTATGTAACAAAGAGCTTGTCTGCTGCTCTTGTGGAAATAGCAGACAGCAAGTTATTATTTTCAGTTCTGGATAATTTGTCTGTGAAAGAGCAAGTGTTTATGATCTCATTGTCTTGAATACACTTTGACCACATGGTTGAGATCAGAGAAGTTAGATATTGGGAGCTCGAACCCCCACCTGGACTACAAACGCTGAAGGGTGGGTAGTTTCGGCTCACATAAAATGGTGCGTCTGCCGGGAGCTTGATCTTGTAAATGCAGAATATGACTAGGTCGCACAAACCAAACCTAGAGCCTGGACTGGAGAAACCTGTTCGCAGTAGGAAGAAACCTGAGAATAAGGAAATCGAGGAAGAAATTAAACTTGAGATATTTCTGAATGTGGACCCTGTTGATGAGTCTTTGTTAGAAGCTTTAGAGAAAACTAGCAACCTTGAGGAGAGTGGTCACTCTGCAAGCGTAGGTTGACAAACGTCTGCTAAGATCTACTCGAGGAGAAAAGTGATTGTAGAACTTGACAGTGAGAAGTCGGTTGAGGAATCTGCCAGCATGGCTGACGATGGAGTGAGAGCAGGCCCTCCTCCTAGTCCTCCCATAGACCCACTCGTGAGGCCAAGAGGCCTTCCTATTCAGGTTCCACAAAATTTGGCAGCTGTGGTCATGCCACCCAATCTGCCTAAGTTCTATGGGACGAAGGATGAGGATCCTTCAAGGCACATGGAAAGATATGTTGAGAGGCTAGCCAGCTCTCTGATTACAGATCCAGGGTATTGTTTGGTCTGGTTTCCTACTACCCTGGAAGGTGAGGCGTATGAGTGGTATAGGAATCATTCTGAAGGTAAAATCACTAATTTTTATGACTTATTCACAATCAGCAATTGTATTTCACAGTTCATAAAATTATTCCACTCAAGCTTATTGGTAGAGGTTTGAGAGAAGTAACAAGGTTGTTTTTCTTTCAAATGAATGTGTTGTTGCCATCATCTGAATTCTGGATATCATACAAATCCAGAGTAGATGAATCAGTTGCATAATTTGTACATTATATGAATTTCAATTGTCTGATTTGATGATCTTCTAATGATGAGAGAACTTAATAACATAGTGATTTTTCCCTTCTGTGAGAAAATAACTTGATGGAATCTCTGCAAACAACACATTTGATGGTACTCAATCGGTTTTACTTACCCAATGAGACCTCCTTGACGGTATTGTAGCTCACCATTGGTGATGTTCCAATATGATCTGGATTTAGCCATGTGTCATGGTTGAAGATGAATTATTGAATGATTTTGGATAGAAAGTTTGTGGCGTTACTTCAGATCTTTGTATGCAGTCACAACAAGAACTTCTCATATAATACTTCATCTCATGTCTGAAATATTGCGGACATCTTTCTTCAACGTTATGCGCAGCCAGACAATAGTGAACATATATTCTCGTGTATGTGTTCTCGTTCGCTTTATTGTGTCTTTAAAGCGTCACAATTGCAATTATCCTAGACCAAATGTTGAAAAAATTATTTGTCGTCTATCGATT